CAACCACAGTTGCCAACAATAACCTATACATTTAATATCCGTTTCAAAAATTATGATGGAATAAAAAAACTCACACATATATAACATACATTATCTCTAAACACAATGTATTCCTTTTTGGACAGTCGTGTAAAAAACAGATAAATAATCTACGCAACTCGCCCAAAGGAACAACTGATCAGTGGCGTAGCTACCAAGGGGCTAGGCGGGGCATCGCCCCGGGGCACTCAAGCTCAGAGGGCCCTCGAATCTTTACTAGAAAATCTCAATCGAACTCAACTTTTGAAAATTTCTCCCATTTTCAAAATAAATATGACACGTGACAACTCGAGTTTAATCATGGCAACTCAGTTGTGAGAAATTCCAAAGTTATAAAAAGTGAATTCCCCTTAACTATTTCTGTGGGTTGACAGTGTTATTAATGTTTTCATCAATTTGTCGGATATCAATATCTGCATATTATTATTTATCGATATGCGTTTTTTGTGATTCGCGATTGTGAACTTCGAGTCAAGATTTTTTTCGAGAATGGTTAAAAAGTTAATGTATCAGGAGCAAGTAAACGTATGTCAATTTTTTGTACTGGTCCATACAAAAGTTCAATTTTATTTGATTATAGTACGTATACATAGTTACGTCTATAGATTTCGGCTACTCAAAATACCGTGAAAAATACAAGTCACATGCGGTAGGGGGCCGCTTAATTATGTTTTTTATCATTTTTTAAACCGTCAAATGTGCTAACACTTGCGGCGATAAAATATTTGCCGGGGATTCCCCAACGACGTCTTGTATCGTATAAACGTTTCGCTTTCCTTTTACTTGTAACTTTGTCAGTGAACAGTGAGTACCTACTTGAGTACAATCTTACATAAATATTGCATAAATAAATTAGAAAACTAATATTATGGACAAAAAAAAAGAAACCCAGTGGTGCATTTAAACGCAAACAACGCCAAGAAAGAGAAGAAAGTAAACAAAAATTGTCCAAAATTGACAAGTTTTTTAAGTCAGCCTTCTGCAAGTACTTCTGGACAAAATATTTCTATTGATAATTTTTGTAAATAGCTTGCATGGGCATAGGTTAAATACCAGTAAGCTGGTGCAACGTATCTATGAATAAATGAATCTAAATATATATAAGTCAAAGGTGACTGACTGACATAGTATCTATCAACGCACAGCTTAAACCACTGGCCAGATCGGGCTAAAATTTGGCATACACGTACATGTTATGACGTAGGGATCCGCTAAGAAAGGATTTTGATCAATTCTACCCCCAAGGGGATAACAAAGGGGATGAAAGTTTGTATAAAACTGTCAATTTTAAACCGACCGAACTGAGACTTTGTATGCATAAAGCTACTATGACGTAGGCATCCCCTAAGAAAGGATTTGCTAAATTCCGCCCCTAAGAAGATAAAATAGGGGATGAAACATCATTTCAGGTTTTTTTACACGATATATTGAATAAATATATATTGAAAATATTCGTTAGAAATGCTGCTCAGAGTTACTTTACCACGCGGACGAAGTCGCGAGCATAAGCTAGTATATAATAAACCCTTGAATCTTTTCGATTTCGTTTTATTGCCCAATAACTACACCAAGTATAAAAAATTATGTTGTTAGTTTTTAATAGTTTTATTACCTGCCCATGCACGAAAAAGAGCTGATGATAAAGTTGCTTAGCATTTTTAAAGTATTTGTATATTAAATGATTTTACTTCAAAAAATCTTACCAGTTTTGATAGCAGTGGGCCCCATTTTTTTATTTGCCCCAGGGCCCTAGGTTACCTAGCTACGCCACTGCAACTGATGTTATAAAGATGTAAAGTTTCTTACATTAATTGTTTGTTTGCAAGGATCTTAGGAAATACCGATTCGATCATGAAATTATTCCACCTATCATCAGTGACATAAGATATAATTTACGCAGGTAAAGTCGTCGGAAAACAACTAGAAATTTACATTTTTTTATTTGCTTTGTTTACGTTACCTACGTTCTATGTTGATCTGGAAGCTAGAAGCTTGATCCCATTAATGCGTGTTCACCAGTTGAATTACATTTTTTCATAAATCCAGATATATTTATTCTAATACTGAAATGGCGGGTCGGAGTCTCCCTCTGCCCGGCAAGCACTGATGTGGTCATTGAAATGGCTTAATCCAAACGCCTTTTAAGTCCTGGGCGATTATTAATTAAAAAAAAAAACCTACATGATTGCCTAATTTATTTGAATTTAGTTGCGCAATAACTTGCGATGTTCGTGAATCTCGAATCGCTTATCCATCCAATCTCATTTTAATTTCGCACCGACATTGTCGTGAAGTGAATTTTCCAGAAATGCATATTAAATTCAATCCTGCAAACGTTTGAATAAAGTCTAAGTTGAAAAATATGCAAATGCGATAAGTGGAAAGTAGTCAAGTTTCCACTTTTAATAATACTTATTTGAGTATTTAGTAGAAATCCGTACTCCGTTTTATAAATGCAAAATTGGCTCTATATTTATCTATTTGTTGTTCTTTTACGACGTAACAACTGAGTCGATCGATTTAAATTTTATATGGTAGAGATATAATGAAAAAGGGAATAGGTTTTTGCTAGTCTGTAATAGTCTCACGGGTCAAAGATATTTAATGACAAAAAGAATAAAAAAGCGTTATTGTTCTTCATTTTGTTTAATTTTATCTACAACATTATTAAGACATCCATCCATCCATATAAAAAAAGACATCCAATATCAATAAATCACATTTTAATAACAACTGTTCGAGTTTTTACATTATTAACATTATAGATAATAAAGTAAAAACTCTCTCTTCTCGTTCTCGTACAAAAATTGCACTGAATATCGACAAACCAAGCTCTATACCTTATAGGTATGGTATAACTTATACTTACAAAACAATTTAAAGTAAGAGCTCGATCGCGCTACGATGAATGCGTTCGGTTTGTTTAAGCAATTTTCGCATGGGTATAGTTAATGTGCATCTATGGCATGGGCCAGTAATAGGTGATATATACATCCGTGCTTCGGAAGGTATGTTTAACCATTGGTACCGACTACATCTGCAGTGTGCAGAGTGGTGGGTAATGGCCCGTTCGCCCTATTCCATTTCATTCCATCCATAGCAAAGGCCTGTCCCCGCACAAGGAGTAGGAAGATCTTTATTGTATAAATTTATAAACTTATTACAATGTTATGAGTTGATTTCTTCGTGAAAATTATTGTTGATCTGACAATCATATACCAATATCATTTTTTTGTTTTGTTATATTCTGTTTTGTTTTGTTATATTTGTTTTTTTATATTATATATTTTAATGACAATATAAAAACAAACAAATTTTGTAAACGTTATTTACGTTTACAAAACAGAGTATAATTATTTTTTACTTTTATTTCCTACATATTAACACAACTAGTATAATCGTTAAATCACGACAAAAATATTCATAAAATTTATTATTTATATATCATATTTATTAACCGACTTCAAAATCCAAAAGGTTATACTTATGTTCGACAGCGATGTATTTTTTTTTTTGCTAATTAAATTCAAATTCAAATATTTATATCTAGGCTAAGAAGTCAATAACTTTCTGACTTTTTGCGGATCACAAGCTTATATTTTTTACTATTGATGCTAATAAATAAATAACTATATAGAAATATATAAAAAAAAATAACTTACTGGCTAGCGTAATAGGAATACTTTTGCAACAGTGCTAATGAGCTGATAGAATTTTTGATTAAAAACCTTTTTCTATTGCTATTAAATTTAGTTTTAATTACCATTTACTTCAAATTTCAATACCCATTCTTTATTGTTTTCTCTAGTCTATGAGATAACGATTTCAGTTATGGGTTTTTTGTTTGTTATGAAAAACTCTTTTATCTCCAGAAATTACTTTAAAGAATTATTATAAGAATTATTAATATAGGTATGACCTGGTTCATAAAACAATGAGAGTATTGTTTGAATGTTTAAATTTGTTTAATGAAATATTCCTGTGAAGTCACTCCGGAAATATACGAATATTGTACATGTCACAATAAATATATTATTTTACATTTTATCGTGTGTAATCCCTGCTTAAAGCTGAACATCCACTGTATCCATACGCACACAACGGATTATACGGCTTTAGAGATGTCATACGACCTCTACATCCGGATGTCGGATTTTAGAATAACATTTCGAAAGTTTCATAATAACGTTGCGAAACATAATAATTGAAGTAACCAGTATGACGTCATCGGCACTAATATCATTCTCTTTGCTCATATAATTCATGCAGTCGGTGCAGCCAGTGCGGATAGTGAACGGGGTGCTATACGATTTCATACAAACCTGTGGTAAATCCGTTTGTCCGTTGTGTGCGTGCAGAAACAGTGGAAGTTTACCTTAAGGGTCAGTGAATACTGTAGATAGATGCGCTGCGTCTTGTAATGGGATTTCAAAACTGATATATATCCGTCGAATTTCTGTTGCGCACTAACATATTGTTAAAGACAGCTTCCGGTGGGCCATCATACATCACATCCATGGAACTTCCGCCAACAATTACAAATATTAAATAAGGCTCCATAAATTTATTTCCGTGGTTAATATTTGATTAAAAAATTAAAATGTCATAGTCAGTGAAAAAAGATCTTGTAAGTTGATAATAGTTACTAATTTTTGATTTGTCAATGTTTTTTAACGGGGGTTTTTCTTTTCGAATACATGGACACGGTGAAAATTGGACATTCGACTATTCGTTTTGTTACGGGGTAATTCTACCCGAATAAACACCTGTGAAAAATCAAGACCCGCGTGATTATTTCGCCACTCAGACCCACATCTATTTACAATATATTTCGATGAACCACTCTACAGATCTTCCGTTTGATTTTCATCTACGCTTAAAACGTCCGTTTTAAAATAGTGTTATAAATAGTCATAGCCAATTTGTATATGAAAGAAACGTTTCGTTAAATTAACAATAAATTAATGATCTAAACAATCTTCTGCTTGTCTGACTTGCATATACAAAATCTCACTATTGCTCCTTCGTTCTTTCTTCGGTTGATCTTCTACGCTATGCCCGAATTGATATCCTTTGCACAGATATTGAAATACGACCAAAGACACTAACATGAGGCATGTGAAGAAGAAAAATTGTGTTTCCTGAAAGTAAAATGAGATATAATTTATTTCTTAAATTATTTGGTTATAAAAGAACATGCAAGTGAAATAAATGCAGGCGATACGTGAGCTTATGCAGAATTTGCTCAGTAACGTTCAACAGATTGCGTGTATCCTAATGAAGGGATGAATAAATTATACTGAAAATATGGTGTCAGTGTATTTCTCCGTATTCACGTGTGGTACGGACGGCTTATTAAATTTAGAGCAAAGTCGCCGTGTAAAAATCACAGCACGGGCCTTGGTCGATTACCTTAGTAATTATTCTAAGGTCGATGCATTCAGTATTATCTATCGAGCAACTGGCGACGTTCACAGATTTATTTAAAAAAAGAAAACAGTAGCTGCATTTTGAAATGTTAATAATTTGAATATTGTCTATGCTCAACTCGCGGACACATAAGCACAGACACTGTGTAAATGAGTACGGAGCATAAAAGTTGAAAAGGCAAACTACGTTGATTCGAGTATGTGGAAAGAATGGCGGGTAATTACAAAACTGACAATACTTTCACGTTGGAAACTTGACAGGAGGTTACCGAGACACAGGACACACGTTTCACAATCAAATCGCTATAGCAAGCCAGAAAAAGATTACAAAAAATAACTCTTACAAAACTGCAAAGGTAGTTAACAAATTCAAATAAATTCATTTCAATTTCAGTTAAATTGAGACCCCCGGACCAGCGGCACTTAGTTCTCTCTGGCTACCCCCTGGAAACTAGCGTAGTGATATAAAAGATATATGGAGACAGAACACGGAGTAATAGACGTCACAAATACATCTATGTAACCACCTGCCGGTAACCGCTCATGAGACGGGTTACGACGATGATGATGACGTTTCCAGCTGCCTCGGTGAGCAGCCATGACGCGGTCATCACTGCTTTCATGCTCTCCGGAGCCTCTTTGAACGCAAACTCGTTACCGGTTACCGCAAATAATACCTGCGGCCAACGTTATTACGTTAACTTAGTTGGACACATAAGCGTCGTCGCCGTTCTGACAGCAAAATCGATCGATAGATGGCGCGTTTGGTCGGCGATTCGGAATATAAGCAACTTTCGCAAGGGCCTCATCATCATCATCACCAGACCTTTTATGTTCCCACTGCAGGGGCTCAGGCCTTCCTTATGGATGGTTAAGGAGGATGGGCCATGACCCTCCACGCTGGCCTAATGCGGATTGGAGTTCCTTCCGAAGCACGGAGTAGCTCGAGATAATAATTTTTTGGTCACCCATCCCGTGACCGACCCTTGTGAAAGTTGCTTAACGACTACGATCGCGGGCCGCGGCGCTCATCCTCTACACCACCGAGCTACCTATCGGCCTATCCATAGGCTAAAATACCAAAAATATATTATTTTGAGTTCCTCCGTGCTTCGGAAGGCACGTCGAGTCGTTTGTTGAAGCTATACACAGTCTTTAACACATAACGCATTATCATTACCACCCGCGTGGTACGCCATGGCCCAGTCTTCTTATTCGATTCAATTCGTTTCCAGCAGTTGCAGCGTCACAATTGTGTGCGCCAAACAAAGCATCAGTTACCATCAACACTACCTTGCAATTTGCTAACAATGTTGGTATCATTTACCTTAATGTAAGCATATCATACGTTTAAGGCACGCTTGTACCTCCGCTTACGTTCCCATACAAATACGAAAATAATTACGCATCCAGCGTAAAGGAGCGCTCGGTTGATTCCATACATTTTAAATCACAGAAAAAAAGCAAATTCAGTTATAAAAAAAGCTTCTTTTGTATATTATATCAAAATCTACTTTTGTATATATTTTCATATAGTTAAGATGAAATTTATTGGTTGTAAAATCGAGCCAAAAAAACCTATTTCATCTTTGCGATTTTTTTCTATAGAGCCATTATAGAAATTTACGTTTCTGTTTTTAGCGAACAATCGATCATATGTTTATTTTCCATAAAATAATTTGGCAGTCATAAGCTTAACCTTAGAATGTGATTGATTTAAAAAGTTGCCTTAAATTGGTTTAACCTTGCCTTAAGATAATAATGTCTCTGGTAACTCGTGTAGAAAGCAAACAGAAAATATTATTTTATTGAAATTGAACGCTTTCATAAAATTCACTAAGTGATTTTGAACATTTATTATCTGTAAAGAAAGAGCGAATAAAATTCCAAGATATTTAAAAACAATAATGGACATTAAAATATAAAGCTTTATTTATAATAGAAATATTCAATACCCTCTTCGATGAAAGCTTCTTATTTTGAAAGAAATATTAATAAATATTTTTTGTTTTCTGTTATGAATTTAGAATAATATTTCTCGAAAAACAAATAAAGTAATTAAAAATTATTATCTGAATTTCATTACCATTAATGTTATTTTATCAAATATTTATTAAAGCAAATTTGTACAAATTACTGTTGTTACTAATTATTTGAATCTGATAAAACAAACAAAATTAAATACCTACCAAGTTTTATTTTTAGACATAATAAAGATGTCTAGAAACTATTATATTACCTCATACTAAGCATATAACAATGACTAAGGTAATCTATTTTAAATATGCGTGGATACCATATCATCATCATCATCATCATCAGCCCTTTATTTCGTCCCCACTGCAGGGGCTCAGGCCTTCCTTATGGATGGTTACGGAGGATAGGCCATGACCCTCCACGCTGGCCCATTGCGGATTGGAGGGTATTAACGACTACAAATGCAGCCGGGACCAACGGCTTAACGTGTCTTCCGAAGCACGAAGCAGCTCGAGATAATAATTTTTTGGTCACCCATCCCGTGACCGACCCTTGCGAAAGTTGCTTAACGATCGCGTGTCGCGGCGCATATCCACTACGCCACCGAGCTACTCGAGCTACACCGGGATACCATATACTTAGCGTTATTTATTAAAAATAAACTAATTGGCAAGGCACGAAATTATTTCAGGAATCAAGAATTCTATCGAAATGATAAATTTAAAAAATCAGCAAGGAAATTAAGGTGTGAAAACAAAGTATCATATAAAAAATTTTTCGTTAGCATCTTACATGTCCAAAAGAAGTGTTTTTTGTCAAGCGTTTTACTTTAAGTAATGACACTTTTATTTATTTATTCAGGAACTCCTGTAGTAGTTGCGTAATAATAACATAAAAAAACTATAAAAAAATTAAGTTACATAAAAAATCTATCTTACGTTATTGGGTCTATGTTTTATCGGTTTTAAAGTACTTAGGTGATTATTGGGAAAAATTAACATTATAAGGTATTTGTCCTGTTTTCTAGATTTTATATTATTTATAACTGTAGAGCATTTTGAATGCATCCATCAAATCGTTGCTTAGTAACACAAACCAAAGAGAAATTTACAAACATTTACTAAAGAGTAAATAATATATACATATTTAAAATCTATGATAAAACTATTATTATAGGAGAAGCTTTGGAAAAGCTATTTATATTTGGACATAATTATGCATACCATAGATATATAAGTCTGTGTGGTGAACAGAGTGGACCAACGAACGGCCAACAAACGGAATCCAATTGTCGTAGTTGTTAAGCAACTTTCGCAAGGGTCAGTCACGGGATGGGTGACCAAAAAATTATTATCTCGAGCTACTAGAGATTCTTCAGGAAGGCACGTTAAGCCGTTGGTCCCAGCTGCATTTGCAGTCGTTATTACCTTCCAATCCGCATTAGGTCAGTGTGGCCCAGCCCCCTTAACCATCCATAAGGAAGACCTGAGCCCCTACAGTGGGATGTAAAGGGCTGATGATGATGACGAAGCATATGTGACACATTTAAGAACAACATCCCTAAGCTCGATTATATTTAATCAATTCCAACTTTGGATATATTCTGAATATAATAGAAAAAAGAAGCAACTACCTACAAAAACAACTAAGATCCCATCAAAAGCATAACATGTCCAGGGATACTTGGCAAACGCACAGGTATGGTAAAATTAAATTAAATGATTTAAAAGTACTTAGATGGTTAATGGGTACTGAATCAATCGACTTGGACTGAATTAATCGAATTTATGTTGATTTTATAACTTTTTACGGCAGAAGGATTGCGTTCTGACACTTGTGCATTTTTGGACATGTTATGTTTTTGATGAGATAAACTTATACATAATAATTTGTGTTAGTGCAAATGATGACGAAGTACTAGTAGTCGATACTACAATAAATTAAATTAGTATTGAAAACGGGTTCATTTATGATATAAAATATACTTATAGATATGAATAAGAATAATATAATTTATTTCTTTTCACACAGAGTCGTACAATGTATGTCTGTCTATATAATAGAACTAGTCACTCGTGTGTGAAAAGCTAGAGCCTGCTATCGATTTCATTTTACATTCATGTGCGACCACTTTTAAGCTAGTTTGTTTTGATCATGATGTGGTGAACGGTGTTAGTTTACAATTATATGTCATCTGTTTAATTATGTAAATTCAATGCTAATTGTATCACTGTTTGTTTATATGTGGCCCTGGTGATATCAAAAGCATAGATATCACCAGGGCCTCCCCCGCATAATTACATCACAGATATACAAACATGACAAAACTCTGTGACCATACAATTTTTTTTATGATTTTGAAAATCACATATTTAAAATATAAATACTTATGCTAAAAAGGTCGACAACAAGCAGTAATTGACTGACAGATACACATATGATGATATGAGGATACTGATTATTCCGCTATGTAACCCTACGAAAACAAATGAAAGTGGAGTTAAACCGGTGCAATCGATTTTCCTTCGAATAGTAGATAATCAAATCGTAAGCACTAACCTCTTACTGATTTAACTCATTGAATCTTTCAAAGGAAACTTTATTACACAGTCGTACAGAGAAGCACAAAAGTTGATTATTGCATACGATTCACTGGCGAAAAGTAATAAAATGTGAAAAACTTTAAACTCACTTCGGCTGTGGATATAATGAGAAATTGTGGGAGGAGGAGTATCATTGTTACAGAGTTGGCAGCTGTCGTCACGACAAGATTGGTTCTCTGCAAGAAAACAAATTAATGTTAAAGTGCACATAAAAGTGAAGAGAAGAAAGACATTATTGTCTTATTGGTCTATGTTGTATTACGCAAAAAATATAATCTACATATATTTTCATTTAATTGCAACAATAACAGTGACGTCCAATAAAAGAATACGAGGGTCAAACTGAAAGTTCTTAGAAAATCAAAAACTGATTACATTAGCCAGTTATTAGTTTTATTATATCTTTTCAAAATATTGTCCATTCACGTCAATACACCGCTGCATGCGATGGAACCACTGGGAAAAGCACTTTGCCCACTCGTCCTTAGGGGTCTCTTCAATGGCATCGCGATACGCAGCCACCGCTTCTTCAGCATTCATAAACCGCTTTCCTTTAAGTTTTTCTTTAATTTTTGGAAATAAATAAAAATCACAAGGCGCGAGGTCGGGGCTATACGGCGGGTGACCCAGTAATTCAACGTTTGATGTCGCCAAATAGTCGATCGTTCGCTTGGCGGTGTGCGACGAGGCGTTGTCGTGGTGAAGGAGGATCCTACTGCGAGGTCGTTTCTCTCGAACTTTTTCCAAGACAAGTGGCAAACAATTGGTAGTGTACCATTCTGCAGAAACTGTTTTTTGATCCTCTAACACAATTGTTGCAAAATGACCTATCCTTCCAAAGAACGAGGCCACCATTTTTTTTCCCGCACTTCGATCTCTCTTCACTTTGGTTGGCAACTCCTCGAAAGGAAACACCCACTGAGCAGATTGTCTTTTGGTTTTAGGATCATAACAGTAAATCCAGCTTTCGTCACCTGTTAGTATGTCGAACACAGCATTTGAGTCACCTCCGTTAAATCTTTCAATCATTTTACGACACCAATCCACACGATGGAGTTTTTGAGCCTCAGTCAAATTATGAGGTATCCACCGGGCGCAAAGCTTCCTGACCGCTAAATGTTCGTGGAGGATTTTGTGCACTTGACTCATACCGATGCCTAAGCTTGTCCGAATCTGTTGATAGGTCACTCTTTTGTCAGTCTCTATCATACGCCGCACAACACAGATGTTATCTTCAGTCGTCGCCGTAGAAGGCCGTCCCTCACGTAAATCATCAGTGAGATTAGTGCGACCACGTTTAAACTCATTAAACCAGTTGTAAACAGTCGCACGAGATGGGGCTTCATCGTGAAAGGCCAATCGTAGTCTATCATAACTTTCTTGTTGACTTAAATGACATCGAAAGTCATAAAAAATCATTGCACGAAAATTTTCTCGTGTTAAATTCATGATGACGTGACACAGACAATTTTCAATTTGCCGCCAAATCGTAAAACAAATGACAAATGAATGAAATATATACTCAGTAATATTGGCAAAGAGTTATATTTTCAAATTTTAGAATTATTTTTTTATTATATTGTTTATAAGTGGCCAGTTCTAAGAACTTTCAGTTTGACCCTCGTATATATACGAGAAGTTTTATATCACTTAATAATGAAGGTAACCTAGTATATTGTTATATAAAGAATTTTTTAATACTAAAAAGTGAAATTTAATAAAGGAAATCTACTTATTAACAATATCACTTCTTTATTAGAACGTTTAGTCATTGTAGAATTTTCACGACCTTTTTAAAATTAAAAAGAAATAATATTGGTAAGAAGTTTACTATCGTTTTTCTGAACCTAATCTAAAATGACATTAAAACAATATTAGTGTGTTTTACGCAAAAAATATACGTGCAAAAAACGGCAATAAAATCTCGGATTCACGGCCAACTATTATTGGGTACGCGGTACCCAGCGCTAAACCCGATAGCGGTAGCAATACCCAGAGCTACGGTTACGGAGAGATACATATCTAACGCAAAAGCCAGCAGTGAGGACACTTGTATCCAGAGAGAGGCCATGGTTGAGCGGACTAACTTGGCCTTAAGTTTTGTTTCCCAATGGGGGGATAACAATTTGGTCAGTTTTAACGCCACCAAAACACAGGCGTGTTTATTCTCCGCCAAAAAGAGCCCTTTCACCTTGGCTCTTTCTTTCCGTGGTACAACTGTAGAAATCTCTGACGATCTTGATCTTCTTGGCATGAGGTTGTCTTCAGACCTCAACTTCGGTGACAGCATCGAAACGAAAGCTCAAACTGCGGCCAAAAAATTGGGCATCCTAAATAGAGTTAAACGATACTTTACACCGGAACAGCTTCTTATTTTGTATAAAGCGCAAATCCGTCCGTGTATGGAATATTGCTCACACCTTTGGGATGGCTCAGCAAAATACCAGCTTGCCGCGCTCGATTCGGTGGACCGTAGAGCCAGAAAACTTGTGGGGGATTGTGATCTCGATAACTCCAAGCTCCACAGTCTGTCTCATCGCCGAAAAGTTGCTTCACTGTCGGTATTCTACAGATTGTACTTCGGAGAGTGTGCTTCTGAGCTGCATCGGCTCATTCCGCCAGCACCTTTTTACCACCGGGAATCCAGGCGTACAGCAAATTATCACGCCCACCTGGTTCACATTCCACGTATCCGAACAAAGCGCTTTGGATCATCATTTATTATGCGCACAGCCAAGGAGTGGAATAGCCTACCTGCCTCTGTTTTCCCGGTATCCTATAACCCAAGAATATTTAAAGCACGAGTGAATAGGTATTTTCTGGGCAAACTCGTCCCATCTTAGGCCTTACGCTTAATATTATTACGCCTGAGGTCAAGAGTGAGCCCATCTCGGATAAAAAAAAACTATTTCACATATACATGATATATACTCTACACATTAAAGTAATAATTGTTTCACTTAGTACGGAATCTATTAAAAACTAAACCATTTTTTAAGGTATTCCAATACTTACATAATCTTTACCGTCGTAATCAACAAGAAGTGTGTAGACTCCCCCACTTAACATTTCCAGGCCGGTCGCGATCACTCTTCCATCCGCTATCAAATCGTAACTCCCAGCAAATACTTCTGCCTGCGACGATACCGTAGAGTCGATGTGCGCCTCCACCATATTGCCCTTTATCAAAGTAATATTGGGCAGCGTTCTATGGGTTTTAAGAAACCTAGAAAGAAAAAATAAAAGTTTTGTTTGTAAATAATAACAGGACCGAGGATACAGGCAGAAGTTCACGAAAGGTTCTATTTCCGTTCGGGTCATATTAAACTACACATTTTTTCTATAATATCACAGATTTATTTCCTGTGCTTCTTTCATACAGGTTTCTTCAAAAGAGATGCTGAAAGCTACTTTTATTAGGATCTGAACAAATTATGACATCTTGTCTGATATTTAATAATAATCCTTTCTTCAGAGAAAGGATTGTTATTAAATAGTGAAAGTGAAATCTGTGGGTGTCTGTATAATTATTATTATACTCTTTATTGCACTCAAAAATTTTACATAAAGCAAGTAAATAAATTTGTTACAAAGGTGGGCTTATCTTTAGAAGATCCAGCCAACCTAGGAGTTGTGGGAGAGTAAGATGTAAGCAAGTGATAGAAGTGCAGTTTAATGATATTACGGTTGGAAAAAAATATATATAATAAATAAAAAACAAAAAATAGCTATATAAAATACATAAAATATACATTACATACACACACATATATATATATATCTACATATATAAGGTACGATAAAAGCAGTGTCATGAATACGAACATTGTTCTAGAAAGTAGTCTTTAAGTTTAAATTTGAAACACATGATGGAAGGGCAATCCTGAATATTCAGGGGAAGTCTGTTCCATAGTTGAACACCACGAACAGAAAAGGATTTGAGGAGGGAAATTGGTGTTACATTTAGGTAGCTCAAGAGATTTGGTGACGCAGGGAGACCTAGGATAGTAAGAAGGAGGAAGCTTCTCGAAACGGGAACTAAGGTATTGGGGTGAATTAGGATCTTCAAAATCTTTGATTACTGGCTAAGGCTTCAACTGCGATTAAACGCAAAGCTCTAACATTGCGGTTCAAACCGCAACCTGGCCTTGCCTACTCGCTCCTCGGTAGTTCGGTGGCATAATGAATAAGCGCCGCGGCCCACGATCGCTGTTGTTAAGCAACTTTCTCCATCCTCTTTAACCATCCATAAGGATGACCTGAGCCCCTGCAGTGGGAACGTAAAAGAGTCGAAGACGAACATCTAGTCTTCTACACAAGCGCATGTGTTAGCCAACTGGAAAGGCGAGCCAGTTTTGCGTTGCCAGCTATACCTAAGTTTCCACACAGTGCGATCTCAGACCTATCTCCTTCAGTTTCATACATCAAAAAGGTTTATCTAAAAGATAAATAAACTATTTACGTGTAGAATTGAATACTCTCGCCCTACTCTGTGATGTTTTGTTGTTGTGGTGTAAATAAGTTTATTTTAAGCTAACATTATTCTCTGTGATAAATAAACACAAAATATTTTTTTATCATCCTCTAACTGGTATATTAGATATGAAAATTAATACATTTATTTTCTACCTTTACGTTATATTTTCTTACTCTTCAAAGCATGTCTACATTTATAAAAATAAATTGCCAATGATTCTCTTTCTCTCGATTTTAAGACGCAATTCTTAGGACAATATGAAGAATAACAATTTTGAATATAAATATTCTTTGTACTTATATTTAACCAAAGTGTGTTTATAAAATGTGTAATAATATGTATACTATTTCATATATGGACTGTACACACGGCTGCACTTAAAACTATACATTGTGGACTTAGTAAAGACCTCGCTTCCTATAGAACTTCCCTACTAACAAAGATCTGCTTACGGTGGTGGTGTATGGTGTGACGTGTGGCCGTGCGTACATATACTTGAATGAATACTATGGGCCTAAAAAAATAACATATCAACCGACTTAATCAAAAAGGAGAGGGTTCTCAATTCGTCTTTATGTATGTTTTTATCTCCGACCATTAACTTCATGGTTTATAAAACGATTTTTACGCATCTTTTTATTTTATTAATTTAATCTATCTAAAACAAATAGCAAATTCTTAATTAAATTTTATTTTTTTATCGAAATAACCAATAGTTAGTCATCTAAGTTTAATGTGTAAATATGTCTAACTAACGGTGCAAGTTATACAACTTATAATTGTCTCTAACTATAAATTGATAAAACATATATTTTACAAATATTGTTTGTCCTAAATAAATTTTAAATATTAATGATTTGAAATTGATAACATTTTACGAGAAAAATTAATTTAATGGACTCTTCGCTTATTTCTTTTCAAAAAGTCAAATGATTCATGCCTACTGTTTTTTTCTTACATCACGACGGAATATATAACGAAAAACATGGAGATCTCTAAACCATTTGGGTCATCACGCTAAGCGAGGCGTCGATACCTTCAACGCACCGTTTCCGTTTTTCCGGCTCACTTCTTGCTCGTCCACAAATTACAGTCGATTCTTTTGTGTTTCGCAATATTATCGGCCGGGGGACTTATCTATTTTTAATAAGGAAACAAAGCCAACAAAACGTGACAAACTGGAAGGAAATGTAATGTGACCTCATTAGTTTACGGGTAAGAGATTCGCTTTTAAATTAAATTAAAAAGTTTACGCCTCTGTTTGGAGACTTGCAATATTCCGTTACAAATAAAATACCTTTGCACTACCAATACTTCTACCCCTATAACTGAATCATTGCCAGTCAAAAATAATGAAACCGTATCACGTTAACATAAAAGATATGATGGTGCTCGCATGTCTATCAGAGCCAATGAAGCGGGCGAAACGAATTTTTTTCACATTCTTGCAAACGAATGACAGGTTATATTAGAATTCTGACGTATCGTCGCGTTCACCTACTTGCGTTCTAATGGCATTCTCTTTTTTTTTAAACAAAATGATGAACACCCAAAATCTCATTTTACCCAATAGCCAACTTTGCAACGCTTTATTTAGTGTAATTCTAATTCGTCTTCTATGGGCTCTCAATCGATAAAAAGAAATAAAATGTTCGATATCGCTTCTATCTTGTAGAGCGATTGATATTTAAGACATATGCTTCTTTTAAACTACTTAGAAAAAGAATACAGTTTAAGAATACAAGTATTTTGCCGTAAATTCGATGACACTATACTTTACTGTTTATTTGGCAAGTGAATTCGAACGTCGAGATGACTATCGAGTTTCCATTAAGAATACCATTTTTTATGCATGTAATGTCAAAATCTCACTTATCTTAGTTCAATTGACGCCGCGTTCGACAGTGAGGCGCTAGCGAGGTTTTCGAGTCATACTGAATACGAAATTTGAATCTCACCGCGGTTACAGCTTTCCTATGTTCGAAATGCGTGTACAGAATCGCATGGCTGATTTGTTATAACTTGATGCAATTATAATAAACACTGTACCTATCTTATTATCATATATATTGGTTTTTAATGGATCAAATGAACTATAAATAAACTCCAAAACTATATCAATGTGATACAAAATTTATCAATATTACACCACATTATCTCATTGATATCCGAAAACTACTGAACCGATCTTTAAATCAAAATTTTAGTCGTATCTGTTATTTTTGACCAACTTAAAAAACAGGATATTTTATTTTTTAGTATAATTGACAGCAACGCGTGGCTGGGTCAGCTAGTATTGTCATAGAAATAAGTGATAAAAAAAATATTTTCTCAATCTCCTCCGTGCTTTGGAAGGTACCTGCGGTCATAAAAACACTACAGTTGACATGCGTAGTAGATTTAAAGCTCGCTTTCTCTCTTTGGTTCCATCCATAGTGAAGACTCGTGCCCCAATAGTAGGGACATTAATAGGCATATTATGATGATGATAAAAAACAGTACACTAAATCCACTTACCTTACAACAGGCAAGCCGGATCTACTCTTGTACACATTATCAGTGAAACGTCTCACTTGCTCCCCATCCAAAAAGAATGAGATAGCTTGATTTTCTTCCAGCAACAGAGATGCTCTTCTTTTTTGCACACAACTACCGCTTATATCAAATATTTTATATTCGGACTTAGTAAGTTTTATATCTTTGTTTGTATATTTTGTAAGAGGTGCTATTATATGACTAATGTTTAGAGATGTACTATGTATTGTTACAGAACAGTTATTTCCGTTGAAGATTCTCATTTGAGTGTGTCCTGGTTTCGGAAGTTGTGGGTAAGTCGTCTGAAACAGGTAATGAAGTTGAGAACTAATATATAAACGAAACTAATAATCAAAAATAATAAACGGTGGTGCCCATTACTAGATGGCGCTTGAGCAGAAGTATAGCCTGCATTGCGCTCACTAAGTTTCTAGATCTCACTAATGCAGAGCAATTTAACCACACCCAGCTCAGAAGGAGGACTTTTCCCTTTAGTCTCCCTTACAGTCATCACAGGTTGTAGAATAATTGTAGGCCAACAATATACGTGGGATATTGCAAAATAGCGTTTATATTTTCTTCGAAATATGCATATTTTTAATAGCATCAGAAATATACGTACCATATGAATTTAGTCATAAAAATTTATCCACTTACACTGATGTAAATTTCCACGGCACCAGCCACTATGAATGCAATCGCTGCTAACACCATACCCAGTGATAACTTATGTAGCGGGTTACTAAGAATGTTTCTTTTTTCCAAATAAGGATAGATGTACTGCAAACACAATAATAGTCAAATAAGTTCAATTCAAGAGCCTGAGAAGTGAAGAGACCAAATTACGTGTGATGTTACTACTGTGACTGAATAGCCATTTTCTTCTTGTAGAGATCGGATTATACGCAATTGAATATTCACTAGTTCCAGGTGCCCGAAAGGAACACCCAAATCAAGCATCTCGGACATCTAGACTGGTGAATTATTCAAGTAATTTGCTATGAGATAGAAATATAGAATAAAAACAATTCAACAGGTTTCCACTTGATATGCTTAACAAGGAACAGCTTTATGATTATTATTTATACAATTGACAAAATAAACTACAAACCTTTTGTGCTAAAGGTATTATTATAAGTATAACAATTGGGCACAGAACTTGCATCTGATCAGGCTTGATGGTGATGAAACCCAACCTGCCGTCCATCTTTGTGGCTTGCAGGGTCCAACGGGAACCCTAAAATAAGCACCCGATAAGCACCATGCTCCTGCGGAATCCAAAAACCCTCAAATTCTAAATACTTTCACACCACATCATCAGTTCTTTACTGTCCCCACTGTTGGACTACAGGCCTGCCACAAATCGAATCAAATTGGGAGAATGAGCCATAACCCAACGCGTGAGCCTAGTGCGGTTTGGTGGGTGGTAATAATTGCAGATACAGCCAGGATCAATGGCTTAACGTGCCTTCCGAAAGATAAATCACAAAATTCGGCCCTCATTTATTATAATTATAATATCAAAAAAGCGAAACAGGTGCCTTGTGTTGTTTAGTTTTCTCTGCAAGTTAGGCGTGAGTAACAATATCACTGAATAAATCTGACAAAAAAACTATAGAGGTCTTCTCCCATGCTTAAATTCCACGTGGACCACGCAAATTTGGCTTTATTATTCCGGGTTTTATTCTCAGTCGAAATATAGAAATTTTTATTGTCTATATTGTATGTACAAAGGCATTAAATTCTTAGCTTGGGATCAAAGCAGTTAGTGCGAAATTATATAATTATTTATGTAACGAAATAATAGCACAATCTAAGGGCCTCCTTTGTTAGTCCGCATTTCTCCGATTACGATTTTTCGGCAAATATCGAATTGTTCTTATAACTTCTTTAATATTATATCCATGAAGATTATCTGTGCACCCAAGACTGTCAAGTCCTACCTCCGTTGTATCATACCAAAAAATACGTTCCAGAAATAGGCTTAAATTCGTTTTCGGAGAAACAGAATTTCCTGTATTAGCTATTTATATGCGAGTATTTTCCGCAACGTCAAAATCGACTTGGGGAAAAAAATTGAATTTAATATCATAAAATTGCATCGATCATTATCAAGCTTAGAAAAATATATTACCATTTGATCTAATAGCGACCAGAACACTGGTAGCACTGAAAAAAGTGTCAGCACCGATAATGTCTTCTTGATATCCCTAATGAACCGCTTATCGAACTGATTTTCGGTTGTATTGAGCCAATGGGTGTTTTTCTCCCGTTGTCCTTTGCCAGTCATCACATTTTTTATGCCCAACTGAAACAATAAACATCACTAATATATTCTCTTATTGCATTATTTCAAAATTTTATATATAGATCTTACATTGACTATTTTGTTGAAATTGTTGCATATTTATTGAACCGTTATATGCACTTCCAATGTTATGTATGCTCTCTGTAATGTTTTTGTCTATTTAAATATTCGATATGGGTACTCATACTTCTCCTACTACGTAACTAATTTAACTTCATACAGCATTAATTGAATTAAATGCGAATTTAACGTTTTAAAAGATAAGATACCGTGTAACTTTTTTGCGACTTGAATTGGTTTTGCTTGAAGTATAACTCGGCTATCAATTGCACGATCAATAAAAAAACAAACCGCAAACATAAATTACATAAAATTTATATAGGTTAGGTTGCGTTTACTTCTTGGCCCAAACTACAAGGTTTTAGAACATACAAGGTTTTAGAACATACATCCTTATTAGTAATGTTTCCTTTACAAAATAATCAGAATATGCGCCTCTGAAAAATTTGGTCACAAAACAAATTTGCCATCTGATATATAAACAATATTGTACTAACCCTTAAATGAAACGACGACTTAACGACAACAGAATGCAAACAAAGCGCTTGACTAGTAAATATTTGCCAAAATTATCTGTTAGTGAAAATTCTGGGGTAAGCAACAAGTAATTCTGAGCCTACTCAACCTACCTATACACAGAGCTCATCTACTATTAATAGAAGTCTTTGGTTATGGCTCTTTTTTAATCTTTTTATAGATTGGTTAAAAGTAAATATAGAAACGACTTTAATGTCATGCTGATATTGACATTAAAAACATTGCTGGTAATTTGCAACTCTGCGATATATACAACGTCCTAACGACCTCAAAAACAGACGACTGATATTAGATGCAAAGATACTCTACGATATATATCACAACTAGTACGATTGTGTCTCATTGGTGGATAAATTACATGATAAGGTATAAGCCCTAGTAGGAACTAGGGCTCATATCCGAAAACCTATTGGATTCTTTGCAACTAGCAGACGCCGCACCAATGCTGGAATGGCATTTCATTGCTTAGTCCATTCCTTCAACGGGTTTTTCATCGCGATAGATATTCATAACTTGCGACCAGGATGTTTTAAACATGAATTGTACAAAGCACTATCTAACACATAAAGCGATGTAATAAAATTTCCAATTTATTCAACAATTTCATCCTCAATCCCTTTTTAATTTGATTTATTATCGTAGGATAGATCGTTGTCAGGTATCACCGTTTGTTATATTTCATATATATCAATTGTAGTGGATGTCATTTGTGGCAAAATTCTTAATTTGTTTTATAATGTCTGCGTGTAATTTATATTGTATTTTGTCACTGTTTGTTCTACCCAAATAAATAGAAAAAAAATCCGTGGATGCTGATTCTGATTTTGCTAATAAACCTATTCTTATCACGCATAGCATGACAAACTCGAGAAACGCTTTGTCTACACCAAATTTCACTTTTCTCGGGTCGAGAATGAGATATCGTATGGGCGCTAAGAAAAGTGATATATAGGTGTCGACAAAACGTACTCGAGTTCGGTATGCTAAACGAGCTGGGTTCCCATTATACTAACGCTTTAGTACCATTTTGTACTAATGTGAAACATTATACGTTTGCGTATGACATGACGTTCATAAATTATTTTCACTTTAACACATATATCATTCAAACATCCAATATAGACGGGACGTAAGAAACTACATAGTCTTGCCATAAATATTGTTACATAGGAAATCATCATTTCTTTTTGGAACATAACATTTATTACTGTTTCAGTGTGTAAAGTTAGCATATTAATATAAAGCCATTAAAAAGATATACAACGTGTCCCAATATTCAACGATAAGCGGGCGCCAAGAGGTACCCTTGCTCATGTGTACTTATGGAAAAATAAGAAAAAAATTATATCTTATCTTTTTTATTATAAAATTAAATTCGAAAATCTTCGAAAATTTACACCTTTTATGATATTTTCAACTACCACGACCACAACTTCTCAATTATGTTCAATCTTTTTTTGGTATCGGATACCTAAGTAGCACTACTATTCGCTACAACTCTTTCGAAAATTTTCGAATTTTATTTTATAATAAAAAAGATTAATAAGATATAATTTTTTTCTTATTTTTCCATAAGTACACATGAGCAGGTCTACCTCTTGGCACCCGCTTATCGTTGAATTTTGGGACACGTTGTATATAGCTTATTCCAAGGGGTCTCCACTGCAATACAGTTCTTCAAACTGAGAAGGTTTCATTGTACCTACCTATCAATAGCCCGGTAAACAAACGTTCGACTATACCAAGCGTATGGAGGCTTTTGAAAATATTATTTAGCTCCAACCTTCTTTATGTAATGCAATCACAGGATGCGGTTCTTTTTATCACCTCACTCCATTTTAATATCACAAAAATGTTATAATGTATTGGCGCGAAAATAAGAAAAGACAATGAACAATCATATAAAAAAGGATAGATTCGAAATTCAAAAGTAATATTTTGTTTATATTTAATTCTAATAGTATTTAAGCCAAACTGAGTATTGAAAACAAACAAAAGATCTAATGATCGTCTGTGACTTGAGTTATAGGTACAATCATTATTATCGAACTCATGCAATCAATAAATGAAATAACGTTTGTTATTCTCAATTTTGGTTTTACAATACTTGTAGAAGTCCAAGAAAGTTTTATAAAATGAGAAATATATGAAGGAAACTGTTTGTGGTAAATGGGGACGAACAGCGCGTGAAATGATCTTTCCTGCTGTCCCCGTGCATCTCCTCCGTGGAGAGGGACTTCGCTGAGCTTTGATAGATATGCACCTGCTATTTGCCTAGCCCCTCTCTAGGGTGTATCCGCAGGAAAGAGTCTCACATAACCTGCCGACCTGCGTTAGCGGGGAGTAGGTATGCGTAACGCATTCTCAATGCCAAGAAAAAGTAATCAATAAATTCGTATTACGGAATGTATATTAATTTATACGACCGATTTGGCAACCCTGATACAACCTGCAGTGCTAAATCTTATTAAATAACTCAACGTCACTGTGCTCGACGTTCTCCTTTTGTTTTTCAGTTAAATTAACACTGCACCTCGCCCACCTTGAAACAAAACAACCGTAGAAATAAATGACCATCTGATCACTAATGCAACAAACGAGCAATCGGTTTGCGATTAACATTCGTACATATGCTATACTACACAACCGCAACTCGTAGCAATCACAATTCTATTAAACGATAAGCAAACTAAATTCCGATGTGCAATAAGCAATGGCTTTGTTCGCCTGTAGCTATCCCAGGCATTTTAATGAGAAGATTTTATATAATGTAAGGATAAAAGTATATTTTATGTACATATATGTGTTAATTCAGCCGTCCAATTGGGTAGAAGATTGGGTTGAACAGCCATTTCATAGAATGGCGCCATACGATCAAAGGGCTTTCTTGCGATCAGTCGAGTAGGTGAACGCAACATTCTACTATTTATTTACGAAATTTTTGGTATGATTTGAAGTAAAACAAAATGAATAGTGTAGTGGGTGATTTTAAATAAAACTGTAATCGATACAGATACAGGACTGATCAAAAAATAAAAACAAACTGCTTATTCGCGACTTGTGTTATTGGTCCGTACGATGCAATCAGTGTTGCCAACTCCAATAAACTCGAAAACGACAGATCACCAATAAAAAAACAGTAGGTTAAGTAAAACAGACAATTTCATACTGCACTCGTTTAATTAAAACAATCACACACAAAAGTATGTAATAAATAATAAAAATTAGTTATATCAGGACTTTACATATATTGTTATATTATAATATTGATCACCAAATAAAAGAAAATGAATCTAACTAAATGAAAAATTTATATAATTTTCTACTTTCATTCTCAATTGCCTCTCATCCTCTGTATTTTTCAACTCATTTTCCTTTTTAAAGTCATACGTACTTTTGTTATTTTTTTTCATTTCATGTGCCTTTCTGTAGTTTTATTTAAATGAATAGTAATCGGTTATTTCAGAATTTATTTGTAGTTTTGCAAAGTGTAATAGGTGGCGACTGGCGTTCATATTATTCAAAATCAGTAAAAATTAGAATTAAAACAGGGAACAACAAATCTACTGATAAAACCGTAAGGTTGGTAATACTGGATCCAATACAGGAAGGTAACGTACACACGAATTACACAAGTGGGTGTAATGTAAACGTACGATTTCGATGTTTTGTGCTACACTAATTAATAACAACAAACAACGAAGCTATTTAACGGCTTTTAAATCAGCCGTCTTGTTGAATGGTCCTAATATCATAATGATTCGACTAGAAAACTGGGCGTGCAATTGAATGACGCCATTCAAATTAAATAACTAGCCGTCCAGATCAAACAGTTGATTTAACCAGTTGGCTGCGGCATGTACAACGCAAGATTTTGTTTATGTTTTATTTTAATTAAAGACAATATAGATAGGTATTATTATGGCGAGTGCCTCGATTCTGAATGTAATGGTCCCTTTCACAGAACACAGAAACACGTCCCTCCATTTGTAACACGAGAGCGTTTGCGTCTTATTTTGGAATCGAAGCAATGTATTAATGTTGTTTAATATTTATTTATATGCATGTATATAAGAAATATTTGTCATCAGTGCATAATTTTCCTATGGTTTAGTATCGTTACTATGAATATATTTCACATTAAAATATCAAAACTGTTTTTTTTACGATTTATTAACACTTACATGTCAAAATTAAAATAAAAAAGACATATTCAATTAAACTTCTTAAAAGTACCTTTGAATCGTTCTATTTTTTTAGCATACCAACCGTTCAGGATGTCTCTTGGCTGGCAAGAAGAACGAGCCAAAGAAACTCATCAGCTGTCACAGAAGTAACAAAATTCACAAAGACTATATCATTACGAGGTCAAAACAATATTAATTAATTAATTATGTGTAACAACTAACTCACTTGTGAAAGTAGCATGTTTATTTAAACAGTAATGCACAAACTGTACATATGAATATTAGCATAAATCGGTCATGAACCTTCGAGTACAGTAGGAAAGTATAATAGTAACTAGAAACGTATTAATAGACAACTTTATACGTTTTTATCTCTGATGTTAGCAGGTTAAATAAAAAAGAGGAAAAAAACCGTGAACATGATTTATTATAATTAACACGATATTAAATTTTACGCACTAACTGGAGATTTTTCCTGTATATATAATAGCAACTCAAATAAAAAAAAACTGTTTATTATGTTAAACATATAATGAAAATATTAGCACCACAGCAAACCTAACTATGAGTATAAAAAATATTGTAATTAAGTCTTTTAATTTAATAATTGAAAATCGCTTTCAATTAGCTGCACGTTCTTATTTTCCTTTTGCTAAGTATCTGTAGCTGTCTAAATGACAACGGAGACAACGGAAATGAAGTTAATGAACTTTGGCTGCAGCCAAGGTTAAAATATCAACATGTGACAGAGCATAAGAAATCAGCAAATGATGGAGATCTATTACACATTGCAGCACGTCAGATACCACAAATTGATTTTAAACTTAACTATCAATGATGTGAGACAGTAATTGGTAATCTGTGATCCACGGGCCCCTTAAGTTCACAAGTATATATATAAAACGTGTGCCAGTGAAAAGTAGCACTAACCTTAAAAAATGCGTGTTATTTGTCACCCGCGTATGATAAGATGTAGCTTTTTGTAGGTGTTATATATTGCATGATCGGATTTAGAAACTTTACATCTTTATAATATGTATCAATTCCAACCCATGTATTTGAAAAATTATATAATACAAATAAGTAAGTACTTGATTTCCTAAGAATCTGTTACTGGCCAAAATTGAAAAGTAGGGGCGCAAAAACAAAAAGCCCTGTCAGTCTCAGGTCGACAGGGACACAGGATGGCGAATTGTTTTTTAAACTATTACGATTAATGTAAAAGTGCTGCATAAAATCTTCGGCTACGCAGTGACTCGCATATTTATCAATCTCCTTATACAAAAAAAGGATATTACTACATTTTTTTTAAATCCTCGTTTTGCCTTTAACATAATGCATAGAAATATGATGTCGATTTCGCATTTTAACTACAGCTTTTTAGGACGTTATTTTCTTTGTAGAAACCAGTTGAATAATTAGATTTAACAAACCAGTTAACCAATCGTAGAAATTTGACAGATTTACGTAACTAATTTTGTTATAACTTTGAAATGTGCATACGGCTTATTATCCGCGATTGATATATCAAAAACTTCACTTTAATATCTATATTTTTAATAAAACAAAATTATCTTTAATAAGAAAAAGGTTACTTACTGAAATACATCTTATAAAATCCAGCACCACGTTGCCCTCTGGTTGTTTTATAACATAACGGCTTTTTGCACTAACGAAAATCACTGAAACAAAATTAGTAAATTAAATCATGGTACCAATAATATTACTTTTGAAACCAATAATATCAAGACAAAGCTTGATATTATTGGTTTCAAAATAGAAACCTTAAATAAGCGAAGAGTAATTCTTAGCTTAAAGAAGGTTCAGGCGGTTAGTTAATAAATACATAATCTCTATGAAATCTCAGCTTTCCTACATATAGATAGATTTCAATAACCTTATGCGCCTCACTGATAACATAATACATCACAACAAATCAATGACATTTATCATATCATTCCATTCTATTTTATGACTCAAATATTTAATGAAACGTATAATTTAAACAACTATTCCGTTACATGTTATTTATTAATAAACAAAGTTAAAATAGCTCCACCTTTAAACAGTCGAGTTGACTGATTTAATATTAGTTTAGTTTCTTCTTACATTAATAACAACGTTTGCTGAAGTAACATGTGATGTAAACATACGTCACTATCATTTAATTCCGTACGTAGTTGTAGCCAACTAGGTACTCATCGGTATCTATAAAAATCAACAGACTATCGTACGATCGAAATCATAGCATTTATTTCACAATACAAATAATACTGGTTCAACCACTTTTAAAATTAAAAATTATAAACACGTGTCTACACTAGCCAGCAAAGCATAAACCGAACATAAATTCGTGTATTATGATTGTGAACCGATACAAAAGTCTGCCACAAGCACTAACCATTTGCTCACGCACATTTTTTTCGCTGAACAGTCGTTTCGCTGCGCGTCAATGTTTTATGAATCATAATGAGAATGAGCTACTAGGATATGGCATCGCCGTAGTGCTGAACTCGCTAGCGTAGACTAACCTGTATATCACTCACCCACAGACATTAAAATGACGAGACCTGGCGCACCAAATGCCAAAGAGTAGCAATCTTTATCCCCAAAACAGTGAACCTCAGATCTCAATATAGGAGATACAGTTTTAGCCAATAAGCTCCCAGCACACACGATGAAGTATAAGACGCTGAAGTACACAGCCAATAGGTTTTCTTGTTCGGGCAATTTGAATTGATCTCCACCGAAAGAGGTCACACAGGGTTTAATTCCTCCTGTCCCTATTGTTATCATGAAAAGACCAATTAACGTACAGAGCCTGCAAATAATATCACTAAAAGAAATCTAAAGCATTCAAAAACAATTAATACAGATGCTCTGCATTATAGGCTTATTTATTTCATACCTGGCGGGTAACCCTAATTGAGGAATTGCAGTAATTGCGACCAAAAGATTGCCGGCGGCGTATACAAACATCATGTATAAGATAGTCCTGTAATTTAAAAGATTAAAAATGAATTTAAAATGCCGTTACTTAATACTCATAGGGTCCAATCACAAACACAAGATTGACTTAACTGATTTATTTAATCTAAACTCGAGACTTGACAAATTTTCTAGGATACCTAATTTCGTTTAGAGATTTAATATGATGTACTAAAAATTCAGTTTTAGTTTTGTAGTAACTCACATTAGTCGTATCATAATAAGGTCATATTTCTAAACTTGAGCAGTTTTAATGATTCATATCATCCTTGTGATTCCATTATAAGAAACGACCAAAACAATGATAAATGATGTTTCAATATATTAAAACCAGTCTCTACTTTTTTAGCTCTATTTTTTACATAGTGTAAAAAGAGTGTGATGATATTTAGAGTAAGGACAGCTCAATGACGTAACTGTTAGAGCGTTCGGTCAGCGATAGAGGAGATTAAGCGACTTTCACAAAAATCATTATCAGATGGGTGGCCGAGATTTTATTATCTCGAGATCCTCCGTGCTTCGAATAGTACGTTAAACCATTTGTCCCAGCTGCATCTGCAAACGTTAACACTCATCTGTGAAGTGGATTATGATCCGTTCTCCCAATCTATCCATATGGATGACCTGTCCTGCAATGCGAAAATGAAGCAACTTTCGCAAGGGCTGATGATAAGATGGGTGACCAAAAATTGAATAGCTCAAGCTTCTGCGTACTTCGTGACACACGTTAAGCCATTGGTCCACTTGGTAAATCATGGCCCATTCTCGCTATTCAATTCGATTTGGTTCCATCCATAGCGAAGATCTGTACGCCATTAATGCAGACATAAAAATGCTGATGATAATGATATTTACACAAGTAAAAGATAAGCTCTGAGATTTCATGTAATCGTTACCTATATTTGCCCAAGTAATTGTCAGCAACTATACCGCCCACTATTGGAAATACATAAACAAACGTACTGAACACGTGGTATGTTTCGGTAGCTCCATCGTCTGTGTAACCAAGTTTACTTCGCAGATATAACGTCAAAAACGCTGCAAAGACACATTATTTTTTTAATGATTTTGGTGAAACATCAGAGTTCAGAAATAGAACTTGACGCTTTCATTGAAAGCGGAACGATAAGAAGAAGAAAAATTATTATATTTTTGTTATTGTCTAAACGTGTAAAGGCCACCAATGTGACATTGGTGGAAATGTGAAAACGCAAATAAAAAATAAAATAAAAAAAGAAGAATTGTCGTTGTGATTTCAGGATAATATAGAAAGTGAATTTTTCGTTCGCATAACTGTAATTTTCTAGCTACGAGACTAGCTATAAAAACTTTTGAATAGTGATTGTTTGACGAACTCCTAGGCAGAGTGGCTCGCTCGTCAGTTTCTATTTCTGGTCTGGTATTCGATTTCCAGTCGGATCTATGAAGAGAATAAACTTTTTACTATTTTCTCGGGTCTGGGCGTTGTATTACCTTCGTTATTTCAGATTTCCATAATACAAGTAATGAAATAAGAATTGTTAATAGTTAATAATAATAAACACTGAAAAAAATTTCAATATATTTCTAGTTGTTTTTAGTTAATTTAAGTGTACTGGTTATGAAAATACTATTGGTTTTTTTCTAGCAGCTCTAATTTTAAATTTACATACATGTTTTAAATTAATACAAATGTATGAATTTTTACACACTTTATTTGAAATGTTTAATGTGGGGAAAAAATATTTTTTATAAGATTTTTTAAATGAGGCGCCTGTACTAGATCTCAACATAGATTCCAGCAGTAGTCGACACTCATATGTATGTCCCACCTCCCTTGGTAACGTTCTTCCATCATGCGAATATCTTGATGAAACCTTTAACCTTGCTCTTCACTATAATCTCCAAAGTTTTCAGCAAATCGATCCAAATGAGAATGTAAACGGAAGGCTTAATGCTCATGTAAACTAATTGAAAATAATTTTTTGATTTACTATTCCCTAGAAAATGTTGAATCACTGAAACGAAATATTTCCTGGGTCTCATTTCAAGTTCATTCATAGATTAGAAGAATTTGGGTCTGTTATCAGTTGTTTGATTTGTGGTTCATCGAAAATGCCTGCTTTCAACTCAGTGTAGGATATTTTTTCGCGAAATAATATTCACAAATAATATTATATATTCAAAATAGGTAAAATTCGCAGATTTAACAAAGTCTGTGATTGTTTTATAATACTTTGCAAACAACAAATAACACAAAACTGTATGAATCGTTTCAATAATATCTCTTCTTCGTAGCTATCGTTTATTATTGTGAAAAAAATTATAAACTAGTTGAAACTCGCTGAAGTGTCACCTAAAATGCGGGTAGTTTGAAAAATCTTATAAACTAGAGCTGCTACAAAAAATATCAGTGTTATTTTTGAAATGAGTATACCAAAATACATTAAAAGTGATAAAATATTCTTGGCAAAATTTTATGAAGTAGATAATTCTTGTACGTATTCAAATTAATAACAATTCTTACTTCATTCAAATTCTTTTTTATTTGGTAGAAATATCTTCTTAAATTATGATTTATTCTTAAGTTCTTTGAATCATAGATACGAGTGTAAGACCTATGCTAAAGCAGATTTCTATTTCTGCTATAGTATTCTTTAAAAAAACAGCTTTGTCTTCGAAGACGAAGTCAACGCTGTCACGTAATGGAGCTTCAATAAGTAAAAACTTTATTACCTTTCGAAGTAGGTTTTATTTGGTGATCTTTTATGGTATGACAGCGGTACGCTCGACGACGAGGTCATGGCTGTTTTTATTTCAAAATAGTACCTACTTTTGATTTGGCTATTAATATTATGTAGGTATTTACTCCCTATATCAATATGAGGTCAAAATGATAATGCAAGATATGCTACGGAAGAACTATTAAAATTATATTTGGCTAGTGTCTAATTGGGTAGAATATTGTATGTAACTTACAAAATACAGTAATATTTATATATTTTTCTTTGTTATGTCTACTTTCTTTATTTGTGAGGTATCCTAGTTTAACCCAGTTTAGGAGTAAGAAGTTTATTTTTTTTTTAGTTATGTTAGCCAATACCTACCAACGCCAGATCTCTTTCTTTCTTTATTTGTTTAAATAAGTAACACCTTGAAATCGAATCCGAAAATAATATAAAAACCCTGCCTTAGTTGGTACAAATATCTGTGGAAATGTACTGGCAATAGATAGCGCTAGTATTAGAATTTGATTTTCAAATCTTTATCTGTACTATACTAAATATTACAAAGAGGAAAGTTTCTAACTTGGTTTGTTTGTAGGGGGTAATCTTCGGAAGTAATGATCAGATCATGAAAATTCTTTCACCTACGGAAAGCTACATCATACACTGGTGTCATATGCTATTATTTACGCGGCCAAATTCGTAGAGAACAGCTAGTAACTAATAATTATGTTTCATACTCTATAAATGTACTTAACTATAAGTATAATTTGGGTAAGTTTTCAAAATAAGTACTTTTATATATCTAAACTATTAACTGCTTTGGTGTTGAACCATTTTTGGAGCATTTTAATTTAAATAATAATTCATTAATTACAATACATGTATAAGGAACTATTAACAAACAAACCAATCACTTATTACTTCCAACAAACTTACCTCTCATTCCAGAATAAGACATACGCTCACAAAACTCTGTCAGGATGATGAACAATACTATCCTTGGAAACCGATCATTGCCCTGACCAACAAATACATTCATGATTAATATGTGATTAACTGAGAATTTCCTGCATGAATATTTCTCAACCTATGATTCGCAGACCCTTAAAATATATAAATTCATTGAAATTGATTAATAGCTTGATAAATATCTGCTTCTGTTATAAGTATATTCGTTTATAAGTAAAATGTAACGTAACTACTAACGCAGTTAACGTAATTACTAACTTCAATAGATTCTGAAACCCTTTAATAAGTTTTTAACTTTAAGAAACCATTTCTAATATTTCCGCGCGCTCTAGTCATTACCCAAGCTAATTAAAAAACACGGAGACTAACAGCCTACAAATTTATCAGTATCAGTAAATCAGTATAAAATCGATAAATCAGAACAAAAAAATAAAAAAAATATTAAAACAAAAAAGCAAATAATTTGTTTAAATCAATTATATTATACAAAAATACCAACCTTATTCTTTCCCACGTCTTTATTCATTTCTATTTCTGTATCTTTATTCATTTCGCACATCACTTCACGAATGAGTTAAGAACAATACGTCAGATAATAATCATACAAAACATTTATACTTATAAATCTAGACAACGTGTGTTTGTCTAACAACCCCGTCATATCACGGGCTTAACCAGTCACCCTGCGCGTGGGACGTAAACAATGAGGCGTCAATTTATTATTAACTATCGTGTATTTTTAACATGATGATAATTAATTATATTTATTCGTAGCAAAATATGCTACGAATGCCGTAGTTTAATAGGGATGATGACTGGGTAAAAAAAAATGCAATTCTATTTAGTCCGTCAGTCAGATAATAGAAAAATATTAGATACGTATTTTTTTTTACTTCAATTTAACAAGAAATAGCTTAGATAACAGACATTAAAGTTGAGGAGTGGGGGCCCGCTGCGTCACAGTTGAGTAGAAAACGTACCATAACGTGACGTCATGCGAAATTTCAACTCCATGTAACGCCGTAATTTTATGATTACGAAAAAAATAAAAAAATACGTGTTTATTATTTTTTAACACTACCTGACGGACAAACAAACAAAAATTAGTCATCATCCCTATTATTGGTATCTATTTTAATGCGACATCGCTCGCGCAAATTATATACTATGTAATGATGTCATGTAAATGAAGCTTCCCGTAGGTAAAATAATTATTAAAATCGAACCAGTAGTTTCAGAGCCCATTCAATTCAAACAAACATTTAATCTTTCCTCTGTATGATATTAAGTAGTATAGATCAATTAAAAAATACTTTTTAATCCTATCCATAGTTAAAATTATTTTTTAAATAAATAGAACCGACTTCAAACTTCTAAAAAGTAATAAATAAAATTTACGCGACTTATTTAAGATTCTCAATTAATGAAATCACCCAACCAACATTCTGCACTGGGCTCGCGTTAAAGTCCCAATGAGGGTTAATGGTTGAAACCAAGCCACCCAGCGTTCTTAAATGGGCCTACGTGGAATTTGTTTGTGCATGATGCAGTTTGTTTGTGCTAAAGCATCAGTATTCATAATGGATAAACACCCGGTTTCTGAATTGAGAATTTGAAGTTGAGAACGTCTCAAATCGTGCTTAAGCCATTTTAAACATCAATTAAACAGGTTTTCATTACTGATTTATAATTTTTTAATGATCAGTTGATAGTAAATTGATAAAACTAGGACTTTTTGCCATATGAAACGTAAAAAACTCAAGTTATTGAGAATAATCAGTTGAGATTTTGTGCTTTTCTCAATTCAGAAACCAGTCGAAAATCAATCTACCCGGTATTCAGTACCGAGCCAAGGTGGGCGTCCTAAATCGTACCAATACAATAATTGACCACTCATCTTCCTATGCGATCGTCGCTTAACCTCCACTATCGCAGATCAAACACGCTAACCATCACACCGTCGAGCTTTTCACTTATTATGAGGGATATTGCCATATTTGATAATATTTGTACCCGTGCATTTGAGATTGCGCAACTGATTTTCGAGCCGGTCGAGCTCACACACAATTGAAGCGATATTGACAGATTGTGGATCTCTTGAGTAAACAAACATTTGCCATTTTAAGTTCTACGAGGGTCAAACTGAAAGTTCTTAGAAAATCAAAAACTGATTACATTAGCCAGTTATTAGTTTTATTATATCTTTTCAAAATATTGTCCATTCACGTCAATACACCGCTGCATGCGATGGAACCACTGGGAAAAGCACTTTGCCCACTCGTCCTTAGGGGTCTCTTCAATGGCATCGCGATACGCAGCCACCGCTTCTTCAGCATTCATAAACCGCTTTCCTTTAAGTTTTTCTTTAATTTTTGGAAATAAATAAAAATCACAAGGCGCGAGGTCGGGGCTATACGGCGGGTGACCCAGTAATTCAACGTTTGATGTCGCCAAATAGTCGATCGTTCGCTTGGCGGTGTGCGACGAGGCGTTGTCGTGGTGAAGGAGGATCCTACTGCGAGGTCGTTTCTCTCGAACTTTTTCCAAGACAAGTGGCAAACAATTGGTAGTGTACCATTCTGCAGAAACTGTTTTTTGATCCTCTAACACAATTGTTGCAAAATGACCTATCCTTCCAAAGAACGAGGCCACCATTTTTTTTCCCGCACTTCGATCTCTCTTCACTTTAGTTGGCAACTCCTCGAAAGGAAACACCCACTGAGCAGATTGTCTTTTGGTTTTAGGATCATAACAGTAAATCCAGTTTTCGTCACCTGTTAGTATGTCGAACACAGCATTTGAGTCACCTCCGTTAAATCTTTCAATCATTTTACGACACCAATCCACACGATGGAGTTTTTGAGCCTCAGTCAAATTATGAGGTATCCACCGGGCGCAAAGCTTCCTGACCGCTAAATGTTCGTGGAGGATTTTGTGCACTTGACTCATACCGATGCCTAAGCTTGTCCGAATCTGTTGATAGGTCACTCTTTTGTCAGTCTCTATCATACGCCGCACAACACAGATGTTATCTTCAGTCGTCGCCGTAGAAGGCCGTCCCTCACGTAAATCATCAGTGAGATTAGTGCGACCACGTTTAAACTCATTAAACCAGTTGTAAACAGTCGCACGAGATGGGGCTTCATCGTGAAAGGCCAATCGTAGTCTATCATAACTTTCTTGTTGACTTAAATGACATCGAAAGTCATAAAAAATCATTGCACGAAAATTTTCTCGTGTTAAATTCATGATGACGTGACACAGACAATTTTCAATTTGCCGCCAAATCGTAAAACAAATGACAAATGAATGAAATATATACTCAGTAATATTGGCAAAGAGTTATATTTTCAAATTTTAGAATTATTTTTTTATTATATTGTTTATAAGTGGCCAGTTCTAAGAACTTTCAGTTTGACCCTCGTATTCTAAAACACATTTTATAAGAGTGCACGATTCGTGTGATATCGCTCATCAAGATAGAAATGCATGATGAACCTAGAAGTATCTAAAATAAATAATATTAATATATTTTGTATTGTGAATCGAGTATTTATGTTACTTATATTATACAGGAATATTTTTTTTCCAGTGCAAAAATTTTTTTTGGTGGTTCAGTATCAGTAATAGAACACTTTTCCATAATTAGTTAAAATTTTTTTTTTAAATATTTTTATCCCTATCGAAACGGTAGAATATGGACACATTTTTTAAAATAAAACTTCAATGAAAACGTCTTCTCTTGCGTATGCCACCGTGCAACCCCGCCGCGCCCGGTAGCCCCCCGCCACAGCCCCCACCGCCCCGCCGGGACCGAGCGACGCGCGCGACAGTGAGACTCATACGCACGCGCCGATGTGACGTGTCCTCGCGTTCCCGCGCACGCGACGCGCCCGCCGTCGTGAGTTTTACGAGATGTACGAGTTTATCTTCTGAGTGGTGAGAACCTACATAAGCGCAATTCGGAGAAAGTATGCGACGAAGAGCATACCTCGTATGCGGGCCTTTGGGATCCGTAACCCCGCGGTCCCTAATGCTTCGAACCATTTTAACAGACGAAGTCCCAGAGTCAGTACCCACGATGCGGCGTATCTCTTTGGTGTGAGCCAGCCTGCGGTATTGAAGCTGCTAAAAACAGCCGGACTCCATCCGTACCACTTTCAGCCGGTTCAGCAGTTCCATGACCTAGACCCAGTACCACGTCGAGCCTTATGTGAGTGGCTTCTACATCACCGCGATGCAAACATCTTGTAGACGGATGAGGCATTGTTCACAAGTGAGGGACTGTTTCTTATGGGAAGAACTCAAACGCCGAGATGTAGAGGAGGCACAAAGTCTAGAAGACTTAACAATAAAAAATAATAACGCTTTCAGTGAAGTGAAAAGTGACACTAGTGTTTTAAACAAATTAAATGACAATTTAATGAAATGTGCACGTTTATGTCTGGACAGACGTGGACTTCATTTTGAACAAATATTAAAATACATGGTAAGTAATTAGTTAGGTATTTGTTTTGATTCAACATTATTGTAAATACGTAGTTGATTCTAATTTTTTTAAATACGCCTTAACGCAGAAGTACCTATGTAACTTCGGCATAACGTTAATATTTTTTTCTAGGTAACGAATTTGTTTCTCTTTTATTTTTTTGCATTTTGATGGCCTTAACCATAAAAGTATGAAGGGAAAATTGGAATTACTCTTAGAAATCACCTCAGATCATGGCATAAAATCTAGTTCGAATCTAACAAAATGAGCGTTCAGTGACCCGTGTAGATAGGTACCTACGAGTACATGCCTACGGCGGCGTCGAGCGAGCGCTCAGCTGACGCACGGCGCGCGGTGTCCATAAACTAAGTTTTAAAATCTCGATCTTTGATAAGCGATAACTTTATTTTTTAGTATTAGAACATATCAAAATAAAAAATACGTGTTTATTTAAATTACTTAAAGTTTATTTTCACAAAATCTTCGCAGTGGTTTTAAATTATTCCTGTATATTTAGTTTATGGACACTATATTACTCTGACTCCTACTAATATTATTGCCTAAAGGTTGGATGACGTAAAATGATCAAAATGGATATTTTTTTAAGGTCTATATATTTCACTTAAACTGTACCATATGAAAAATCTCACTTAACGAACATGCTATGAGGAAGTATTTAAAAAAACGAAAGCACTAAAATAGCACCTCCACTAGATGGCGACTCTAGCAAAAGTTGATTTTTGCAGGACACGGATAGACCAAAGACAGTCGTTTCTGTTCCTTTTAACTAACTTACTAAAAAACTGAAATTTGAAAAGTTCGAAACTTTACTTTTAGACTAGAAAGAAAACCGGAAAGGTTGTCATGGAGAAATCAAGAACATACCGTAGCGACATCTAGTTTGATTTCGGGAACTATTTTTTTTAATACCTCCTCATTGTCATCCTCTTTGAAAGAGACAAATAGCTTTTGTACTTGATATCTCGCTCCGCTTGCTTTTCAGTGAGAAGTGCTCTGTCCTGTTATATCAGGTATGGGCAACCTTGGACATGTTTTGGGCCAAACTTAAGTGTGCAAAAACGTTCGCGGGCTGCGTTTAAAAATAGTAGGTACGTTTTAAAGTAGTCTTGTAGTGCTCATAATTTTTTGCGATAGATATCTGATATGAAATAATATGACAATGTTATTAAAATATCAATTTATTAAAATAACAAAATGAAATAATAATATTATAATTAATTCGTTAAATTTGGAATTGTTTCAAACTATGAAAATTAAATAGCGATACCAAAATCAATGAGACACTTGAACTTGAACTTGGGAAACTAATCCATCGATGTTTGGATTAACTGCTAGAAAGACGTAAAGAATTTTTCACATTATCGTTAGTCAGCCTCAGTGCCGGTTTAAGCACTACTAGCGCCCTGGGCGAAATTTCTTCGGCGCCCTCTAACTGCAATTAAATTACAATCAGTTACTACTACATCCTACAAATCAGTTACTTGTCTTTTTTTCACCGACCCGGCCTACTTGTACTTGTAATTTTCCCTAAATTTAGGTAGATTGTTAAGTTGACAGCATTAGAATGGAACGTAGTGTTCAATCGGTTTAATTTCTCGGGAATCCCCGACTTTCCGACCATACAGAAACAATGTGTTTTTCTATAATCGGGGATTCCCTAGATCTATCTCTTAAAACAATTGTTCGATTATTTTAAAACAAACAAACACAGTAATCAAACGTTTACGCTACGTTACGATGCTCTTGTTCCAACTATATAGTTTTATTTAAAAAGTAGACATATAAATAGTGATAGCTGATTCATTTTTGACGGCTCACATCATTAGATAAGTACAGATTCATTTTTACCCTAACAGGGTGTCACATAATTGTTATCTATAACTTTGTGTAATTGTTGTAACTTTGTGACAGTGAGTTTGCAGTGGGCCACTACTTATTATATTATCAATTATTTTGCTATTTCAAATAAGTGGACAAGTAGCTGGATCCGCTATATTCGGGACAACAGTATCAACATCATCTAGTATATGTATTTGTTGTACATCAATAACAGATTTATCCTGAGCAGCATCTGTAATCATAGCACAACTTGCTCCCTTACTTCGGGATTTTTCATCCACAATCTCTTGAGTAGCTATTCCATCTGACTTGCCAGACAGAGGCTCCACCGCCAATGCATTCGTTTGTATTGCAGCATTTTAGCTTTAACTTAACGTTTAAACATGCTCAAACGAAAATTCTTTTAAATGACTGAGCGATAATGCCCGCTAATGTACGTCATATTACTTAATAAAAATACATATCTTCATATTGGTAATCGGTATGTTGTTCTGTTTTACCATAATATAATATTTTTATTGTTAAGTTTCCTTTCAATTCATGCTGAAAGTGAGGCAACTTGAAAATAATAAAAAAATCCTCAAGGTTCTTGTTTTTTTTTTCGCCGACCCAGTAGGCCTTCTTCAATGAGCAAGGGAACTATAAGAGGGCGTCTGTGGGAAATGGAGGATCTATTAAAAAAAATAAGTTCCCGAAATCAAACTAGATGTCGCTACGGTATGTTCAGTATACGGTATACAGAATCAGAAAGAAGCGTTGGACGAAAAAGGCGCCCCTTATCGTCCGGCGCCCCTGGGCGGTCGCCCAACCACGCCCTACCCTAACGCCGCTACTGGTCAGCCTTGTACGATATTTCGATTTATTAACTTGCATCAGTGAAAAGAACTGTTCGCATTTATAAGTACTGCCAAACGCACAAATTAATGTTCTTGCGAATCTTCTAAGCTGCGGAAAATGGTCTTCTTAGACCGACCCTCTGCATCTACTTTTTGTTTCTTTCTACCAGACATCATTTTCGCATACAAAATATAATTGGGGGAGGCCTATGCCCAGCAGTGGGCGTCTCTCGGCTGAATTGATGATGATATCGCTCGTCAAAGTTATCACCACGGTAGCTCAAGTAGAACTGAACTAAAGTTCGGGCCACCCACCTGCTTATATAGGCAAAATAAAGGAATGATTTAGAATCGTCTAATGTAGAACAGTTGAGAAGAAATAATCTTTTCTTGCGCCGCCAATGAGGCGGCAAACATCGAAGGCTTTGATGTTTGCCGCCTCACTCTTTGATGATCGCTGACACAGGTTTTATTTTGCAATATGATAATACAAATTCATTCCCTATTTGAATTTATTAATTTCAACAATGTATTATGATACTTAATATTTTTAAATTTATTATACATACCCAGAGACAGCGGTATTACTATTGTATACTTTTTTAAATATCCTTATTCAAACCAGGATTATGATTTTTATTTGAATAATCATATAGATAATAATAATATATAGAGTTTCGATAATGTCTTTTGATACTTCAGTATTTATGGTTTATAATATATTCCTAAATATATCCTTTAAATCTCCTTAATCAATATCAATCAATGAAAATACAGAATTAAGTTTAGATTTTTACTTCAAATTGTATTCAATCAAAAACTGCTAATATCTGTAACTACTTGAATTCTTAATTTTATATATACATGAAAATTTGAAATTTATTTTTACATGTTATGTGTCTTATATTAATTTTTAACATGTGTAACAGGTGTCTATGATCTTAATAATTGTATCTATGATATACTATTCCGTGCGAATTGAAATAAAAATTGATAATTAGACGTCTGCTATTGATTTCTTATTGTCATTCTCCAATTATTATGTGAAATGGGTTAAGGTGAAAGACGCGATTGTGATACCTTATATCGAATGATTTTTCGAAAACATTCTCAGTCGAACTTCTACAATCCGACGCCTACAATCCAAGAAAAGTTTCACTTGCGTCGTGGTTTCTTAAAAGCACACAATGTATTTTTAAATTAGGTTTTTCAAAATGTTTCACTAGCTGGATCAAATCATACAGCGGGCCGGCTGTTGCCCACCGTGGCTTAGTACTATATAACACTTTATATAGTACTAAGTCCAATGTCTGGCTACACCATCATTCCCGTTTCTGGCAACTCTAGAACTAGACGCTAAATTGACAGTTCATGTGAAATGGTTGGTACTACTTGGTATGGCTGTGGTTGATTTGGTCGGCGAATCTGCAAATAAGTTCTAGTTTGTAATTACACGTTCGTATTTACAACAAATTCCATAATTTTGCCACGCACGGAATACATAATATATATTTTTTAAAATGGTTGCTAGAGTGGCTGGAGTGTTTGATGAAAAACTAACGGAGGCCATCGCCAATTCCAAAATCTTAGTAGTTGGAGCCGGTGGTATAGGTTGTGAAATTCTAAAGAATCTAGTGCTCACAGGCTTTCCGCAAATTGAAATCGTACGTATTACTTAAACCAGCTATAATATAAACTAAGAATAATTTTAACATGAATTGTAAAATTCCCCACCTTTGTGACGTAGGTTTAAAAACTAACCAAACCAAAACGTCAAGTTCTAATGAAAACATTTTTCCTTATTCTTTTAATGTTATTAGACAAGGTTTAGCATTAGAGTAGATTTACGCCGAGGCTGCACTTAATATTAGTCAAAATTCATATTTTTAAACAGAGACTTGGCTAAGGTTAACCTAGTACGAGGTTCTATGGGTGTAATATTTACTCCTAGAATAGTAGTAGGTTTGCTTATTCTCTTTATAATTTGGATTTGGACTGATACTAAAATTGCAGTTTTAGCGCAAATAAGTTAGGTCATTGGTTTAACATAAATTGAAAAAGTGTTTGTATTTAAATTTCAGATAGATCTCGATACAATAGATGTAAGCAATTTAAATCGTCAGTTTTTATTCCACAAAGAGCATGTTGGTAAATCAAAAGCACAAGTTGCTAAAGACAGTGCATTGAGCTTCAATCCTAATGTGAATATTATTGCACACCATGACAGTGTTATAAGGTAAGATCGTCTTGTTAATTTTAAATTATATAAAATTTGTTTGAAATGAAATGAAAATGTTTTATTCAAGTAAGCTTGTTACAAGCACTTTAGAATTGTCCAAAAATATTTTTTCCCTACCACTTGTTCGGGACATCTTTTAGCTGACAAGAAGAACGAGCAAAAGAAACTTACCAGCTTTTTATCATAAGTAATGACATTTACATAAATCATATCATTACCAAAATAATACATATATTGAACAATAATAATTACAAGTTTCAAAGTCTGTAGGACATAGGTTGGTACATACCTATAATTAATTGTTATAGAACAGAGCGAAGGCTATTAATTCCATGCATTGCAGTTGTTAAAATAATCATCAACTTTATAATAGCCTTTACTCATAAGTATATTCTTTACATGAATTTAAAATTTATTCATGGGTAGGTCAATTACATTTTGTGGAACTTTATTGAACATAGCAATACATTTACCCAGAAAAGGGATGATGACTGGGTAAAAAAAAATGCAATTCTATTTAGTCCGTCAGTCAGATAATAGAAAAATATTAGATACATATTTTTTTTTACTTCAATTTAACAAGAAATAGTATAGATATCAGGCATTAAAGTTAAGGAGTGGGGGCTCGCTACGTCACAGTTGAGTAGAAAACGTACTCTAATGTGACGTCATGCGAAATATCAACTCAATGTAATGCCGTTATTTTATGATTACGAAAATAATAAAAAAATATATGTTGTAATATTTTTTAACACTCTACCTGACGTACAAACAAACAAAAATTAGTCATCATCCCTAATGAACCTCTGGTTTTTTGAAGTCTGAAGCTTGGAACGGCAAGTTTATTTTTATTTCTTGTGTTAAGATTTTTGTAAATAAATCGCTCTATTTGATCATAATCCAATGAACTGATTACATACATAGTTTATTACCCATGTTTATTATATTTGATCAATTTTGCATTCACTATGCTAAACTGAAAAACATTGTTAATGAAAAATACCTAACAAATCCACTTTGGCCCTGGTACGCTGAGATAGAATTCGAACTGATGGATTTTTCAAGCACTTTTACTTTTTTGCAACTACAGAGCGTATTTTCATCCATTCTCAGGCAATCCACCCAAACAGCGTCTCATATTATCAACAAAATAGAGCAAAATAACATTTACTCCCTAACAGTTTTACTTATCCTCACCTTTACTGTTGGTTTGTTTGTTCTGTCAGTTGACACAGTTCTCCATTTTGGTCCATATTAATCAACAAAACTATGAATATATTTTCTTATAATATATACTTTGTTTCAGCAATGATTATGGAGTGAGTTATTTCAAACAATTCAATATTGTGATGAATGCACTGGATAACCGTGTAGCTCGTAATCATGTAAACAGAATGTGCCTTGCTGCTAATGTACCACTGATAGAGACTGGTACTGCTGGGTATGCTGGTCAGGTAATGTAACTGTAACTGGCATATACAATACATGTATTTTGGGTTTATTGTGTATTCAGTTCTATCCAAAAAAGGTTTTTTACTGAGGAAGACCAAAAAACATAAAGAAATGAATAATGAAATATCAGACCTAATGATCAAATACAAGGACAGCAGTAGTAGAAAAGCAAATACGGTGTCCTGGGGGCCCCTCATACATCATGAATTGGGGTACTGGCTATCTTTCTTATGTCCACTTATGTAGTTTTATAGCAGGCGTCTTACCAGGGGTGCCAGGCCTCCCACATGTTAGTCCGCCACTGCAGGTGTACACAGTAAATGAAAATAAATACATATGTATATAAATATATTATATGTTGGATTTATTAATAAATATATATTATATAAATGATACTTTAAAAAAAATGAATTTTGGTTGAAATTCAGTTACCAAGTTATTATAACAATTCTGAGGTTAATATTTGTTATTTTGCTTAGGTGGAGCTCATCAAAAAAGGTCTTACCCAGTGCTATGAATGTCAACCAAAAGCACCTCAAAAGACATTCCCTGGTTGTACAATTCGTAACACTCCATCAGAACCAATACACTGTATTGTGTGGGCAAAACACCTTTTTAATCAATTGTTTGGTGAAGAGGACCCAGATCAAGATGTTAGCCCTGACACAGCAGATCCTGAAGCAGCAGGTGAAGCAGGAGCCTCAGCATTATCATCTGAAGGCACAACCAGTGGAAATGTAGAAAGGAAAAGCACAAGACAATGGGCTGCAGACACAAATTATGATGCAGAAAAATTGTTCACAAAATTGTTTGGTGATGACATCCGCTATTTACTCTCCATGGAGAATTTATGGAAAAAACGACGACCACCCACACCATTGACATGGGACAACTTGCCAGGAAAAGATGACACACCTGCTCAGCATTCAGGCTTACCTGACCAGCGTGTATGGTCTGTGCATGAATGTGCCCAGGTGAGACATATGGCTTTTCCTACAAAACATGTTACAAATTTTTATTTAGATATTGGCTCCAATAAAAGTTTGCATAATGCTTGAGAATTCATTATTTTCGAAACTTTACTAGTGAGATAAGATACAGCAAGCAATTAAAACCACTCTCCAAATTTGAGTATGTTAATCTTTACGACAAATAATGAAATACGTGTTTTTTCTTTTTATGTCGTTTAGAACAAAAATGTTGAGTTATATCGTCACCAAGTTATTTTCAAAAAACCTACATTTGTGGACGCTCTCGCTGCCCAGTACATGCGCTTTACGCGCTACGTTACACTTACCCCTCCCTCCCTTGCCGCAATTCATTGATAGTAATAATAGCAGCTACCTAAAATGTTTTCGTTTTGTCATGCTTGGGGAAATGATAAATAAAGTTGAAACCTGTTCATACTTTTACGGGCTTAGGACCGTCAAATTGCATAAATCCTATTAGATACCTACTATTACAATTCTGTTTAGTTAAACCAATTCAAAGTAGGTACTTAACTCGCTATTCTTTTGCAATCGGGCGTATTTAAAAAATCATCAACTTTATGTACTTAATCAACTAATCAATTTACCTACCTACTTTAACTATTTACCTACGTATAATTTAGTAATTGTTCAAAGTACATACCGTTCCTCTCCAAACAGAGTCTTGCACCTTTTCTGCACATTGTCTTTTAATTTTGCGAGCACTACCGTGTCATTTTTCACTTGGTAAAATGCCGCTCTGATTTGCACTTAAGTCCTCGAGGCTTTGTGCTTCCTCAACATACAAACGTCTTTTAATTTCGCCCCACAAATAAAAGTCACACTGTGATAGGTCCGGCGATCGCGCAGGCCCCACGATGGGGCCTCCGCGTCACGTTGATCACCATGTATGTAACACTGCACCATTTCATAATATTCGCGATTGGAATACATTACGACGCGCGAAATGTGGCGCTGCGACGGGCGGTACGCAACACGGAAGTAAAGGCGGAAGCGCATGCGTTCAAAGGGGTTGTGCGCGGGCGACTGACTGATGTGCGCCGACAAAATAAAAAACCGAGCAGACATTGTTGTTGGCGCATGCGCGTACATCCCCCGCGCCCGCGCCCTTGCTACCCCTGCTGCCTTGTTTTATTCATAACTAATGTGACAATGCGAATGTTATAATTATCTTGTAATTGCAACAAGTTTACATTTCATTTTGAAAATTTTACATACCGTTTTTTTTTCATATATGTGATCTATTAACGATACCTAATGCCTAGAAAAAATTTGGAAAGTCATTTTAAATGCAGTCGGTATAAATAGACCTTCATTTAGTGGAACAATTACTAGCTAAAATTTAGATTTGCGCCGCCGCCACCAGGTGTAACAGCATCTGAACTGGCTTATTCCAATTTTATCACCTGGGTTATTAAATTCCACATTTTTGTGTCCTGAAATCACCCACTGGCAAATCTCTCAGATAGATTAAAATCTAAGAGATTCAATAAATATCTTTTGTCTCTACATCATCTGAGTAATAAAATTCAACATATTTTATTTTTTTTAAGTATGTTTCCATAACAATCATGGTCTAAAAACTGATTTCCTGAGTGATTTGCCAGAAATGTGGAATTTGATAACCCAATTCTCAATCAAAGTTGAATAACTCTTAAAACTACATACTGGGTACTGAGTGAAGTATACCATTGGTACTTTGACACACTACAAGAAAAGATTAATTAAATGTTGCTCTTACGCTGGCTGATCTAGATGTATGAAAGAAGACTACACATAGCTCCTACTAAATAAATAATTGGAAAAAGGGCAACCAAAATGATAATGATTATTTTAGGTATTCGCCGCCAGCTGCAAAGCTTTACAAGCGGATCTGGCAGGGCGGCCTGAGGGAGACCACCTCGTGTGGGACAAGGACGAGAAGAGCGCTATGGATTTCGTGACGGCGTGTGCAAACATTCGCGCGTACATATTCAACATACCCACCAAGTCACGTTTCGAAATTAAATGTGAGTAACTTCACTAAACCTTCTATTACTACACAAATGCAGTACTGTCACAAGGAAAAAAAACTCGATGTCTTCTATTTCATTAATATTTAAGTATGCTCTATGTATAATGTCCTTAATACATGTGCCAAATATTTGTGTGTGACTGGTTAGAAAGGACTTTGAAATTTTGAGAAACTGGTGAGCATGCAGCACTTTAAAGCCATGTACAAAACAAGGCATAGATAAAATAATGTAACTATATTTATCACTTCATTTAATGAATTTTTGTAAAATATTTTTTTATTAAAAATATGCGATTTCATTTTAGATTTTTTTTAAATAGCTAATCTTATAAGAACATCCGTAATAAGTTTTAAAATGGGCGTGGAAGTGGTTTAGGAGTTAGACTATACAGCCAAAGCGTGGCGTCCTGCTTAGCGCCTGCCACTTGCGTAAGTAACATGTATGCAGCAGCGAGTATGCAACATACATAATTTCTATAGTGGTTTGATATAATATAATATTAAACGGATCAGTTCATCAAGTTCCAATTTTAACGTAATCGTAGGTCATTACTTCGTATGGCGCGCCCTTCCTGTAGGTATTATATAATGGTGATTTTGGCGCCCGGAACAAGCGCCTCCCACTTGATCATATCACCTAGCCTGACACACGCGTAGGATATAACTGAATGTGAAAGAATTTTTAAAATCGTCTCGTAGTTTCAGAGTCTATTCGATGCAAACAAACAAAACTTTCTTTCTGCAATTTTAGTATAGATAATAGTATAGAAACTCGTTCTATTCGGGTGTGTTAAGTTTATTTTCAATGCAGTTGCTCATAAAGCGCTATTTTTTTAATCCATTGTAAACACCGAAAGTGAGTCTTTAAACACGTATTAAATAAAAATGTACCGAAACCCTTTACTGCACACGTGCTTAAAAGTATTTTTTCTTTTTTTTTGGCCGTGCACCAAAGATATTTAAAAAAAAAATTATGAAAGTATATCAAACTTTCAAATAAAAATGTATGACACGAAAACATGTTCAAATATCACGTTTAATTTTCACAAATAATTTTTACCTTTAATACATACTTAGGGCCAGTTTCACCGGTTACTGATAAAGTTTCAGATAGTTATCTGATAGTTAACGCTATCTACTGGATAAAGGTTGCTGTTAACTTTCTTCTGTTTCACCATCAAACTGCTAGATAATTTATCTGGCAGATAAGTTATCGGCCACTTATTAGTTGACGGAACGGCAACGTCGCTCTTTTGCGTTTCAATACTACGACCCAAATTATCGTCAATCAAAAATCATTTTTAAAACTTAATTAATATTTTTTTTGTGTTCAATATTATTTAAATAAACTTTTTTCATATATTTTGAATTATAATTTTATGATTCTAGAATGAAAATAATACGATATTCGTATACTTAGCTACGTGTTTACAGAAACGAAACGCAACTATCATTTGTTTTGCTTTGTTGATATTTTGTACTTAAGACGCTTTTCAATTTTTAAACTTTTCTTTGTGTATTCTTTTTGGATCTGTTAATTAATAATGAAAAAACAAAAACGTGAAAGAAGTGTGAATTTTAATTAAGAAGAAACGGAGCTTCTTTATTTACTAGTTAACGGAGATTTTCTACTTAGTAGCCCGTTGTGGTTTTTATATCACTGTCTATTAACGATAGAATATAAACAACAGCCGAAATCGATTCCTAAAATCTTGAACGTCAAGTGATTCTAAATAATTAGGTCTAGGGTTAATTACTCGATTCCTACGGGGTCGCGTAATACGTTCGAAATATTCATCTAATTCGTCTTCTAAAAACACAAATAAATCCATTTTAGAATATTTGTGACACTTGTGACTGCAATCAACGCAAAGCACACAATAATGGTCTAAAACTAAAACTATTTTCGATCCCGTCACTTGAAACTTTTTTTTATCTATCAGATAACGTCTATATCAGCCACTTGAACCGGCTGATAACATATCTAATACTTTATCTGCCAGATATAGTTATCCGAGACCTGTGAAATCAAAAGTTGTAGTTTATCTGGCAGATAAGTTCCTGATAGACTATCAGGGACTTTATCAGCAACCGGTGAAACCGGCCCTTAGTATTATTAACCTATATCGCACTCCCGGTGCGACACTGTCACTTATGCAAAAATTTAGTTTTTCAGGAGAAGAATTTTAAACTCTGTCACCTCACAAAACAATGACTTTAGAAGATACAGATGAGATGAATCATACGAAACATAGTTCCGTATGATTCATCTACAAAAGTAACATTATCGCACCAAGTAAAGGGGGCTTTAGGACAATTATTACATATTTAACTAATTTTTGTATTTTTTGCAAAAGTGACGGTGTCGCACCGGGGGTGCGATATATTTGTTTTATTTCCTCGCAAAAAGCATTGAAAAATGTTGTAAGAAACTTGAGCGTAAAAGGTTTTTCAAACCTTACTTTCCGCACTCGTATCTTAAATAACTATTGTTGTTGATAGCGATGGCGGGTAACATAATCCCGGCCATAGCGACCGCGAACGCGATAGTGGCGGGTCTGGCGGTGCTGCGCGCGCAGTCCATCCTGCGCGGCCACCTCGCCGCCGCCACCAGCGTCTACCTGCGGCCCAAGGTCAACCATCGCGGACAACTATTCGTGCCAGAGAAAAGTCAGTTGAATCCACTCATTTGCATACTACATTTTGTTGATTATTATTATTATACAAGGGGCTAAAATGAGGGGGGGACGATATAGTTTTTTGAACTTTAGTGAGAGAAGAAATAAAAGCCAAGTAAAAATGGGTTTAAACGCCCTGTACTGGTGTACTTTTCAGTGCTATTTAAATTTTAAGATAGTTCGATGATGTTCATATGAGGCCCCCGTGTTCGATTATCGATCAGATTAATGTAGCTCAGATTAATTTTTTCCATCTACATTTATTTAGTGACCAAATTCGAGTGCTTCCATTATTATACACACTATTGTTTGTTATGACATTTGAAATAATCTAAAATTTACGTTATAATATTCTTACTTTATTCTTTACAGCGCTCACCCCGCCGAATCCAAAATGCTATGTCTGTGCACCGAAACCAGAAGTAGGATTGGCTTGCAATCTCAAATCGCTCACACTCAAAGAATTGACTACAGCATTCAAAGATGGGCTCAACATGCAAGCACCGGACGCAACGGTCGAAGGCAAAGGTCTAGTCGTGCTCTCCTCAGAACCGGGAGAAACGGACCACAACAACGACAAAACTTTAGAACAGATCGGTCTCAATGATGGATGTGCATTGCTGGTCGATGATTTCCTACAGAACTATGAAGTGCGAGTCAGATTACAACAGGAGGACGAGGAGAAAACGTGGCGTCTGGTAACGGACGCAGATGCTCCAATGCCAGCTCCGAAAGAGGAGAAGCCTGCAAACGGTTCAAACGGAGCGGACGAACCAAAGCCTGGACCGTCCAGAACCAGAGCAGATAGTGACAGTGATATGGAAATTATAGAAGAAGACGAAGACGAGACCACAGTGAAGCCACCAAAGCGCAGGCGCACTGAAATGAGTGACGAAGTTGTTGAACTTTGTTAACGAGTACAATACTTTAAGCTATCAATATGTCAAATTTATTACACTAACAACCAGTTACACAAAGGTCCATTAAAATTGTCATTAGTTTAAACATGACCCATAAAAATTTGATGTTCATCAGTTTACAGGCGTCATTAAACCTTAATGGTTGTTTGTGCAACTGACCATATGACTATAAAATTTAAAGTTGTCATGAAATGATGCAAAAGTCAACATAAAACAGTGAATGAAAAAGAAGAATCTCTTGAGAAATTATAATTCTGGGCCATTGCGACCTTATAATAATTTATTTTACTTTGTTTATGTAACACATGATTGGGAAGTATTTTTCGATCAAAAAGCAAACTTTTAAATGCATATTTTAATATTAAGTACCTCTGTTTATATCTATAAAAACAAAACAACATTATTAAGTAACTAATATCGGTATATTCAAGCGGTAAACAGAAAATTTATAACAAAAAAGAAACATTAATTGATAAGGTTAAATTCGTTTGAAACTATTTATATATCAAGTTGTGATAAACTACTTCTTTTATGAAACATACTCAAATACATGGTTCTATTTATAATTTTTTTTAGCCATAAGTGTAAAGAAGTATGAATAGAACTAGTACAAATTTCGTAAAACTTTTGACTGTGTCTATAATAAAAATGTCCCTTCTATAACCAACATACCGGCAATACCAGTTATTATAGTGAAAAAGTAGCGTGTGTTAAGGTCATTGTGTAGGTTCAAATAAAAGTAACTAGCCTTTTGATAGCAATAAGTATTGTTTTAATAAAAGCATCTATTATGTTTAAGTGTAAAACTTTGATTGACAGTCCTATTCAATGTCTTCTTTTTTAAAATAAATTTCCAATTTAATAAATTTATTTTTATTTCAACTTCATTTGTTAGAAATACATTGCGTGCTAAAAATACATGCTAAGTAATTAAATGCATTTTAAAAATAAAAAATAAATACACACCCTCTTATCTAAAGAACTAAACAGATCTTACAAAACTAGTAAGTAAAGTTTAAATCATTGAAATAGTATTAGGGTTAGTGAATATCATAGATACAGTATACTAACATCAGATGCTTTAAAGATTTTCACTCACCCTAACATGCATAATATCATTGCCAATATAATTGTTTTAGTTACATTATTGCATCCTATGTAAGGTTTCAAATCAAATCAAAATTATTTATTCAGTCTAGGCTGTTACAAGCACTTGTGAAAGTCGAGAGCTGCTGTCCTTTCTGGGACGACACCCTTTTTGTAAGTTATTTCTGCTTCTTCATTCTGTAAAAATCTTACCAATAACTTATTTAGTTACAACATATACAGCACAAACTTACCTATATTTAGAGTAGAATATTGTCACAAAGATTGTGGTAAGTAAATTGGTAAGTAAAAACATTATTGGAAAACTAGCTTTTTTACAAATACAATTACATATGTATTTGAATGCCACTAAATATTTTAATGCATTTAGTGGATCCCCTATCATTTCTACTATATACCTGAAAACTCATTAAATGTGATGTAATTGCATGTGAAATTTAGATTGTTCATTCACACTTTGGAAAACACAATATAAAAAGAATACATCTGACTAAATCGCCTTATCATTATCTATTACTGCTCAACATAACCATGTCTGTATAAACAATATGCCTACCCAACCACATACTATACAAAACTAAGTACAATGATGATATTGTTTTACTTAAAATAAAAATAACCTTTGTTCTCTGACCTCCTCCATGGTCCACCATTCCTCCCCTGATGGTAAATTCTTTCTCCAACCTTTCGGCAGATTATCCTCTCATCTATTTATTGGCCTTCCCTTTACACGGTTCCCTTCTCTTGAGTACCATTCAGTTATAGAATTGGTCCACTTTTCTTTTTTGTCCAATCCACTTCAGGCATTTTATTTTTACTGTTGTGTCCTGAACCTTTGTAATCTTTCTAATTCTTGAGTTATGATGTGAAGTTTCAAGTGTAACACACTTCTTTCCATTGTTTTACTTAATGATAAATCTCCAAACATCAATGTATTTTTATGTCTATTATCCACTGATAATCAATGGAATGAATTTCAAGTATATTTGCAATGCCTAGCAAATAAATGATTAACAGCCAGTTGCACAAACAACATTATCCATACAAATTTGACATTCAATAGACCTTAAAGACATCATCAAACCTTGATGGATGTCTGTGCAACCAACCGTAATAGACAAAATATGCAAATAAAAAAAATCATACATTTATATCTAAATTACTTTTTTGAAATGTATTATGAATTAAATTAATAATAACAATTTACCTAACTAATACTGAACACACTGAAAGCTATTGCTATAGATCTGACCTGAAAGTCATCTGTAACTTTTATTTTTCTGGAAGCATTCCATATTCTATGAGAAAGCGTTCTAAATCATTAGCAAAGAAATCATCTCCTAATTCAGTAGCTAATTGAACAAAATTTCCAATTATTTGCCCACCTTTATACACCAACAAAGCTGGTACTCCTTCCACTCTAAAATGCCTACTCATGCCAGTTACATCTGCTCCTATTCGACAAAATTTTATAGTGGGGTATTCTTCTGCCAAAACTTGCAAACAACCATCCATAGTTTTACATGCAACAGACTTAGTTCCATATATGTGAACAATAACAGTTACTTTTGGGTCCTCATTATCAATAGAATTCAAGAATTCTTCTTGGCTATTCAGTGTTATAAGTTTTCCAAACTTAGGCACTTTCTGCAACTGTGACATAAGCTCCTGCATTCTCTGCTTTTGATATTTCATAAGAAATTCTTCATCAATCAATTCACTGAGTTCATCTTCGAGTTCATTAATCTTTTTAGCTTCTGCCTCTTCCCTTTCGGTCTTTACCGACAAAGTGAGTTTTTTTGCCAAAGCAACACGTTCTTTCTCTAATTCTACACGATTTTCTGCCTCTAATTGTTTATATCTTCTCCAGTCTTCAAGTACGCCTTTAGGACCAGTATTCGTAGCTGAACCCGACCAATTATTGATAGGTGGTGGTTCACATTTTTCCTTAGATACAGAAGGCATGTTGCCTTCTTCATCACCGCTTCTGCTATCTTCGTAATCAGATCCGCCTTCATCTTCACTACTACTGCAATAGTTGTGTAGTTTTTCACCCAATATTTTATCGTCTAATGTAGCCATTTCTTAATTTTGACTAGGGGAAAGAAAACCTCACACCAACAAGCTCTTAATCACAGACTTAGTAGGTATCAGACGACCAACTTCCTAACAAAAAATTTCTTCGTAGAACGTGATTGGGAGCCAGTGATACATGACAGCTTCATTCGTTTTAAATATATAGATCTACTATCGGCAAAGGCATTTAGCTATACAGCCCTGTTTTGGGTAGGTACCTAGCCGTCTTCCTAGTTTCCACATTATTTTTACTTTAATTTAAATTCCTTTTTTGTTTTAATACAACAATAATAATAAAGCAGACTGATAAGTCTAGCTTATTATTATTGTTGTATTAAAACAAAAAAGGAAAAATGAACACGTAAATAAAACACACATTTTTCCAATATTATTTATTGAATAATTTATTTTTTAACTTATTATATTTTTCACAGCTCTCTTCTGCATTCTCGGCAATTCCTAGCTACGTTTTTTTAGTGGCACAACCTTATGAAACTTTTCAAGGTAATCACAATTTTTTTTAAAGAGGGCACTGATTTTTGCATACCTTTTTATACACATATTTAAGTTTTTCTAAAATTTCAATTGCCTTTGGCCAGAAAGAATGATGGTGTGTCTTATCTGTCACAGCTCTTTTCCTTTATGCTTTTTTTGTTTATCGATGCTCCATTGACACTATCAAATAATTGGTCAAAGAATGAAACAACTTCAGCTGCATTTCTTAATGTTGTGCACATCCTCATAAGTTGCTGCAAATTAAAATATTCATATAATAATTGTATGAAACTTGATTCAAAACAATTAACTGTTAGTAAATTTCATCTAATACTCACAGAAATTTGCAGTGTAAGACAAAGCTGCAGACATATTTTTACACAATTTTTTACCTGCAAAAAGAGATATCATATTTAAAATTATCTTCATTAGAGAATCATTATTGTAATTTAAGTGTAAACTATATTAACTACTTGTTACATAATTAAAAATACAGGTCATTGAATCAACACTTGCTCTGATAGAGAATATAGAAGCTGAATACAAATTATTTATTTTATTTATACTAATTTAAGTTATACTAATATAATAACCAATGCATTACCTTCATCTTTTTAATTTTATCAGGTATAACTCATTGGTCATTTAATTTATGACATAGCCCAGCTTCAGTGTGTTGACAGTCTGTCTCATAGACATAAATAATATCATGCCATTTTGCAAGTTTACCACCAAAATTATTCCTGATACATTTTATCAAGTGTGTAGAATCATAATGTTCAAATCCACCCCACATATTTTAAGAATGCCAACTGAAACAAAAATTTAAGAACTTCTTAAAACATAGATAACAATATAAAAATAAGAACCTTCACTACTTTCATTAAATCTATTAGTTTTCTTTCATATAAATATAATTCTCTGTACCAACCTGTGATTTCAATTTAAAATTTGATCACACTAAGTGTCTTCTTTTAGATTTTTGAGTGCTGATTGGAAAGCTGAGCCTTGGTCATATATTATTGCGATGGGATTAAGGTCCAATTCAACAACTTTTTCTACTACTAACTTTAAAATATTCTTGATGTACAGTAGATGTCGCTCCTTGACAGAAATAAATAAACATAAAGGCTGTTGCCACTTGTAAACAGCACCAACATAAATACAAGAGTATGATCTGCAAAATCCACTTTCTTTTCTTGGTGTTCTACAAATCCATTAATGTTATCTTTAATCCTTATTACTTTTATTATACGAAAGTGCTGTTTCTAATGACATCTCATCAAATATAATGGAGCATATTTTTTTGGAGTTTCATTTGTCCACCTGAAAAAGTAAATTCAAATAGTAGTAGAAAAAGAAAATATTATTATTTGGTAGTAATACATAAAATTATAAAAGAAGTATGAAAAAACTTATATGGCATATATTTACCTCTTACATGAAGCCTGGTTCTATGATCAATTTTCTAATCATAGTATTCAGTGTAGTTTTGGATGATAAAATAAAAAATTTTGCTTCAAAATCAATAACACTGGACTCTGCTTTGATATTGATAAAGCAATTATCTTTTCTTCGGTAGTGTATCACCTCTCATGTTTATTTTTAGAGCACATGCTCACATGCATTTCAAAAACATTTTTGCAACTGTGTTCATTTTTTGTCTGAACTTCTCAAATGATAACTTTTTACAAAACTTAAAGGTATTTAAGTATTCTTAACTTTTTTAAGAAAGTTAAACTACGTCTTTGGCTTGTTATATTCTTCATAAAGTCTCTGGTATAAAGGTGACAATTGGCTTTATTTGGTAATCAGCCTTTTCCTTTTTGTTTTAGTACATATCACAGGGTCTGTAACATCAAAAGTATTCAGTGAATTTCTCTATTAGAACTACTATTTGATTGAAATAAAGATACACTAAAGAAAGAGACAGGTCTTACCAGATAGTTCAGTTTGTCATATTTTAATCTCCAGAGCAAGCAACTAATTGAGTAAACTCAGTGGCTGCAGACACAGGAGTCTCAATTTGTTCTTTTAAAATTACACCACCTGTGAAATCAATATTGATTATGTGTGTAAGATTAAAAAACAGGATATAATATTAGAAATATGTTATTTATATTATCAATTTTTTCTCTGATCAAAATCACTTCTAGCGTGCCCGCTAGAGTTAAGTAACTTAATGTAATTTTTCTTTATATGTGTAAGAAAGAGAGATCTACTAGACTTTTTTAAGTAAAAATCTATATTAAAATACACCAAAACTGCAGCATGAACTTTGTTATGTAAATAAAGTAAATTAAAAACAAACCTCTGTTCAGTTCCACTTTCTAATATGTGTGGTCAACATGACTTTTTCTTGCATAGCTGTGTTCCCAAGTGAATATAATTTCTGTAATAAAAAAATCTAATGAAGAATAGCTGTATTCCAAAACACAACATAAAGTGAAGATACATATCATTTTAATTACATTATCTAAAGGTAATAGCAGATTAAACCAGCCTTACCAGTATTGCTTGAAGAAGGTAGGCTGATTGAGAGCCCATCATCATTAAACAATGACGGATATGCATCATCCAAGAGTCATAATTTTGGAGTGATGAATCTTGGTACATCGTGTTTGCTACAAATGACACTATCACACACAGCACTAAGACATTGTAACCACTTGGAGAATCTTTACTCGTTCACTAGAATCTTACAAAGAATAGCGTCCTGTTCGTACTTTAACAATGCGTGTAACACAACCATAACATAACACATCAATTTCTTAGGCATCTTCTACAAATAAAAATACTTCGAAAAATTGAGAGTTTATATTACAAATAAAGCGAACAGGGTAAGCACATAAGAAACTTTACTCAATCACTTGTAATTCCCTGATATGTAGGTACATACTTAAGTCTTCTTCTTCTTTTATTAATGGCATATCAGCGCATTTCACACAATTTTGCCAATGTGAAATGAATAAATTAATTCCAACAAGTAAAATTAATTAAAGATTAATTAAAACATTAATATCTTTACTCTTTGTTGTAATGACAGTTTCTGTCAGGTGTCATGTCTCCATCTACTGACAGGGGTGAGGGGCGTGTGGAAATGTCATACATCACTGGACCCCTACGCGATTGGTTTAATGTACGGAGTTGACGGGCCGTGTAATGACAGTTTCTGTCAGGTGTCATGTCTCCATCTACTGACAGGGGTGAGGGGCGTGTGGAAATGTCATACATCACTGGACCCCTACGCGATTGGTTTCTTGTACGGAGTTGACGGGCCGTGCTCTTAATGATTGAACAAGGAAAGTTGAAGACAATATTGTATGTAATAACATCTAATTTAAATTGAAGGAAAAAACAGCAAATAAATGAAACTAGTGTCGTAAAAATCGATAATAGATATAATCGATTAATAATCAGTTTTACAACAGTTACATTCGAAATTTTATTAAAAATCGATTTTATAATAATCACTCAGTGAGGAAGTATTTAAAAAAACGAAAGCACTAAAAAACACCTCCACTAGATGGCAATTTGATGTCTACACCCCAATATCGAAAGTTTTTTGTGACATAAGTTTTTAGTCTTATTGAAAGTGTCATTTTTATCAATGTCTACGGCTAAAAGGACAAAACTATTAATTTAACAAAATCTATTATTTTCTCTATTATTTATTAATCGATGTTATATGCAATAAAAACTGATTAATGAGGAAGTATTTAAAAAAACTTTAGTTCCCGAAATCAAACTAGATGTCGCTACGGTACTTTCTTGATTTCTCCATGACAACCCGGAGTCCTGAATTCCGGTTTTCTTTCATGCATAAAAGCATAGTATTTGTACTATTTCGTATTTGTATCGATATCTAAGTTTCGAACTTTGCAAATTTCAGTTTTTTAATTCAATGATAGAAAATGACTATCTTTGGTCCATTCGTTTCCTGCAAAACTCAACTTTTGCTAAAGTCGCCATCTAGTGGAGGTGTTTTTGGTGCTTTCTTTTTTTTAAATACTTCCTCATTAACAATATTTTTTATGTACAAAATGACATCTCTAAATGAAACCCACTGACATATTCCGATTTGGATCTTTGATCATATTTCGATTCATTTTCATAGAAAATTGATGACTTGAAAATTTGAGATTATTTTTGATGAGGGTGCTGATGCCAGTTATCTATTATTGCTCATGTTATTAAGTACCGTATTAATATATTGTGTATCCCTAAACTACAACTGTATTTAAAGCAATCATAAAATCTATCTGTCGAGATATCGTATTCCCATGTTTAAATTAATTAACATCGCGTTGGTGGCTTTACGCGGAAAGATTCTATTTTAAAATCATCATCATCATTTCAGTCGGAAAACACCCACTGCTGAACAAAGGCCTCCTCCAAAATCTCAATGGCAATCGGTTGCACAAGGTCATTCAACCCTTCCCGACAATCCTAACCAGCCCCCGTTACTTTCGAACACACTTTCTGGTACACTAGCGTCAGAGTATGCTAGCGAACCAATCAAAACTAAAACAAATAGTAATAATATTTTTGTTAATATATACGATATTCATTAGACTCGATCTAAAAAGATACTCTATCATATATCAATAGGCAACTCTAATGTCAATGTCAACTTTTTTCAGCAGCTCGCTCACGTGTTGCTTTGTTTACAATTTGAAATTTAAAAAATTATATAAATTTAAAGAAATACAATTATTCAATTTCTCATAGATTATTTAATTTCACCACAATGAGTAAGTGCTACTCTTATTAATTAATACTTAATAGAAATGGAGCGGCAACCTAAATAATAATTATGTTCGTATATTCACAGGTCAAATTATTTTCAAAAAGATAAACGAGGTTGATCCCAATAATTCAGAAGCTGTGAAGGACGTTCTAGCCACGTTTTTTCAACATTTATCAAAACATTCTGAAACAAATAGCAGCAAATGGCTTCGTACCTTAGAAGATATCATTATTCGGTAAGTACATAACCTATCATTACATACAACATAAATAAAGTCCGGTCAAATTTGACCAAACATAATAAATTATTAACACGTTTATTAGATAATGTATGATGTACAATTTCAATATAAAACCTATTGTTTGGCTGAAAATCGCGAGAAACTCATTTTTACCTCACTTTCAGCTTCTTGCTATAGGTGGTACAGACTCACGCCGTGAAGTCTCGCCGAGTCTTCTTGGCGAGAAGAAATATAAAAGAATGACAAGGCGAGAAACATGTCACATGAGACTTGGGGCTTCTCGGCGTAAGTCTGTCCGGCCTATAAAATGTATTTTTGTACATATATCTAGACTAAATAATGGATTTTAATGTTAAATTTGTCAAATATATAGAAAATAAATTATTTCTATATACCATGTCATAAAGAAAATAATACAGTAAAATAACAATTCTTTCAGGTATCCTAAATATTGTGGATCGCATAGAAACACAATAGAATTATATCTATCAAAATTTGTTGACTCAACTGATTTTGTTCATGTAATTGCAGCAGCCAAATGTGCACATGCTATTCAGCAGGTAATTTATTTATTACATACATTCTAATATTCAGTAGTGTTTACATTTTTCATTGTATAAATACATTTTAATTATTCAAAAATATTTGTGTTCTCAAAAGCATATTATATAAATAAATTGTAGATTTAAACTATACCAGGTGTTTTTCCTGATAATATTCAACAGGTGAGATCACCTCAAGAGAAGTCGGCAACAGCCAAAGCTTGTTGGAAGGAACATCTTATTGTTTTAATCAACATAGCACATAAACTAATTAGTGAACTATTCCCTAATACTGTAGATATGTATAAGGATAGAGCAAACAGTCAGGTAATCATTTTTTATATCTTTTTTACAATATATAATACTAAACTTTAAACAAAAACAGCTATTCCAACATAAATATTATACAGTAACAAATATTAGTCCATTTTCTTACTTTAGTTTATGTTTTTATCAAATTTTAGAAATATTGGTAGGATTTGGTTTCACGAACTAAGACTAAATTTAATTTTAATCCTATCAAACTGTGCTTATGTGACGACAACAACAACAACTGATGCTGGAGTATAAATATGTTTCATAAATGTGAAACAAGTGAAAATGCAATAAAATTAAAGTAATTTCAATCTTATTTTTGACTTAGTCAAATCATGTAATACTGAAATGAAATGAAAATATCTTTATTCAAGTAGGCTATTACAAGCACTTTTGAATCGTCCAAAAAACTTTTTTCCCCTACCACTTGTTCAGGACGTATTTTAGCTGACAAGAAGAACAAACGAAAGAAACTTATCAGCTTTTTATCATAAGTAATGACATTTACATAAATCATGTCATTACCAAAATAATATGTATTATCAATTTATCACAATAGTAAATACAACTTTCAAAGTCTGTAGGACATAAGTTGAACATATAATTAGTCTTTATAGAACAAAGCGAAGGCTATTAATTCCATGCATTGCAATCCTTAAAGTAATCATCAACATTATAATAGCCTTTACTCACAAGTATATTCTTTATATGAATTTGAAATTTATTTATGGGTAGGTCAATTACATTTTGTGGAACTTTATTGAACATAGCAATACATTTACCCAGAAATGATCCTCTGGTTTTTTGAAGTCTGAAGCTTGGAACGGCAAGTTTATCTTTATTTCTTGTGTTAAGATTATGAACACTACTTTTTTTTGTGAAGGAATCGTAATGTTTTCTTGTGTACATAATATTCTCATAGATGTATTGAGAGGCAACAGTCAGAATATTTATTTCTTTAAATATTTCTCTGAGAGATTCCCTAGACCGTAAATTATATATAGCACGGACAGCTCTCTTTTGTAAAATAAAAACATCCTGAATGCTAGCCGCAGAACCCCATAACAATATACCATACGTCATTACACTATTAAAATAACTAAAATATACCAATCTTGCCGTTTCAACATTTGTCAAGAGTCTAATTTTCTTAACAGCAAAAGCTGCAGAACTCAGTCTACTTGACAAGCTATCAATATGAGGATCCCATTGCAGTCGGGAATCTAGTGTAATACCAAGGAACTTTGTCGATTCTACTAACTCAACTTTTTCACTATTTACATTTATAAGTGTACTGACATGCCTCACATTAGGTAATGCAAACTTTACTCATAATCAACAAGGTTTAATTTAACCATTCTCCACTTCTGATGTCCACTGAATCTATACAAAGATTTTGAATCATATTTCATTATTAGATAGAAAATATTCATGACCTTTTAAATTCAGGATAATTTAACATAAATTAAATATTATTTTTCAGAAACCACAGTTTCAGACAACAGTCACATCTCCATTATATTCAGCATTCACTCAAATGAATTCAGTAAAATCACAAAATGCTACTACAAACAAGCAACACCTTCTAAGTACTAAACTTAAGAATGTGTTTATGTTCCTTCAGGCTATGCTTGTGTGAGTATCAACTCTGTTACATAAATTAAATAATTATTGATTTTTTCAGACATCAAGTGTGACAAATTTCTTTCTTGCTGTAACATATATGTAACATTACATCCCACAAGGGCGGATGTGCGTATCACAAATGGGACCAGTGGTGGAAAAAAAACATGATAAAATACATGTGTTGCTGATTATTGAATGTAGCTAATTAACATATTACAAATATAATGCTTTGGTGATGTACATATAACTATGATGTATAATAGTATAAAACAAAGTTAATGTTTGTTTAATTTTTTATAATGTTAATGTTTGAAGTGTTTAATTTATTTTGTTATTCTTTAAAAGTTATTTTATTGTGAAAAGAAAAGAAGTTACTATAATTATAAGAATAAATTGTTACAGAGAAATCTATCCAGTTCCAAAGTCAGTCCAGCCTCAACTCATTTTAGAAGTGATAGTTCGAACTTTGAGTGTTTCAAGTGGTACAAACACAAACTTGGATGAGTCTACAGTGGCATTAATAAAGATTGAAGCTCTGAGGACTCTAGATGCTTTAGTTGCTTGGTAATCGCATAAACTATTAAGATTAGTTAAATACGCAGATTGGTGAGTGCCAGCAACTGCAGTTACATTCGGATGTTACAGCTTAACATATCTTCCGATACATAGAGGAACTCGAGATGACAAATTTTTGGTCACCTGCCTGGTGACCTTAGCAATAGTTGTTTAACTTTCACAATCACAAATTGAATGAACTAAACACTGCACCGTCGACCTCAGTCATAGGTTACTTTTGGGATAAAAGTGTTTGTTGACTTATAAATATCAGGAAAATAATATCATATCAAATGGTAAATTACTGGTATCAATTTAGGACTTCATTCTTAATATTTACATTACCTATAGGAATATTATAAGTCGAGAATTTGAACGTTTATTTGCATTGTATATTAATAGGTTCTGAAACTACTTGACTGATTTTAAATTTTTCTGCAGGTTATTGATGCTATAATTTATCCAAGTGAAGTTGTGGGAAAACAGCTAGTTAATTTATATAGTCTTTGCATCTCAGATGTAAACTGCAACTTAATATACTATATATATAATAATCTTTTATCATAAAAGATAATCTTTTAATATACAATAATAAAAAATTATCTTTCAGCCTAGGTGCGAATCTAATACCATTTTCGGAATTAATCTTCAAATTCATCATACAAACGCTCAATTGGACCACTGATAATCCGAGTGAAGAATCAAGGTAAACATTATGTACTACAACATTTTAAAAATTGTCCGAAGAATTTGTTTTTATAATTGCAGCAACAACACTTAACCATTGATGGCAACTAACCTTAAGCTAAAAGTAGGTGACACTAGTTAAGTTTCTGACGCTCAAGAGATTTGTTAAAACTATTACATTATCTATGACATATGACATTTTAAAAATGAGCTTACATAATAATTATCTTTGTATCAAAACCTCTCTTCATCTCGTTTACTTTTGCCGATCTATTTCTCATGTAATATTCTTATTAATCGACAGTCCCTTTGGCTCAATTTCCTTTTTAATAAATAATTAATTTCAAATTTAACACTGTGTTTATATAAGCTGAGATTTATGACAATGCAAACAATAGTTATTTAAGATACGAGTGCGGAAAGTAAGGTTTTAAAAACCTTTCACACATTTTTCTCACAACATTTTTCAATGTTTTTTTCGAGGAAATAAAACAAATATATAGGTTAATAAAACTAAGTTGTATTAAAGGTAAAAATTATTTGTTAAAATTAAACGTGATATTTGAACATGTTTTCGTGTCATCAATTTTTATTTGGAAATATTCATTCTAGGCTCCTTAAAATACTTTTGCCTCTAAAGTTTGACATATTTTCATCAATTTTTTTTAAATTTCTTTGGTGCTCGGCCAAAAAAAATTAAAAAAAAAAAAAAAAATACTTTTAAACACGTGTGCACCTAAAGAATTTCAGTACATTTTTATTTAACACGTGTTTAAAGACTCACTTTCGGTGTTTACAATGGATTAAAAAAATAGCGCTTTATGAGCAACTGCATTGAAAAAATTATTAATGAATATATAATCGGTATATACGTGCCGTTCTGTATCGGGCAGGCGGGTCCGTTGCGCGTCATACGCGAGCGTGGCGCGCTGGCTGCGGTGCGTGCGCGCGCACCGGCTGCGGGGCGGCGCGCGGGAGCACGCGCTCGCCGCGCACCTGCTGGCCGACGTCGCCCCGCCCGCGCGCCTCGTACAACTCACCGTGAGAACACATCGCATTTTTTTTTTTTATGTTTTAACGGCACTGGGTTCTTCCTTTTTGCCAATCTTTGCCTTGTTGGTATGTTAGCAGTGTTGCCGACCCTACTGTTTTAACAGTTGATTAGCTGTTTTCACATTGATGTCTCCGTTTTCTGTTTCGTTTCTAATCTTTACTGTTTTTTCCAGTTAGAAGTTAGTAAATTGTTTTATTTTAGTTATATTCATCAACAAACTTTAATTTTTAAGTAACGAACTTGTTATTGGATTAATAAATTTTATGGATGCACCTAACCATATTGTGAATAATACTGTAAGCACCCAAAACGGTATAAAATAAAACATTACTCAAGCTCAAACATTGCGACCCTAACTACTCCTAAACTAGCTGTTCCCCGCGACTTCGCATGCGTAAATTATAGCCTATGTCAACTCGGTATGATATAGCTACCCGTAGGTGAAATAATTTTTAAAATCAGTCCAGTAGTTTCGGAGCTTACTCGATGCAAACAAACAATCAAATCTTTCCTATTTACAGTAATAAAATAAAACGAAATATTTCCATAAGATCGCTATAATCCAATGGTTAAATTTATAGCTAGAGTTAGCCGATTGCACTCCAGATTCCAAATTAAATAAGTTCAGCACTTATTTTATGAAAACCTAAAAGAAAAAAGACTGGGAATTGTACCTAAGACCGCAGGCTGTCTCGTCAACTCAATCCGTGACTGAATGAAAGGATGTAACAACATCAAAATGCGAAGTATTTATAATACACCAGTTTGTGAACCCTGTTCAATTAATCCTACAGACCTTTAACGTGTGACGTAATTTACGTTAACGAAGTGTGATACTAGAATAATATCTAATAAAATCTGTATAGACTAAGATGGGTGTTAAATAATATTTGATATGGGTATGGACAGTAAGTTAATAGTGTATGGACCTTGATAATTTTGGTATTTTAAACTATTATATAGGGAAACAGCTACATAGTTTATGTAATTTAATAGCATATATTATGTTCATCCTGTGTAAGTTACCTAGTTGGTGCCAAGTTACACATTGCCCTGTATGTTAAAACACAGTAAAATTTGATTTCAGATGAATTCACAACCGACAAAGAAGTTAAGTAAAAAAGCTAAAAAGAAGCTGACTAATAGTATGCTGCAAGAGAGTAGCATTGCTGCACATGCTCCTGGTGAGAAGAATAAAATAGTGGCGTGAGTTTATTTTTTATTTACAAAAACAAAATTATGGTTTTAAGGCATATTTTTCTTAATTACGTTATATAAAAAATTTTCATAGGATAGATTGATTCAATATACTATGTCGGCGGGTAGTCAGAGGGGGCTGTTACGAAGCCCAAATAGATTGTCCATATCGGAGGACTATCTTTAAAATAACACTGCAGGCGTGTATACCAACGTGGATTTGTTCCATTTTATTACTTTTCACACGAAAATATAACGAGATGAGCGTGATGTCGTCGGATGTCTTTACTCCTCGGCGATCGGAAACAATGTGTGCCAAAATGACGGCAATTTGCTTTTTTGTTAACGAACTGTCAAAGTCAGTGTCACCATTCTAATAAAATTAGAAGTGTCGATGATCATGCTCTCTCTACAATCGAGTAATTAAGTAATCGAGTAACTAGCAATTAAAAAAAGTAACTAAATCAAACGATCTTCGTAAAGATGATGCGACACATACTTTTTTCATTTATTTATATAACTATATTACTTATATTACATATGCTGAGAGTTACATAAATTAAGTAGTACATATGGTAAACTAAAAGTCATAAAAGATAAAATGTACTTCGTTCTTTGTTTTGTGCCTCAAAAACAAAATGGAAACATAACGCAAAGCTATTGATAAAGACATTCTTTCTTTCAATTGTTTTATTTAAAATTACAACATACAGATTTTTAATTCAGTACTACTCGTATAATAACAATTCGGAATTCTTATTATACTATTGAATACGAATTTAATCCGGAAGTAAATTGGCGCGAATTTCTTCAAAAATCAAACTGACAGTGACAACTCACTGACAGGTAGTGAGACCCTTAAGCAATAGATAAATAGTGACGCTCATGGTAATCGATATATTTAGTTCATCACTATGTTGTCCGTCAATCTATTTCAACTGAGACATTATTTTCTCGCAGATCTTTCTGTTGTGCCTATTTCGTATCATTAATCTTCACGCATTTGAATCATACCGCACAGTAATAATTCTAACGCGACACGAATCAGCATATTTCCATTAATTGAAATCAATCATTGCTTATGCAATATTTTTTTTTTTTAGATCTGAAAATACAAATGACGATGTCGCTATAGCCGCACTCAAATTCGCTGAAACATTCATAATCGTCTGTGGATTATTCTTTAAACCGACAACATATAAAGTAAGTTTATCTGATCAATACTTCATTAATAGGTTTACAAAATTATATAAGTATCGTAAAAAAAAATCTTAAGGTAACAGGCACCATATTTTTATTTCTATTGTTGCCTGATAATAATTATATCTGAGAATAACTTAAACTTTTTATTTTACTTATTTTGTCTATGATTGATTTTAGTTTGTTTCTTAAAGTTGTGGAATGTCCTGGGAAGTTGATTTTAAAATACACTACTGAATATATCAGCTAGCCCTATGTAATTATGTCTACATATAAAGCCTGTGGTCCCATAATTAATGATATATAAGCTATACTGGCTAATGACAATAAATTTAGTTCATTTTCCTCACAATTATATGGTTAGGACATGTTATGGACTGAAATTAATTTAGAAACGAGATAGCTTTTCCACTGTTTGAGGAACTAGCTTCTGTTAGAGGCTTCTGCTAGCTAGCTTCTGTTACAACCTACAATGCATTAAAGTTTAAAATCAAGTAGAGAAAATTGACACCTGCCGTGCTGTTGACTGTACGTTCGATCATCTTGGGAATTAGTAGATCTGCCCCCGTATTCTGTAACTCTGGTGACTTCTGAGGACAACCGAAATATATTATTCACAGAGCTCTGTGGGCAACCGGTCACCTCGCGGTTTTGCTAATCTGTAATTCATTTTTGATAAATCACTAATCCCTAGCCAGTTGCTGTATATTTTTTTAATTTAGATGAAGTGATAATGGCACTTTTGAATTGCTCACTTATTTCATCCACCACTAGTGGCTCGTTAAACTAACCAATCTTCCTTGTGTGCGTGCGTGTTTGTGTGTTTGATGTATGTGATCCTAATTAATTCGCCCAGAGTACGTTTGTAAAATATTTTCAGTCTTAAAGCCGTTCCGTAACTTCTTCTTTACACGACTTCAGATTATCAATAGCGAATACGCCTGCTGATCTACGCAAACGAAGATTCAGCACGCGCCATTTCAGTTGGATGTGTATAATGTTTTTGTATATTTGCCCATTAGCTGTTGCAAGAACGCTTAGTTACCGAGTGCTACAAATGCACCGGTTATTCAACCGAGAGGAGTTTGTGGCTACTCAAATCGTTGGAAGCGCTCCGTAAAGGCGGCCCCAGTAGTTGCCCGCCGCCCACTCAGTACTGTCTACATTTATACACTATACTACTCAACTCTAACCAAGGACAGGTAACTTAAAAAAAAAACAACAACAAAAAATCGCAAAAATCAATTCTTTATGGCAGTGTACCATCTGTTGAAAGTGTGAATATAGTCTAATATTTATTTTTATATTATTTAGAAATGTATTTTTCTTTCAAAAAACCGAAACTGAATTCTTATATCATAATATAATTCTTAATAGCTTAACAAAGGCGGTTAACGATTTCTATGACCTTCTTTTGAATTCCGGCTTTTGAAACCAATGCTGATTTTCTAGTCGGTTCTTCTCAGTACAGGTTCTCTATTCGAGATAATTTGATCATGGTTTAAACTGCCCAACTTCAAATGAAGTTTAATGAATTTGTAACGATAAATTCAAGTTTTATAACGTAATTGCAATTGACTCCTTTTTTAATGTGTTAGTTTTCACTATGCCAAAAAAATACAAAATTAAACTATACATTAACAACAGTTAGGTTAGGTTAGGTTCATAATTAAGTCCATTTTATCATAATAACTCATAATTATTCCTAGATATCCAAATTCTGTTCTGAAGCGTTACTCGATATCAGACTCCACCTACATTGTGCCCCGCCATCTCTTAATTTCGTCCTGGAAACCCAGGAAAAGCAAAAGGCTCCTGAAAAAAGAAAGAAAATATCCGAGAAGAATAGAGCCGCTTTGGCTTCTTTATTAGGAAAGAAAAGGTAAGTAATAAATATTAAAAACATACCACATATAAAAATGTATAAAAAAATCATAGCTTCATGCAATCAGTGCCGGTTTTAGCACTACTAGCGCCCTGGGCGAAATTTCTTCGGCGCCCCCTAAGTGCAATTCAATTACTACTACATACTACAAATCAGTTATTTGTCTTTTTTTCGCCGACCCGGCCTACTTACTTGTAATTTTCCCTAAATTTAGGTAGATTATTAAGTTGGCAACATTAGAATGGAACGTAGTGTTCAATCGGTTTAATTTCTCGGGAATCCGCGACTTCCCGACCATACAGAAACAATGTGTTTTTCTATAATCGGGGATTCCCGAGATCTATCTCTTTTAATTTTTGACGAAGCAGAACACAATCAACAGTCATGAGTGGACGCTGTTAAAACAATTATTCGATTATTTTAAAACAAACAAACACAGTAATCAACCGTTTAACGCTACGTTACGATGCTCTTGTTCCAACTATAGTGACATTAGTTTTATTTAAAAAATAGACAAATTTAAGATAAGCTGTAGTAAATGCTGTAAAAAATTACCTAGTGAAATATAGTTATCAAATGAATTTAGATTTAAGTATGGTATGATGGGGTTGGCATGTTCTAAAGAATAAAAACCCCTTAAAAATTAAAAGAATAAAAAAAAAATAAAAAAAATAGACATATTCAATAATTAACCTGTTACTTTAACATCTTATATACTTTAAGTATTAGGGAATGTGTAGTTCAGATCGCAAAAATTAATCTGTACTTACTTAATGATGTGATCTGTCAAAAATGAAACAGCTAATTATACACTATTATAAGTAGCTCTTTCATTTTTGACTCTTTACCCTTGTAACACCCTAATAGGGTGGTCACATAATTGTTATATATAACTTTGTGTAACTTTTTTTTCCGGTTCCGGTCACTGAATAGTAAACACGTACGTCAACGTCCTCCACGAAAATAAAATAATATTTGGTGCATAAAGTGTTTATCAAGTGTGTAAAAACTGAAAAATCAAACAAATAAATACCAAAGAACATTTCGTTAAAACAAGATTCACCGAAAAATAATAGTTTCGCGAGTGAAAGTGCTCACAAATCAATTATAAACATAACCTGCAAAAGTGCTTGTCATCCTGAGCATAGATTATAGACTTTGACAGTTTACATCAACCTGACATTAGTACCTAACTAGTGTTGCCAGTATAAGAAAAATAATTTGCACTAACCTACCATCGCCGACAAGTGTTGTCAGTTGAAGAAAACTAAAACACCCAAAAAAGAAAATGAATATAGATACGGCACTATTGTTAGAGAAACTAAATGAAAAACTAAACCAACAAACATTAGTCATAACAACTGCTGTAACAAATAATGTGTTGGAAGTTTTGAACGAAAAACTTTCAGGCTTAATGGAAGAAAACAATGTTCTAAAAAATAAAGTAACATATTTGGAACAGAAACTAAATATCGCAGAAAAAGAGAAACGCAAGAACAACCTCATCTTTTTTGGAATACAAGAACTTGGCAAAACAGAAATCGAACTGGTTGACTATATAAAAGACTTGATAGAAGATGCAGGTGTACATTTGAACAGTCAAGAGATCTCCAATGTACAAAGAATTGGTCGTTGGACGGGGAAGAAAAACCGCCCCGTAGTAGTATCTTTCTCCTGCTTATGGAAAAAGCACCTAGTCATGAAGAATAAAACTAACTTGCCACAGGACATCTATATCAAGGAAGACTTTCCCAAGGAGGTTCTAGAAAAAAGGCGCCAATTAAAAATTCAAGCTGATGAAGAAAGGAAGAAGGGGAACATTGCTTTCATAAAATATGATAAACTTGTGGTGAAAACACACTCAGAGACAAGCCGAGACAAAAGAAAAAGAGAGGAGTCCAGTTCACCAAACGAGTCACAACAAAAGAAAACTACCACACAAACCAAATCAGCACCGCAGCCTACCAAAACGAGTACAAACACAATAGCGAAACCGGGAATACTGAACTATGTTGAGCGTACTAGATCAGCCTCATTATCCGGCCTTTCAAAAAACTAACTACCGACAACGCCCGGAACCGATACAACAACAAAATTGCAACTATAACAGAACCAACTCAAAAAAACTGCACCCCAAGCCGGCTAGTCACCGTGGGGCTAAGCGACTATAACCCTCTAGAGAACCAAAAAGTCCAAAATATATTGTCAAAACACAACACTAACGCATTACTTATTTGCACATACAATGTCAAGACATTAGGCACGAAAGAAAAACTCCTTGAACTGAAAGAAACAATGCAAAATATTAAATACGACATAATAGGATTAGCTGAAGTACGACGTTTAGGAACAAAAATTACAGAAGATGAAGATCATATCTTATGTACTACAGGTCAAACTCCAGGCCTATACGGTGTCGGATTTCTAATAAAAACAAAGCTTAAACACAACATCGAAAACTACACAGGAATATCAGAAAGAGTATGTTTACTACAACTAAAATTTGATGATTATAATCTTACTCTCATACAAGTCTATGCTCCAACAGAAAAAGCTAGCGAAGACGAAGTGGAAAAATTTTACCAGGAAGTTCAGCTAGCCCATGAATTAGCAGGAAAGAATGTGATTTGCATGGGAGATTTTAATGCTAGAATTGGCACACCAAAAAAGGAAGAATCGCTGATTACTGGGAAATTTGGGTATGGAACCAGGAACAAACGAGGAGTAAGACTACTTCATTACGCTTATGAACAAAATCTAACTATAATCAACACCTTATTTAAGAAAAATAAGAAGAAAAAATGGACATGGCTTTCTCCCGACAAGAAAACAAAAAATGAGATTGATTTTATCTTATCAAATTCTCCTGGCTCATTTACAAATTTTGAAACTATATCCACCGGCTTCCCAACAGACCACAAGATGCTAAGAGGCTCATTCAAATTAAAAGCCCCGAAATTAAGTAGGAAAAATTTCACTAATCCGAAAAATCAACTAAAGACATTAGAAGACAGATCAGAATATATTGCTAACTTAAAAAACGCTGCACCTGACCTTTTCGAAAAAGGAAATGAAAGTCTAGATGTCAACACATATTACAAAAAAATTGAAACCATAATTAAAACTTGCCTAAATAAACAAAAAGGCTACAGTCAACGTCGAAAACCAAATATACTTTCAGAATACACGTTAAACCTAATGAAAGAGAGAAGTCAACTACTACACAAGCAACACCTAAGTCAGGATGAAAAAGCTAGACTTACCTATCTATTCAAAACAACCAACAAAGAGATAAAAAGAAATTACAAAGATCATAGGGAATCAATATTTACGAGACATCTAAAATCTTCCGGTAGTCTAAAAAAGGCAATTAAAGAACTAAATACAGGAAAGGAATGGATTCCAACACTAAATGCGAACTCTCCAAAACAACAAACTAGGACAGATGTGATCAACACCGCCACAGAATTCTACAGACGGTTATATAGCGCCTCTAAAGACTTATACCACGAAGATATAGAAACTTTAATTACACCTAGACTAAATCAAAAAGAAGAAACGCCGTACTTTAAAGAGATCGACATATTAAGTAAATTGGAGAAATTAAAAGAGCACAAAAGCCAAGGCACCGACGGGATATCAAACGAAGCTATAAAACTAGCAAAACCAGTGATTCTTAACCCCTTAACGAGATTATTTAACAAAATTCTTGATGAAGAAACTGTTCCGAAGACATGGACTGAGTCAGAAATAATACTGATGTATAAAAAGGGCGACCCCACAGACGTGGAAAATTACAGGCCCATAAGTATAATGCCATGTTTATATAAACTTTTCGCTAGTTGCCTACTGGAAAGACTCAACAATGACATAGAAAACTACCAACCAAAAGAACAAGCAGGGTTTAGAAAATCGTTCAGCACAATAGACCACATACAAGTATTAGAGCAAATAATTGAAAAATATTATGAATTTCGCAGACCATTATATCTAGCTTTCATTGACTATAAGAAGGCATTTGACTCTATATCTCATCGAAGCATTTGGAATGCCCTTTATGATCAAAATATAAACACTAAATACATCAGAATCATCAAACACATCTACGAAAACAGTACTAGCAAAGTCAAGTTAGAAAATTCAGGACAAAGAATAGAAATTAACAGAGGAGTTAGACAAGGCGATCCACTGTCACCTAAATTATTCATATCAGTCCTCCAAAACACAATGAAAAATCTATCTTGGGAAAACAAAGGCTTAAAAATCGACAGGGAACGTCTTCACCATCTGTGTTTCGCAGACGACATTGTGCTTTTCTCAGAAAGCCCCACAGAGCTCCAATCCATGATGTCAGAACTTAACAACACAAGCACGAGCGTGGGCCTAGAAATGAATATCTCAAAAACAAAAATCATGTCTAATCATCACAGAACTCCTGTTCTTATAAACAATAATGTGGTTGAGTATGTAGACGAATATATTTATCTAGGCAAACAAGTTTCCTTTCGCAAAAATAACAACAGAGAAGAAATAGACAGGCGAATAGCAATCACGTGGAGAAAGTTCTGGAGCTACAAAGAAGTTATGAAGTCTAACATGGACTTAAAATTAAAAAAGAAAGTAATGGACTCATGTCTCTTGCCCTGTCTCGCTTATGGATGTCAAACGTGGATATTTGATAACATAACCAGAAGAAAACTCACATCGTGTCAAAGAGGCTTAGAACGTAGTTCACTAAACATCAAGCTAAAGGACAGGGTTCGCCATGGGAAAATAAGAAAGCAGACTGGTGTGATAGATGTCTTGTCCTTCGCTCGTGGCCTGAAATGGAGGTGGGCGGGCCACGTGGCACGCTACACTGATAAGAGGTGGACAAAGACTGTGACTATGTGGAGTGGTCCCCATGGATATAGAAGCAGAGGCCGACCAAAAGCGAGATGGAAGGACGAAATAGAATCATTCGGTACAAGAAATTGGCCAATTCTGGCAAAAAACCGTGTTAAGTGGCAATCTCTGGAGGAGGCCTTCACCCGTAGAGGGGTCCAGGTGGCATTAGACTAGAGGATACTTAACGATAACCCACTAACATGTACTGTACACATGCCAAATGGAATAATAAAGGCTTTTTTATTTTTATTTTTTATTATAATTGTTGTAACTTTGTGACAGTGAGTTTGCAGTGGGCCACTACTTGTTATATGATCAATTATTTTGCTATTTCGAATAAGTGGCCAAGTAGCTGGATCCGCTATATTCGGGACAACAGTATCAACATCATCTAGTACATGTATTTGTTGTACATCAATAACAGATTCATCCTGATCAGCATCTGTAATCGTAGCACTACTTGCTCCCTCACTTTGGGATATTTCATCCACAATCTCTTGAGTAGTTATTCCATCTGACTTGCCAGACAGAGGCTCCTGTCTGGCGATCCACTGCCGATGCATTCGTTTGTATTGCAGCATTTTAGCTTCAACTTAACGTTTAAACATGCTCAAACGAAAATTTTCTTAAATGACCGAGCGATACCTAATGCCCGCCAATGTACGTCATCTTACCTAATAAAATACAAATCTTCATATTGGTAATCGGTATGTTGTTCTGTTTTATCATAATATAATATTTTTCTTGCTAAGTTTCCTTTCAATTCATGTTGAAAGTGAGGCAACTTGAAAACAAAAAACATCCTCACGGTTCTTCTCTGTTTTCGCCGACCCAGTAGGCCTTGTTCAATGAGCGAGGGAACTATATATATAATCTTTGTCTGTGGGAAATGAGGAAGTATTAGAAAAAAAAACATTAGTTCCCGAAATCAAACTAGATATCGCTACGGTACGTTCTTGATTTCTCCATGACAACCCTTCCAGTTTTCTTTCATGTTTAAAAGTAAATTAGTTTTCAAAATTTAATACACAACTCATATTCTATTTGTACTTTTTCGTATTTGTATTGATATCTAAGTTTCGAACATTTCAAATTTCAGTTTTTTAATATGTTACTTAGAAGGAACAGAAATGACTTCTTTGTTCCATTCGTTTCCTGCAAAAATCAACTTTTGCTAGAGTCGTCATCTAGTGGAGGTACTTTTGTAGTGCTTTCATTTTTTTAATATTTCCTCATTATACAGAAACAGAAAAAAGCGCCGGACGAAAAAAGGGCGCCGCGGCCTGCGGCGCCCCTTTTGGTCCGGCGCCCCTGGGCGGTCGCCCAACCGCGCCCTACCCTAACGCCGCTCCTGCATGCAATGTCACTGGCATATGTTTGTGTTGATTTCACGAATAAAATGTATTCTTTTATATCTATAACCATAATATATGTAAGAAACACTATGAACATACAAATCTATACAACTAAAGCTATTCTGTAGTAAATTTAAATTAAAATGCAGCATTGAATTTCATATCTACTATTTATTCTGCATTATCTTTTGAAGTAGGTTTTTGTATACATTTGGTTGAACCTCTACGCTGTAACAGCACTTCTCGACGAGTTCGAGGATATTCAAGACGTGTTAATTAATTCTAATATAAGTGTAATAATAACAAACATTTCTTCGCAGATTGTCCATTGATCGTGATAACACCGAAGAAATTATTGACATCTCTGAAGAACCAACTAACAAGAGAACACGAACATTCACAGAAATTGACAGAATAAGTGTAAGTAGCGACTCTGGCGATGCAATGGTAATAGAAGATGGCGTTACAAGTACCAATGAAGACGATGTTGACTCTGGGGGATCGATTGGGGACAATGAAAGCAGCTTTGAAGAAATTGTGTTAGAAAATGAAGCTGAATCTGTTATTAACAATGATGACATCATAACTAAAGAGCCAGATGTTGAAGAAGTACCTCTTGTAACAGAGAAAGATCTTTATAATGAAGAAAATGAAGAAGATGATGATATTCAAATATCTAAAAAATCGCCTCCAGTTGAAGAGAACAATACAGCATATACTAAACAAATGGGCCCTGATAACATTTATGATCTACCAACACAAATGCCGCTGAATGCATCTAATGATACTGTAGACGTGAGTCGGAGTCCTCCTTCTGTGGAGGTGTCCTATGATTTTCCAAGCACGGGCAAAAATAAAGTGACTGTTCTGGACAAAATAGAAGTTGAGAATCTTCCAAGTACAAATGATACTGATGACATCCAAATAACTTGCGGTCAAGTCATAAAATGTTCTCAGGATGTTGAAATTGAGAAAAATAAAGAGAATGGTGCTTTTGAAAGAGTTGAACTAAAAGTAAATGGGACTAAGTCTCCAGAAAAAGAGTTTTATGGTGATGAACATTTAAAGAATGAGATAGAAAAAACCGCAACGAAAGACGTCAACGTAGACGATATGCTAGCTGATTTTGTTGACGAAGTCAATGAATAAAGTAATGTTAATGTTTAATATATTTTGTGCCAAGTCTAAGAGACGTCGTTTTTAATTCATTACTGCTTTATAATTGTTATAAGTCTTATAATCAATAATTTAACAATAATTGAGAAGTATCTATATTATTGATTTCTTTTCAATATGGATGTAAACAGTAAATGAAAATAAATACATATAATTTTTTTCTGGTAGTGTTTAATATATTATTACCGATAATCACACTTTCATGCTCTATAATATTGCTTAATTATTTATGAAAAAACAAATATTTTATACTCGTTGTCACGTGACCGCAAACAGCGCGTGATGTCAACCCCTTCTTACTCATATAAACAATTCAACCTTATCCTCCGGACTATCAACCCGCTCTCTGAAGGCGCGTTTTTTTTATGCATACATAGTTTCAGAGGGCCGTGACGTCATAGCGACACCATAACAGAAATGGCGTTTTCGCGGGAAATTTTGAAAATAAATTTAATATTATATCATATTAAATGAACGATACTTTATTAAATATTTTTAAGGTATATTTCATGTATACTTATCTATAAAATAAATAACAAAATCTCTACATCCCTAGGAAATATCTACACTAATATTATAAAGAGGAAAACTTTGTTTGTGTGTTTGTTTGTAATGAATAGGCTCAAAAACTAGTGGAACGATTCTAAAAATTCTTTCACCATTCGAATGCTACATTATCCGCGAGTAACATAGGCTCTATTTTATTTTGGAAAAATATGGTTCCGTAAGATATTCAGCTTTTTTGGAGACAAGGTGTAAAAAATCAACCAGAAAAGTTCCTTATTTTGCATACACTGTCTATACTATAAAAGATAGAACCATAAAATTTTATCATTAATTGTAGATCTTATAAATATCAATAAAAAAGTCCGCGACAAACTATACCTATCTATGTCGAGTGAGGCACAATTTTTTTTAGTTAAAAATCTTGTATTTTTTTTGGACTACATTTAAACGAGTTTGTTTTACTCATGCTATTAATCCTTATCAAAATAAATTATTTCATCACTAAGTACGGTTTATGTAGATAATATTTGGTCTTTGAATGATTAAAATTGGACGTTTGGTTTTGAAATTATGGCGAAATTAAAATATTACGATTTCTGCTGTACGGCCCTTTGCGAAGTAGGCGTCACCAAGTCGGGGGTGCGCGTGCGGGGGGGGGGGGGGGGGGTTAGATCTATGAGTAAGGTAAGCCGCTGGCGGAAAGAATAGTATGTTATAAACTAGTGAAAATTAGCAAGCAGCCTTTATACCAACATAAAGTAATTTATTTATACAAATTATTTTTAAAGTGTAAGTGAACAGTACACATAGAACTACGTTTTTTTTTTATTGTTTTAAGCTCTGTAAATATACCAGATATTCCAAAATCAATATCAATATCATTGCTAACAAAATACCAACAATAAACGTATTTATTTCACAAAATGAAACAAAAATTTGAGCATAAAATTGTTTTTTATTGACAAAGTGACACCATTTTGCTTATTTTATATAATTTACATATTTTATTATTGTTTCTATACGTGTAAAGACCACAAACGTGACATTGGCGGAATTGTGTAAATGCAAATAGGCCATGAATTAAAAAAGAAGAAGAAGGTTTTATATACATCAGATTATACTGACCAAAACTACAAAACCATAGGATACTTTACCTGTCAATTTTAACAAATAAATAGCTAAGTTGGAAAGGTTTGATCTTTTTTCAGTTCAGCTGGTTATTTTAGTACTTAAAATGAATAGCTGAATATTTATACATTTAAAACAAAAGCAACAGTCAGTCATAAACATACTATATATTCAATTAATATAAATTTGAAATTGTGTAGATTCATCTAATTTGCTGTTTCTATTTACAAAATGTTAATAATTTATCTTTCCTTTTTATTTTTATTTTCTCAAGCCAATTCAATATATATGTTAAATGATGAACCTTAAATAGGCAAAAGTTACATCATTCTATCTGACAAACAAGTCCATTGGACATTCAATTTGTGGTTGAATGACACACTAATCAGTCAAGCATGAATTGTCATTTATGCTTAGAGCTCATCACACTTAGTTCAGCAGTTCCAGTCATAATGTAATCCACTTCTATTACTGGTGCATAGACCTTATATACACTACAAATACTTCGTCTACAAATTTATAATACACTAAACTTGCTAAGTTAAATGATGAATGTATTTAGAAAAAGTCCTCATATAGTAAACTTCTTTTGTTGGGGATGTTCAGATGCTGCAACAATATAGAGATCAGCAACTACTGTACAATGTAATCTAGCTAATCACTTGTGAGACCGTCGAGTGTCAATCTGTAAACATTAGAATCTTATAGATTTATTTATTTTAAAAATATATTATTTAAGTTTCTAGACTGACTACAGTCCAGCAAATAAATTGCAACTTTTGTCTAGCTAAGAATATATATGATTTAAAAAAGGATAGTTATCTCTAGGAAATCTTTTAGTGAGTATATAAACTCTTTTTATGTCGATTTCATAAAAATCATCATTATAGCATGAAGAAAGAACAAACTATATTTTTAGTTAATCTAATTTACTATTTTATTATAATGTTGAGATTGTTTATAAATTATAATAATAACAGAGTTAAATGAATATAATGCAAGTATTGATAATGAAATTTAAATGCCTTTTTTATATAACAGTATTATTTATAATAAGATACTATACCTTCCTTCTATTCTTTTCAATACTGATGTCATTTCACCTAAAATTAATACTGCCCGTTTTATAGCTTCACTGTTAGCCCTTTCGGCTTGAGCTCGTGTTTGTGCTGCTGATATTAGTTTGTGTATGGCTGCTGTAGCAGTGAGCGATCGACGTTGCAATTTACGCTTTATAATTTTCTGTCTTATATTATTACTGGTTTTGGCAGACTGTGGTTCAATTATAATATCAGAAAGATTTTCTGATCCAGTTGAACTTGAAAAAGCTGGTGAGCCTTCTCTACTTGGAATGTCATTGTTGTGTTGGTTTACCTAAAAGCAACTCTAAGTCCATAACTTCAGCTTAATTGATTGAGGAACTGCTTTAAAATTCTGTTACAATATATGGTAACTATATCATAGAGCAAATTGTATCATTTTACCAACATATGGGTAATTATATATTATAATTTTTTTATAGCAATTGGTGCTAACTATCTATTCATATACTGCTTTATGATAAGTTTCAAGTTGTGAATAGCATGAGCTTAACTTGATTGTGTTTAATAAAATAAAATTTAAAACAAAAACATTATTGATAAAAAATCTATAAATAATTGCACAATTGAAACTTACCTGTTCACTGGCAGTAATTGCTTGACCTCCAACTGAATTGTTCCCATGATCTGTATTCAAAATACTTAACAACTTCATTTCAACCTCAGAGAATGGTGCATCAGTTGTAATCTGCCCCTGTTCATTTGTTGCATCATTCTGTTTTGCTTTTTTCTTTAGTTTTGCTTTTAAATCCACCCAGTACTAGAAGGAAATAAATCAATTGGATTGAATACATGTACCTATAAAAACAGTTCTTTTTATTTTATTTAGAATAAGAAATAAAGCATGGTCTTGGAAAAAAAGAAGTAATGATACCTTAGACCACCCAGATCCAGATTTCTTGGCACCATCTTCACATGAATTTAAAAGTTTCGAGATTTGTGCCCACTGCCGCTTGCTGTGCTCACGGTCATAAGTGCTTTTATTGTATCCAACTGCTATTTCCCGATGATCTTTTAAAAATTCACACAAAATTTGTTGCTGTTTATAGGTCACCCGCCGTGTACGAGGTACGCCGCACCTGAAATAAGCAGTTTTTCCTTTTCGTCTGAATTTTTGGTGACAATTATTACTATGAAATGTAATCAAGAGTTATCAAAGTAAGAGGGAACACTTACGACATTATGATACTAATTCACATAAAAATTAAGAGAGCACTTCTTCTTCTTCTTCTATTTTAATGGCTATTTTGTGTTAACCACAATCCTGCCAATTTCACGTAGGAGACCACTACACGGTATAATAGATTAATATAATCAATTTGGAATAGGTAGTAAATAAGACAGTTGATAATTTGTGCTCAAATTTCATAAATTACAAACATAGGCGACATACACAAATTCTGACAGCATAGGGACGTGATCGGAGTACTGATATATATAAATATATTATATCAAAGCCATAGTATATCAAATATCGAGTAAACTGGTAAACATCGACATGGAAAAAGAGCAACATATCGATACTTATTATCGAATAAAGTCCAAAGAGTAAAGCATAACATATGGATAAGATATAAATATTATAGTACGTGTCTGATAATAACCCTTAGCATAGAAATCACGCTATTGTAAAAAAAACAACAAAAAATGCTAGTGAATGATATTATCACTGTATGAAATACTTTTGGTGTTATGACAAAGTTGGATTGTGATGGAATCCCATCTATATAATCTGTGCTATATAGGTCCATCATGTGCTACTTACAGTTGGGTCATTGCGCTGCACATGTAGTAAATAGGCAGTCTAGGCTGTACAGACTGTATCCCTTAATGTTTAATGAAAATAAAACAATATTCACAACTTTTACGTTTTTTTCGTCATTTATTTCGTAAATGTTTTAAGTTTTGTTTTCGTTATAAATAATTATTGCTCAAGTCTAGGCTAAAACCCAAAAAATGGTTATTGCCATTGGTTTCGAAGGAAGTGCAAACAAACTCGGTATCGGTATCGTAAGAAACGGTGAAATACTTGCGAACTGTAGGAGAACTTATATCACACCGCCCGGAGAAGGTTACATTTAGTAAAAATGAAATAACTTATCGCTTGCTCCTAAAATATTATAAATTTCTAGTGCACGCATTTGTTCTGCTCGCATTAGGGTTTAATGAAGTAACATTTATTACATGCGTTAATAATTTTAGGCTTTCTACCCAGGGAAACTGCTGAACATCATCAACAAAACATTCATAAGGTGTTGCAAGAAGCCTTAGATGAGTCTGGAATATTGCCCCAAGATATAGATGTGGTATGTTACACTAAAGGGCCAGGAATGGGAGCTCCACTTATGGTATGTGCAATTGTAGCCAGAACTTGTGCAAAGTTATGGAATAAACCAATTCTAGGTGTAAATCATTGTATAGGACGTATCCTTTTCAAACAACTTTAATTTGCTATATAAAATTGATAATTTCTTATTGATGAACTTGTGACTTCTTTTATTTACATCAGTTTACAAAAGGTCATTTCTATAGTATATCTATAAGATATATCAGGGCGGTAGACAATAAAAGAATCTAATGGAAGCCAACAATTTATTTTAAATACACACTTTAACACTAGTCACTGTATCACTGTATTCTTTCACTGCTCGTACAATACTAAACCTCCTTAGAAATTACACCGTCTTTTATACCAACAAGCTTTATAATCAAAAATGACGGTAATTATTCAAATCATATTGCTATCCAATGACAAATCGGATATAAAATCGATTTACCCTCATTTTATGATGTATAAACAATTTTTCTATTTACAACATATTGTAAATCATTTCAAAAGATATATTAATTATCAATCCTATAATTAGTATCGGTTTCAGTCTTTTATACCCAATTAATTATTTAAAACACTATAAGCTACTTCTTGTTCTATAGAGACGTATAATAGTACTTATAATAAAGGAACTGTTCTACTCATTATTATTAAATCTAACATTCGGCCTTTCCTGACACTAAGCTTGTCCTCAAGCTTCAAAATTAAAAAAAACTTATTTTATTATGAGTCATAACAAATTACCGAATGCCTGTATTAACGGAACCAGATATCACTGGTTCTGTCAACGGTAAATATTTGGTTCCATAAACTGACATGAAGTTAAACACTGTGGGATCTATCAACAACAAGTGTTTCGCTTCCATTTAAATAATAACATCAATATAATATCGTTGGATCTATCAACAACAGATATTCCACTTATTATTTTGATCACAATGGCTATAGTAAAAACATCACTGGTTCTATCAACAGTTAATGTTTCACTGTCCATCTCTTTTGATAAAACATCACTGGATCTATCAACAGTAAATGTTTCACAGTCCACCTCTTGATTAAATATCACTGGATCTATCAACAGTAGATATTATTACCTTCTATTAATTTACATAATATATCACTGGATCTATCAACAGTAGATATATTGCCCGCTATTTAAAACTGTTACAATATAATTTATTATTATTTCCATTAACAATAGTTATGTTAGCGCCAATTTGAATTACCTGTTTCTATATATCACAACATCTTTATCTAATAATTTTAATATCACTTAAAATATAATAATCAATTATTCAACAACATGAATTCATGAATCCAAATCAAGCATCTTTTTATTCCATAAATTAATCATTCTTCATTATAAAACAACAACAACATAGAATGTACTTAATACATGTATCTATCATGACACTTCATATAACGAATTTGGTAATTATTAATAATATTTACATACCTATTTTTATAGACAATCAGTATACAAGACATTGTTTATTAAATAATTGTTCCCAATGACATACCGTGTTACTTATTCACAATTTTAAGAATCTATTGTTCATATCCGTTCACAGAGAAAACAGACCCTAGTGATCTTCAGCATCTGTAGCGCTACTAATACTTTCTTCATCAGAGTCTATGTTACTAACAGTAGATATCCATGGTTTAATACGATCCGCAGCCCAAATATTACAGTATTTTTTAGTTGTTATCTTAGTTCCCGGTATGCTTGATACTTCATATCTATCATTGTCTAAAACTTTTGTGATTCTAAAGGGACCAGTGAATTTGGGGAGTAATTTTTTACTTTTACCGTAATTATTTGGTGTAGGTTTCAAAATTTTAACTAATTCGCCTAAATTATATATTCTAGCTTTAATTCTACTCTTGTCGTATCTAACCTTTTGCTGTTTTTGATCTTTCTCAATATGTTTATTTATTTCTGTACGTAAATCTTTTATTGCTCCTAATTGACGGGTTTCCATCAGAATATCACTGAATATATTATCACCTTTACTGACCATCTGTAAACCAAAAAGGGCTTCGGAGGGAGTCTTCCCTATGCCTTTATTTAATGTATTATTCAATCCCCATTGCAACTTCCCTAACTCTTGATCCCAATACTTTTCTCCCAACTTATTCGTATATGCGGTAAGTGCGTCTAAAACAGTTCTATTATACCTTTCCACTTGTCCATTTGCACGTGGAGAGGCAACAGCGTTTAGAATGTGCTTTATTTTTGAGGCTTGGCAAAAATTTTTGAACTCGTTTGATGTAAACGATGTTCCTTGGTCGGAAATTAATCTATTAGGGTAACCAAATGTGTTAAATGTATTTTCTAAGCTACTAACGGTAGGGGTAGTTTTTAAATTTTTTAATGGTGTCAAAATACAAAATTTTGTGAAGCCGTCTACTAAAACAAGGAGGTAGGATTTGCCTTTGGTACTTTTAATGAAAGGACCCAAGTGATCGATATGTACAGTGTCGAAGGGTTTGTCCACTTTATATATCGGATTTAGGAGACCTTCCTTAGGACCTGCTGGTTCTTTGCTGTACGCACATTCAAGGCATGACTGAACATATTTTTTGATAAATTGTTTCATTTTAGGGAACCAGAAATCTTTATTGATTTTCGAATAAGTTTTTTCAAAGCTAAAATGACCAATATCGTCATGATTGAGTTTACATAACTGGAAACGAGCAATTTTTGGTACCACCCATTTCAGTTCCGCGCCTACTTTACGAAATAATCTGTTATTTTTAATAGAATAATTTTTCTTTATGTCTGAATATTCGGTATCTTCTAAAATTTTCCTAATTCGTTGCAACTCGTGATCATTTAGTTGTAAAGTAAGTAGCCAGTCTTCCTGAGTAATTCGTAAAATAGACGGTAAAGTATCTTGTCCAAAATTACTTTCATTTTGTAATGGATTCCTACTCAACGCGTCGACATGGGACATCGTATGACCTGGTTTATACTGAATTTGAAAATCGAATTCCTGTATAGCTATCCACCATCGCGCAATGCGTGGTATTAAGTCACGTTTACTAAAAGTGGATCTAAGAGCCGCACAGTCAGTAGTTAAAGTAAAATTTACGCCTAGCAAATACACTCTGAATCTATGTAGAGAAGCCACAACGGCTAACGTCTCTAATTCGTACGCGTGATAATTTTGTTCGTCTAACGTGGTTTTTCGGCTAAAGTACGCAATAGGTTTTATTTCACCACTATCTCCTTTCTGTAATAATATCCCTGCAAGCCCGAGTTTACTAGCGTCTGTATGTACGAATGTCTCACTATTGGGGTTGTATATGCCTAATACGGGTCGTTGGACTAATGCTGTTTTTAATTGTTGAAATGATTCCTCTTGTTTAGCATTCCAACACCAAGCGACATCTTTTCGTGTCAAATCAGTAAGCGGTCTCGCTATAATAGCAAAATTTCTTATAAATTTTCTGAAGTAACTAGCTAGTCCTATAAACTGTCGGACCTCGTGTACATTGCGTGGTGTTGGGAACTGTTCTACGGAAATTATTTTGGCTACTCCGGGTCTAACCCCGTTTTCGCTTATTTCATACCCCAAATATTCAAGCTGTTCTTGAAAAAAGTTACATTTTAGTATATTTAAAGTTAGTTTGGCATCTCGAAAAAGTTTAAAGGTTTTATCTAATCTATCAAATTCTTGGTCAAAGTCTTTACCAGGTATCAATATATCATCCATATAAGCGAGGGCATAGTTAAACCGAGAGTTCCCTAGTACCTGATTAATGGTTCGTTGAAACACTGCCGGGGAATTAACAAGGCCGAAGGGCATCTTTTTAAATTGAAATAAACCATCGGGAGTAACGAAAGCTGTGAGATGTCTACATTCACTACTTATTGGTATCTGATAATAGCCGCTTGCCAGATCGAGACTCGTATAATATTTATTGCCGTTAAGTAAGTCTAATTGATCGTCTATTCTAGGCATTGGGAAATGATCTTTGATAGTTTTATGATTTAAGGCCCTATAGTCCACGCACAAACGATTGCCCCCAGTCTTCTTTTTTACAAGTATTATAGGACTTGCATAAGCAGAATTTGATTCTTCCGCGATATCATTTTCAATAAGTTCGGTGACCATATCTCTAACTACTTCTTTTTCTGAATGACTCAAACGATAGGGTCGATAAACGACGGGAGTTGTATCATTTAGTTTGATATGCATCTCTGCTTTGTTTGTGCATCCTAGCTCTGAAAGATTTTGTGCAAAACAGTCGCGATATTGGTTTATTAGATTTAAAACCCGCTGCTTTTGTTGTTGTGTTAATCTACTATTGATTTTTATTTCATCCATAGATATAGGTACAAGTGGCTCACCATAAATCTGTCTACATTGCAACGATTTATTTTCGTCGGAATCCGACGAGACTATTGGTTTACTACGCACTAGCACCGAGTCTTTTTGTAGAAAAATAGGTTCTTTTGTACAGATAGCCACCAGACAATCTCCCCTATTTACATTATAAACGCCTCCCATTACGTGATAGGTTGCACTACCTAATTTTCTTACGCTATCTTCTACAAAAATATCGCAGTTAGATTCGTCTTCATCTCTACAATGAACGTAATCAAAATCTTTTATAACCGTGTCTAATTTTATTCTCAAGATTACTTTACCGGTACCCGTATTTGTTGTATTTATATTCATAAGATCATCAGTTATTGTCCGTTTCAATATGTCTAATTTATCGCAAGTTTTTATCACCAAAACGTCTGCTCTCTCTGTAAAGTCCTGTCCTACTAACAATGGTTCTGTAAGAAGACTGGAGTTCACAATGTAAGCCTCGACATCAGCGGTCACCTCACCAATTTGTAGATTAATTTTTGTCTTTCCTATTGGGACTGAGGTGCCATTACCGAAACCTCTAATATTTGGAACATCGTTGTCTAATTTAGGTAACGAAAACTGGTCTACAATATCCTTTCGTATCAATGTACAATCACTTCCAAAGTCAACATAGCTATTAACTTTAATTTTATAGTTTATGATAGCTTCTTTATAATATTTCGTGTCAGATCTTGTTTTTTGTGTCAACATAGTTTTCTTTTCAGTGGACTTTACATTAGTATTGTTCCTATCCTTATTTCTAAAACAATCGTTACTTTTATGCCCGAATCTCTGACAGTTATCACATTTTACAATCGGCTTTGGACATTTGTTTGACATATGCCCTTTCTCTTTGCAATTAAAACAGGTCAGTTCATTAGCATTGGTCGGGGCGCGACAAACAGAACTTTTATGACCACTTTTCTGACATTTATAACAAACTATGTTGTCATTGGAAGCTTTTGCATTGCCTGAACGTTTTTCATTTCGAAGATCTTTCAAGAATTTTAATAAATCTTCAGGAAACTGACATCTAGTAGACGATGCACTAGCCCTAATCATCCTATCGTCTATTCCGTGTACAAGGCAGTCAACTGCTTGCTTGCCTACAATATTGCATGCATTTAGCAAGATCATTTTATCATAGTAATATTCATCAATTGAGTCACCAAATTTCATACGTCTTTCCAACATTTCGGACAATAATACACCGTAGTTATTTTCAGAAGGGAAAGTCTTAATTAACCTAGCCTGCCATTCAGTCCATGTGAAGAGTATGGTGTGAAGACCTTCATACCATTTCTTCGCATGTCCGGTTAATTTTGGTAACGCGTAATGAGTAGTCTGTTCGTCAGACCATTTGTAAATTTTTGCGCACTCATTAACTTTAGCTATCCAACCCTCAATTCTCTGATTTTTCTGTGCCGGATCGAAGGTAGGTATAATATTTTTGTCATAGGTTATTTGAGGTCTAACACAGGCATGAATTAATTTTGTAATATCGTTAATATTAAATAATTTATCGTTACTTGTAATCAAATCCGAAGTTGGGAACGTAGCCGCCGGCTGCGGCTCTGGCTCGGCTGGCGCGGACGCCAAAGCCGCATGCGTCGCTCCGCACGGTGGCTCTGCATATCGCTGCATGGGTGTGCCCACAGTCGACAAGTCCGCCCTCCGTTGTATGCTGTCATGTGATTGTTGCACACGTCGAGGAGTATTAGTCGGGGATCCGCCACGGTGGTTATTTTTACGTCGACGTTTTTTCGAAGATCTTGGCGTATCCCTCCGTTCTACAACGGAGGATTCTCCCGCAGAACTGGTGCTACGGTGACGATGACGATGGCGGCGCTTACGTCGCGATGAACGCCTCGATTTACTTCGCGAGCGATGTGTTTCTTGTTCACTTTCGTTACTGCTCGCCATTTGAATTTTTAATTATCCCACTTCTGATATAAGATATATCAGGGCGGTAGACAATAAAAGAATCTAATGGAAGCCAACAATTTATTTTAAATACACACTTTAACACTAGTCACTGTATCACTGTATTCTTTCACTGCTCGTACAATACTAAACCTCCTTAGAAATTACACCGTCTTTTATACCAACAAGCTTTATAATCAAAAATGACGGTAATTATTCAAATCATATTGCTATCCAATGACAAATCGGATATAAAATCGATTTACCCTCATTTTATGATGTATAAACAATTTTTCTATTTACAACATATTGTAAATCATTTCAAAAGATATATTAATTATCAATCCTATAATTAGTATCGGTTTCAGTCTTTTATACCCAATTAATTATTTAAAACACTATAAGCTACTTCTTGTTCTATAGAGACGTATAATAGTACTTATAATAAAGGAACTGTTCTACTCATTATTATTAAATCTAACATATCCTAAAAAGATTAATATAATAAATGGTTTTTAATTTCTATATTATAAATACCTTAACTTATAGTGCAGACATAGAAATGGGTAGATTAATAACAAAAGCTAATAACCCAACTGTACTTTATGTAAGCGGTGGGAATACACAAATTATTGCATATTCTAGAAAAAGGTACAGGATATTTGGAGAGACAATTGACATTGCAGTTGGTAACTGTTTAGACAGGTGATATAGCCATTTATAGTTTTAAATTATTTTAAAGTTGTAAACTCACTATAAGGTTCTTGTAAACTTGTTTCATTATTAGGTTTGCGAGAGTATTAAAATTGTCAAATGCTCCAAGTCCTGGATATAACATTGAGCAGGCTGCAAAAAAAGGAAAGAAATATTTACATCTCCCTTATTGTGTTAAAGGTAATTATGTATAGCAATATTGATGAGTAATTTTAATCCACTTTGATACTATCAATCGTTTTATCTTGTTGTCTCTGATGCTCATCACCATAGGACTGAAATTATAAAATATGTCATCAAACTTCACATATTTAAAATTTAAACTCTAAGATGTCAATGATCTCACTTTGATCTTCTAATTTCAGGAATGGATGTTAGCTTTTCAGGAATACTGTCATACATGGAAGATAAAATAGAGGATCTTCTTAAAGAATACACTCCTGAGGACTTGTGTTATTCATTGCAAGAGACAGTTTTTGCCATGCTTGTAGAAATCACTGAAAGAGCTATGGCTCACTGTAGCTCTGATGAGGTATGCTAGAGTTATTTTCAATTTATACAAAATCAAAAAGCAACTTTGCTTATGTTATATTTTTAACTCTGAGCATAAATAAAAAAAAAAGCATGAAGTGGAATGTAAAAGTAGATTGAAGATGAAGCCAAAATTCTCTGTAGATGTTAATGAAGGATGTTAGATGAAGAACACATTAAAATTTCTATGAACAAAATAGGTTCCATTTCTGATCTTCACATGACAATGTAACACTGTCAATGTAGTCCCATTTCTTATTTATCTGCAATGTTAATTGTGCTCAAGTCTGAAGCTCGTCTGAAATGGAGCTTGAACATAAAATTATAGATATTCAAGCTCTTATCTTATTACCTTTTTAATTTAAGAATGTTTTCAGGTACTAATTGTTGGTGGTGTAGGTTGTAATGAACGCTTACAAGAGATGATGGGTGTAATGTGTGCAGAGAGAGGCAGTAAGATATTTGCTACAGATGAACGTTTTTGTATAGACAACGGAGTTATGATTGCACATGCTGGAGCCTTAGCATTTGAGTCTGGTACCAGAATGGACTTCAAGGATACAACCATCACACAGAGATTCAGAACTGATGATGTTCTTGTAACATGGAGGGATGATTAAATGATAAACTATAAATTAAGAAATCTGTGTTTCATTTCTAATATTTTATTTAAGGAAAAAAATATTCTTTACGCTTTTATTTAACTTATTGTTTGACTCTTTATAAAAGAGGGATGATTATAAACTTCTAAAGTACTAACACTCTCATATGATATAAAAAAAGGTTACATAATTATCTGGCTTTAATATTTGTTCAAAAATAAGAAATTCATTTGGAAACTTAAAACATAGCACTAACAATAACATTACAAACAAGTTCTCATCTCAACACTATTTCGATTCTGAGTGATAAAACTTAACAAACATAACTTATATACTTTTTACAGAAAAGTAGAATACTGGAACTTGCTTATTCTTAACTTGTGAACTTTGATATCATAGTTGTATAGCATCCTTGTTCAACCAAATTCTGCTATGCGGAGAAAGTATACCATTGAGATATTGAATAAAAAATTTACAATATTACATACAGCAACTGCAATATATTTTATTAAGAGGCATTAGATAGTCATACCCTGATCATAAGCACATAGCATTCATTTAGTACTGTTGATAAGGCTGTGAGCTTTAAGTCAAAGGCAAAAAGTAGAAATCTCAAAAAGTGCACATAGCGGGTTTAGGTTTAACAATGGTGATATATCACGAGACTACATAAAATGACCGTAGTGTAGGATAACAGATTAGCTGTTGATCATTATGTTATTATTCTTCTGAACATTTCATCATGTATAAAAAACACAATAATTACAATTGAAAATAAGTAAAAATAACAATAAAAAATGCTTTAAGCAATAGGGATGACGACTGGATAAAAAAAATGCAATTCTATTTAGTCCGTCAGTCAGATAATAGAAAAATATTAGATACGTATTTTTTTTTACTTCAATTTAACAAGAAATAGCTTAGATAACAGGCATTAAAGTTGAGGAGTGGGGGCTCGCTACGTCACAGTTTAGTAGAAAACGTACCATAACGTGACGTCATGCGAAATTTCAACTCCATGTAACGCCGCAATTTTATGATTATGAAAAAAATAAAAAAATACGTGTTTAGTATTTTTTAACACTCTACCTGACAGACAAACAAATAAAAATTAGTCGTCATCCCTATACTAGTCATGTCACATATTTTAGGATTTTTAGAATATTAATATGTAGACATTTTGACACACACTTTCAATAAAAATCATCATTTGCACACAATTATATCATTTGTACTACAGCTTTCTTGGCAGTAACACTTGGCTGATAAACACTTGTCACACTTATAAATTTCATAAACTGTTATTGTTACTACCATGAAGTCCAGTAAACACAATAATCCAAGTCACCTGAAATGGAAAGACTTCAATAATCACACCGGTTAAAGTAAGCTGAGAAATAATTGTTTAAAACTCTTTATTCAGAGGATAACATACTATTACATTAACGGAGATTAAAATGCTATTATGACAAACTTACTAACCAAGAATCCAGCAAATGAAGTCATAAATCCTTCTTTTGTAATTTCCCACATACCACCATACTCTTCCTCATCAATAGTTTGGAAATTATTAACATAAAAATATATCACTGCAGCATTTACAACCACAAACCTGTAAAGATCCATCACAAATAAGACACAATATTTCTGGAATAAAACCGCTAAAATTATTTACATATAGACACTTACAGTAACAATCCCAGGAAACCTTTCAGTGGCAATAAGCCCCAGAAAAGACCTAATATTATACCTATCGCTTGACGCATCCAATAAATTACATCTAGAAACTCCTCCTAAAACATACATTCCGATTTATAAAACTAATAAACGTAGGATTTGGTGAGCAATACGGCGATTGAAAGCTAACCTTGTCCGGCCATTCTGCATTGGTCTTAAACGCTTTCCTCCATACAGTTTCACAATCTTTTCCCTTGTTATCAACCAACTTACTTTTAGTAGACATCTTTCATTAATACTTAATGATTTCTTCACATTAATTCTAAATAAAACGTGAAATTGGAAATTAATGACAGATGATAATTTATGACAACCACATGACCGACCACATAACACAAATATAGGGATGTGAAAAAAATATTCAATAACGAGAAAATCAAATAAAGAAGAGAGATTGAAAAAAAATATAAATTTATTGAAACTTTTCTTCCGGAATAAAGAATTTGAGAGCACAAAAATGATTTCTAATTTATAATCCGTGGTTGAGTCTCATGCAAGTCGCTACCAAGAAAATGTTATCTCCGAGGTTTCTACATTGATTCCTGACCGTCAATAGATTAAGAACATTTCTTTATTGTCTTAGGCCTTGGTGTTGTAGTGCTGGTAAAATTCCAAATTTTTAGTTAGGGAAGCACCAATATTATTAGCCATTGATAGGGAAGCACCAAAAACCGATATATCAGTGCCCAAAAATTAAATATACCTTAGCCTAAACTCAAAATAAGAACAGGCTTCTTGAGAACAAATTGCGGTTAGTAAATTCAATAGCTGCCAGCGATTACTAGCGGGATTTTTCAATACACTTAGGGTAAAACAGTACCAAAATAAGTTTTTGTATTCAAGATCTTTTGGATTTCTTTAAGTGTCGATTAATTGATTTTGTGCAACGATATATCTACTGTAACCGATATGTATCGAATTCAATATTTTTTATAAGTATTGTATCATAAACCATAGAGGATTAACGATCAATAATTTCATTCTGGAGCGACGTTGCCCAAATCTAAAATTCTCATATTTTACTTCAAAAATTTATCGCCACTATGTCTCAGACTTATAGACAAGGGATTAGATTTGTTTTAAGGTAGACATGTGTGTACTACATATCTTCTACTACATACCACTCGTATATACACTCGAGAAAAGTAATTAATATACTTATACTTGAGAAAATGTCATAACATAAGCAAATATTTTTAAACAATAGAAAAAACTTGAATAAAGTAACAACTGTAATTATCTGATAATAATGACTAGTATTTTAACTATTAAGTTCTTACTTCATTCAAATTCTTACTTATTTGGTAAAAATAATTGCTTAAGTTAAACACATACTCTCGACTACGGAAGTAAATCTAATGGTAAATAATTCTTAAATGTTAACGGTAAAAGCGTTTATTTCAGAATTTGTTAGCCGACATCCGATTTTTAAGTCTATGAAGTCTCTCTGCTTCCATATTTTTGGTGATTTCCCAACATTCCTTGTTCAATGTATCGTGGCCTCGAGACAGACTAACTAGTCGTGCTAGAACTAATAATCTGTGTAAATCATCAGCAGTTACTGGATTTTGATTATCTGATTTACTTCTCATCTCTATAAAATCATCTTCCACAAACTGGAAATAAATAAAATACAAGTTAATTTATCACCAAAAAGTATTACAAAGGGTTTATTCTCTTGACTGTATTAAAACCAACACATTAGTATGAATTAATTATAACTTAGATTTATACAATCTATGTGTATACTACAATCATGTGATGGACAAAAATGTATAAACCATCAAGTAAAATAAAATAAAAATGCAGTTATGTATACTATTAAAATAAACCTCAAAATACCTCAAAGAAGTTTGAATAAGTTGCTTTCGTGTAGTTCCAGTGGCGTAGCTACCAAGGGGCTAGGCGGGGCAGTGCCCCGGGGCCCTCAAGCTCAGGGGGCCCTCGAAGCTTACCAGAAAATCTCAATCGAACTCAACTTTTGAAATTTTCACCCATTTTCAAAATAAATATGACAGGTGAAAACTCGAGTTTAATCATGGCAACTCAGTTGTGAGAAATTCCAAAGTTATAAAAAGGGAATTCCCCTAAATTATTTGTGTGGGTTGACAGTGTTATTAATGTTTTCATCAATTAGTCAGATATCAATATCTGCATGTTATTATTTATCGATATGCGTTATTTTGATTCGCGATTGTGATCTTCGAGTCAAGATTTTTTTTCGAAAATGGTTAAAAAGTTAATTTATCAGGAGTAAGTAAGCGTATGTCAATAAATTTTTTGTACTGGTCCATACAAAAATTCCAATTTAATTTGATTATGGTACATATATATAGTTACGTAAAGAAATCTTTAGATTTCGGCTACTCACTATATAACTTAAAATACCGTGAAAAATGCAAGTCACATGCAGTTTTTTGTCAATTTTTTAAACCGTCAAATGTGATAACACTGACGGCGATATAATGTTTGCCGGGGATTCCCCAACGACGTCTTGTATCGTATCATTACGTTTCGTTTTCGTTTTACTACTTGAGTACAATATTACATAAATATTGCATAAATAAATTATAAAATTAATATTATGGACAAAAAAAACCCAGTGGTGCATTTAAACGCAAACAACGCCTAGAAAGAGAAGAAAGTGGACAAAAATTGGCCAAAATTCACAAGTTTTTTAGTCAGCCTTCTGCAAGTACTTCTGGACAAAATATTTCAATTGAAAATTTTCAATACCTACACCAAGTATAAAAATAATTGTAATTTATGTTGTTAGTGTTTAATAGTTTTACTACCTGCCTATGCACGAAAAAGAGCTGTTCATAAAGTTGCTTAGCATTTTTAAAGTATATGTATATTTAATGATTTTACTTCAAAAAACCTTAACAGTTTTGATAGCAGTGGGCCCCATTTTTTTGTTTGCCCCAGGGCCCTAGGTTACCTAGCTACGCCACTGTCTAGTTCATACAGTTTTTACAGAATACACATTCACAACTTTAGTAGAAAAAAAGTATATATGTATGCATGCAATAGGTACATTTTGACAGTTGTAGTTTAGTGATGGGGTGTCTATAAATTGATAGTGAGAATAATCAATTCTAACAGGTAAACACTTCACTATCTGTCACCAGGCTGTATCTGACAAACCAAGAAAAATACACAGATAATGTATATTTGTTGCTGCTTCAACAACAAACACTATAAACCGAAATAAAATAAATATTTAAGGGGGCTCCCATACAACAAATGTGTTTTTTTGCTTGATATTGATAATTATTGTACCTTATTAATGTCTTGTTTAAGCCTATTTACCTGCAAATCATCACTGATTGTATATTTAACTAGTTTGATACTAGTTAAATATGTTCTTATGACATTCATAATTTCCTCTTTCAGATAATAAGTTGCAGCCTCCACAATTGCATCGAAAATCTCCAAAGAAGAATCTTCTGGCCTCAGGGGTACATGGTAATCACTCTGAAATGATACAATTACTGTGTGATCACCATGATGAATGAAGAATCTTACTTTCATGAATTTATGGAATGCACTCTTACTCAGAAAAAAATCATATTTATTAATACACTTAATGAAAAATCCAAAAAAAGAAACCACTTTGTCCCTGGCATTCTGAGATGGGACTTGAACCCATGAGCTTTCGCAGCTTTCGCAATCCGGGCGACTAGAACCTAATAGGACTGACGAATTTTTCAAGCACTTGTTCCTTTTTCCCTACTACAGAGCGTACTCTGATCAACGTTCAGGTAATGCACCCAAACAGCCGAAAGAAATATTTTTTAAAATATTGAGACTTTCGATAAAGATGAAAATTTGTTTATTATTATTATTATGTAGTACAAGATTTACTCTTCCCGACCCCTCGACGATTTGGGGGGGGGGGGAGGATTCCTCCCGGCAGAGGAGGCCAGACGGCCGGGGGTCAGGGCGACAAAGAGAGAAAACGGCGGACGATCCTTGCGTTATCGAGCAAGATCTATTATTATATTCGATCAATTTTGAATTTACAATACTATACTGAAAAACTTAAAAAAAAATGCCTAAAATTCCAATTTGTCCCTGGAACTCTGAGATGATACTTGAACGGTTGAACCCGTGGCATTATAATAACACCTATTTTACTTACAGGTAACAGTGATTTTCCTTCAGAAAGAATTAAAACAGATATGTCTGAATCAAAATTCATCTTGTAATATTTAAAATCATATTCCACTTTCTGATTTTGAATCATATTGCCGAGAGCCGCGATATTATTGACACCGGTGGCGTCTAGTGTGCCCTGTTCCATTTTTGTCTCGTCCAATACAAGATGGGTGTTTTTGCTCAGCTGTAGAACACCACTAGTGAGGCGATTACATTCATAATCTTTTCTGAAATAAGACAAAAAATAACTTTATAAAAATACCTATAGTAAATGATTCAATAAATATTAAACAAAGTCGGTCTCCTCTGTCCATATATTGATATCTTTTAAAGTACACAATGGATTTTTGTGTGATTTACACCAATATACATTTTTTTTTATTTGTTTATACATTAAGAAAATTATTTAACATGGTAATTAAACTAAGCCATGAAGAGAAAATACGAAGGTTTGTACACATGTGCTAGGAATAAAATTATATATAAAATACATTTAAACGAATCGGCAACAACTTGGTTAACATATTATTAACAACAGTAATATTAACATTTAAGTAATAATAAGTACGACGCGTACTTGGTACAATATTTAGTCACCAAGCAAATCTAAGTAATAAACTTTTAGAAAATCTTTAAGTTGTAAGGACGTATACGCTGTATTAAATCCGGGGGTAGTTCGTTAATTATTCGAGGTACGATGTAACTAACATAGTGCTTCATTATATATGTTGATGAAAAGCGAAGCCGCTGGCTGACAGTTATTCAATTAAATATTCTTAAACCAGAGAGTACCACAACTACTCTAAGTCTGTCAAAAAAAAAATCTGGAAAAAATCGAATAGAGGTGTAGACAACTTTTTTTAAATATTGTTAATTTATTAAATTTACATTTTGATATCTGAGGTACTTCACAAGTTTACTTACCTGTGGTTGTTTACAGACTTAAACGTAATTCAGCATTCCAAAAGAGGCAATCTTGCTTTTGGCCAATCATCAATCTAAATGTAATCTTAAGTAACGATAAATAGATGTAGTATATAAGGTATAAACCAAATTTCAATCACAACTTTAATTGGAAACCAAGTTCTCTGCTTACCAAGGTCACCTTTAGTTGGAATGCTGGTTTACACACAACCAATCAAAAGATGTTAAATTAGATTGTTTATGGAAATAGCATGGGATGTCGTTGCCCTGTCAGAGGTTCGAATACAGGGCGAAGAAAGCTTTAAGCTCAATAGCGGTCATACCCTTTACTATCGAGGAGACGAACACTGACTAGGAACATGGAGTTGGCCTCTTGATTACTAAAAGTAATACGAGTATACGCACCAACTAGGGCTTATAGCTATAAGTGGAAACAACTTTACGAGGATTTTGGTAAATTTATTCCGAATAACTATACAGTAGTTGTTGGGCACTTTAATGAGAAGATAGTCGTCGAAAGGGAGGACACACAAAAGTTCATTGGAAAGTTCGGTTTCGGATCTAGGAACTCGCGTGGAGACCTGCTGGTTAACTTTATAGAACAAGAAAAGCTGTTCCATATGACTTTATTTTTTGAAAAGAGACCTGCACGCGTAGCATGACGAACACTTTCCTCAGGTGCGCCCATACTATATCGCACTCTCGACCCGAGAAAGTGACAAATGAGTGTAGACTAAGCGTTTCTCTTTTACGATACCAATATCGGGTCAGGAAATAGTTATGGGAAAAAAGAACCAAGGAAATAAAACCAACAGTCGCGTACGATTGGTCTGGGCAGCCTACTCCAGCCTAGAGTTTGCCTTTAAGATGAATCTGAATATCGAACAGAAAGCAAGCATATTTGACCAATGTGTCCTCCCAGTTCTCACTTATGGTGCTGAAACCTGGGTCTTCACCAAGGATATTTTACACAAATTGAGTGTAACTCAGCGAGCGCTGGAAAGAAAACAGGATGGGGTCAGGGACGTTGAGGGACCATAAAACAAACAAATGGCTGAGACAGCAGACTAGGATCACAGATGTCGTCAGTCGCGTAGCCAAATTGAAGTGGGGATGTGCTGGTCATGAAAACATTGGATGATAACATCAAAAGGACTGTTGGGAAAAAGTGGATGCAGATTGCACAAGATCGATACAAATGGCGTAAATTGAAGGAGACCTACACCCGAGGCGACGAAGGGTCGAGACAGGCTGAAGGAGAGAGAGAGATGAAAATATAAGAAACATACAAGTATAGTAAACTATCTTAGGAAGTTGAAAAATTCAAGAACAACAGCTGAAGATGCAAATCAAAAGTTTTATGATTAGTGTAAACAAGAAAATAAATAATTTTACTTACTTTGGAAGTAATGCCAATGTGTTCATGTTGTCTATAGTAAGTGGTAAGTAGTAACTTTTTGTGACAAACTGTCTTATAATATCATACAACTGCTTGGCATAGTTAGGATACTTTTCTGTTGGTAAGTTGGACAGATTCAAGCAAAACTGACCAAGGCTCATTGTGTCTTGTCGAAGATAACTGTAAAAAAATTATAATAATTTTATGTAAACATTGTTATTTTTGTTCTTAAATGAGATGTATCTCATAAAAGATATTCAATCCTATTACATTACTCCACACATCTTGTAAATGTGGTACCCAAACAGTAAATAACTCAATTTTTTAAATTAAATAAAACAACTTTAACTTATAAAGTTGCTTTATTGCATTTATTTCTGAAAATAATATTATATTATCAGATTCTTTATAGGTTCTGTGTTGTTTAGACTGATAAGTTGGTCATTATAAAATAATTAATAGCATAATACCTTGAACATATTAATAATACTTACTAAAATGTATTGTATGGATATGCTTGTACATTTTAGAATATCATACTTACATAGAAGCAATAAGATGGCATATTAAATATTCAGCTGCCAATTGATCGCCAAGAAGTAGTTCTGTTAATGCTTTCAACAGATGTTCTCTTGCTACATTTGCCTCTTTCAAGACTGAAGCTAGAATAATAAATCTTATCTTAAATTTTCCTTGACACTTTCACTTGTGTCTATAGTCGAGAGAAGTAATCACTTGAGAATATGTCACAACTTGGGCAAATATTTTAATGTGTAAGAGTTTGAATGAAGTAAAAATGTAAATAGTTAGTATACCATTATTTTTAGCTATTAACAGTTCTTACTCCATTCAAATTCTCATCTTTTGGTGAAAAACATATGCTCTAGTTATGACATTTTCACAAGTAATAACTTCTCTCAACCATATAATATGAATGTGTAAGTCACTTTATTTCAATATAAACTATGCATTTTAATAAATGGAGCAGTATGAAAATCTTTGGAAATTATGGAAAGCTGTTGTTGATCAATACTGCCTATACCTTGATCAAATTTATCCATTATGAGTGGGTTACAATGATCCAATTTCTTCACATATACAGCATGCAGTCGAGGTACTAGGCTTGGTGGAGGATTATGTGTGATTGTTTCTAATTCATTCTCGAGTTGAGGATCTAAAAGGGAATCCTTTTCAGGTTGGAATTCACCAGATAACACTGGGTCCACTGATAAAAAACCAACCACCTCAATTAAATCATTCAACTTTAGATTATCATTTTCTTCATAAATCTGAAATATAAATAACAGAATATTTTTTTGAAAATTAGTTTTTCAAACCACTTTAAACATCAATGACATATACAATATATCATGAATGCTATATTGATATATACAAAAGAGATAATCAACTCACTTTAATAATACAAGATTTGCTGGACACATCAGGCAGTGGGAAGTTTAATAGATGTTCTCTAGACACACCATTTGAGGTGTTGTCAGTATTCTCACATGTCTTTCTTTCTTTAGAGCAAGTTTCTGTATCAACAACATCCATTGAATCAGTGTCTTCATTAGTTTCATGGTAATTACGTTTCAACTTTGTGCTAGATACTGGATTGAGTCTACTAGATGTGTTCGGTTGCTGTTCTAGTCGTCTCAAATGGTTCTGCTTGTCTTCAAGCTGCTGGGCCCAATCATTCAGTCCCGGAATTGATACAACCACTATCGTTTGACGTTGTGCACTTTTCAAGTTTTGAGAATAGTTTATTTTCTCATTTTCCTGAGCATGACAAACTTTGTAAGATTCCAAGAACTGTTTATAGCCTTATTGACATTTTAAATATACATTAAATTTTCAGTTTCAAAAGCAACCGTGAAGAAAATTCTTATCTCTGAATGTATCATGTAAAGAAAAAAGCTGATAGACTAATATACTCACTAAGATATTAGCTGTGTCACGGTACTTTCCAGATTTCATTTTAACTTCATTTGTGGCAGTATTAAAGATTTCAAAATGTTCAAAATAAAATTCTGGATTATGCATGTCTTGTACCATACCTCTAAAACGAACTAAAGTACAGTTCTGTAGATTATGAGAGGCATTGCAATTTAGAAGAGGTATCTGTAAGGTTAAACAAAGGTCATTTTAATAGGGACAAATAATCTGGTTGGCCATAACTTCGAAAGGTCAGGATATATACTTGAAACCAATCCTGCAGCTTCAGTAATTTTTCCCTCCATGTATTCTCATTTGCTATCCAAGCCTCAGGAGTCACAGTTTCGAAATCACTTAATAAATCATACATTTTATAAGTGCCCAGAGAGTTTTAAAAATATTATTGAATTATATTATAGCAGAATTAAAAAACAGGCTTTACCAAACCAAATAAAAAAATAATAGATTCTCAGATCAAACTAAAATTCAAAATAAACTAGACTTATTGGCGTTAAGGCGGTTTCAGGCTTCTTTTTCTTTATAAATTATGCCTATTTGCGTTTACACTATTCCGTTAATGTCAAGTTTGTGATTTTTACACGTACAGAAGCAATAATAAAAATATGACAATTTCGAATTTTGGGGTAATAGATAAAACAATAAAAAAGGATCTGAGAGCGCCTATCTGATTACACTGTTAAAGATAATACAAATAAAAAACAAAGATATTATTAATTTAAGACTATTATTCATTGCTAGGAATTTAAATAAAATTTTGTATGGGCTGGGTTTCTCCATACTCAAGATACATTTTATATTTGTTGGACGAAGAACTTTTGATGGGAGCAAATCATAAAGGGAGATGTGTAACATAGGACAATTAAATATGATCCGTAGTTCCTTCCTCAATGCTACAATCGCAGAGGGAGTTGTTGTAGCGATGAAAAGTATGGATGTATAGCTATGACTCCGAATAGAAACGCCTTACATCCAATGATCAATTTATTGCTTACTTCACAAGCTGAATCCTTAAGCTAGTGTCCGCATCAATTATATTCAATGAACATACGAAGTTGTACAATTAATTATTTTCAATTTAAAATTATATTGACAAGCAACCGCCGTAGTCCATAGAAAAAACAAGAATATATAATATATGAAAGAGTAAAAGTAATAGATACTGACTGGTCAATGAATAAAAATCTATAAACTAGTGTTCTAGGAGTAAAACTGCTAATGTATATAAGTGTATATAATATGTTGGGAGAAGCCCACATTGTCTTTAATTTTGAAATTGAAAATTATTATCTCGAGCTACTCTGTGCTTCGGAAGGCACGTTAAGCCGTTGGTCCCGGCTGCATTTGCAGTCGTTAATACCCTCCAATCCGCATTGGGCCAGCGTGGAGGGTCATGGCCCATCCTCCTTAATATCCACAAGGAAGGCCTGAGCCCCTGCAGTGGGGACGTAAAAGGGCTGATGATGATGATGATGATGAAGTTGAACTGGGAAACACACAAGGCCAATTCCCAGGTGATTTTAATAATTTTTATTGACTTAAAAAAGTTTTTAAGTGAAGAACCAGGTTATACTTTTCTGAATTATAATAAAATTTTATACAAGAGAACCCTAGCTTACCCTGACAATAGGTGGACACAGGTGGAAATCAACAGTAGCCTAGCAACCTACACAAAACTGATACCCGATGGTAAAACGGGTATAGAGAAAGACCAGGGAGCTTTTAGATCACATGAGTTTATTTACCACCAAAAATATATATACTTCATAAAATACAATCAGCACCGACAATAGCTTTACGAAGAGTTACTTTAAATATATTAACAATAGACGCGCATGTGCAGAACAGATTGTCAAAATGTTAATATTTAAATTTAAATTAATTACGAAGACCTTAAACCAAAAAGGTCTCCTTCAATAAAAACTTGTATAGAGTTTTTACATCACATAAAACCTCAACATTCTGAATGTCAAAATTATTATACTTTTCCCACTCTATTTCTAATATTTTCCCAAGCAACATTCCATGACCATGACATGACAAAGAGATCGTAATGGAAAAGTTTCGAATATTTTAAAGCCAAATTCATTCTTTGGGCGAGGTACAAACCAGCCTTACTAAACAACTAAATTCGAGTTCAAAAGCGCGGGAAACGTTTAACTTTGGCGGGCGCGTTTTTTGATTTTAATATTTTTAACTAATACCTCTTGCATAAAATAGTGATCAGTTAATTGGTTTGTACTTACGTATTTATAGTGTATTTAAGTATTATTTATTATCTACTTTCTGGTGAGTCAAAATTTAATTAATATTTATTAGGTGTATGAACGAGCTACCGGAGCCGGGGGGTTTTGTCCCCCCGGCTAGTAATTTTGTTACAATAGGATCAAATAATGAATCTGGTATGGATACGGATGGATCAGTAGCTAGTCGCTCTCTGAAAAGGAGTCGACTTCATGTATGCAAGCATTGCAATAAAAAAAGACGCAAACATAATAAATCAGAACCAAAACCTACCGATTGTAGTTGCTATGAATCGACTCCAGTTCAGTCTGAGCTGAATAATAAAACTGACTCATCTACGAAAGACCTACATGTGTCTAATCCCACACCTACACCTATTTCTGCCCCTGTATCCGTTGGTAGAACATCATATGATAAAACAGATGCTGCTCCTTACGTGGTACATGTTCAAAAACAACAAGCGACACCTAACGATGGAACCTCATTGCATCCAATGGCTTTTGGTAAATTCTTAAAAAAGAACTGCTTCAAGAACGTTATTAATGGTAGCGTAAAAAAGATTGGCCGCAATAAAATGTCTGTCTCTTTTTCAACACACTATGATGCAAACGATTTTATTATCCACAACAGTCTTGTTACAAACAATTTAAAAGCATTTATTCCTTCATTCAACATCACAAGAATGGGTTTAGTTAGAGGCGTTCCTTCAGACTGGTCTCCCGAGGAGGTTAAAAGTAATATATCTGTACCTATAGGTTGTGGTGAAATCTTGAAAGTGAGACGGCTAAATTATAAAACCTTTGTAAATGATACCCCTACTTGGAAGCCATCTCAAACTATTGTTTTAACCTTTGATGGTCAAATCTTACCAAAACGCATATTTATGTGTTATAATGCTCTTAATGTAGATTTATACATATATCCTACGATACAATGCTACCAATGCTGTCGCTTCGGGCATACAAAGTCTCAATGTAGATCTAAACCTCGATGTTTCAAGTGCGGTCAAAATCATACAGGTGAGTCTTGTAATACTTTGGAAGAAGATGCATCCTGCTGCTTATGTGATGGATATCATTTTGCTAATAATAAGTTATGTCCAGAATTTGTAAGGCAGTCACAAATCAAACTTTACATGGCACAAAATTGTGTATCTTATGCTGAAGCTTCTAAATTGATACCATCTATTTCTAAGTCTTACGCTGAAACTGTAGCTGCCCCACCTGCAAAATTGTCCATGAATGAGATGGAAAATAGTAGAGCTGTTCCCAATGTAAGCCCTAGGACATCTTACAAGAAAACTACATTTTTGAAACCTCGCTCTTCTCCTATTCCTACAAAGGGGTATGACACAGTTGCTCATAAAGCCTTATTAAAGGAATTTATGATTCCTTCACCTAATAATGGATGTGGTTTTAATAATGATACTAATTCTGCATCAGGTACACAACTTCCTACAGATTTTGTTACTGCTCTTTTCAATCTTTTTTCCCAGTTTAATCTCTTCCCACCGTCCAACGCTGCACAGAATATTGATAATAATATGAAACCAACTTTAAATGGACAGACAGACAGACAAAATAATTCAGTGGAATTGCTGTAGTGCTATTAGTAAAAAAAGTGAAATAATTTATTTACTAAATAAATATGAACCATCTATTTTAGTTTTATCAGAAACATGGTTAACATCACAAAAACACTTTCAAATTAAGGGTTATACTTCTTTAAGAGACGATAGAAGTGATGGGTTTGGTGGTGTAGCCATTCTCATAAAAAATGGTGTTAGTTATGATCCCATTAGCATATCTATAAATCATAAAGATATTTCAATTGTAGCAGTGAAAGTATATAATATTAACATAGTATCAATTTATATCAGCCATCCATCTGCACCAATTTTTGGTGAAATAAATAATTTATTCTCTACCCTTCCTAGACCCTTCTTAGTTTTAGGAGATTTTAATTGTCACCATAGAGCATGGGGAAGTTCTATTATTAATAGTTATGGAGTAAATTTATTAGATATTATTGAGTCACATAATTTATGTTACTTGAACACAGGATCACCTACAAGACTCACTGATCCTAAACTTAATAAGAGTGCAGTAGATTTATCAATATGCACACCAAATTTGGCTTCTTCTTTATCCTGGCATACTTTATCTTCTACATTAGGAAGTGATCATTTCCCTATTATTATTACATTTCCGTTTAATAAACCTAGTATTTCCCAGAAAAAGTCTACTAGAAGATATAAATTACCTGATAAAAGTTCTAAAGATTGGATTACTTATAAATCTAATGTAGAATGCAAGCTTAAGCACCTCCCTGTTATAACTCATGGAAATGAAAACATTTGCGCTGAAGCATTATCAAATATTTTAAATGAAGCTGCCAGAGAGGTGTTTCCTGTCAAAGAAAATAATTGCACAAAAATACCATCCCCTCCTTGGTGGGATAAAGATTGCACTGAAGCGGTTAAGAAGAGAAAAGAGGCTGAAAGAATTTACAATAATAATATGTCTGAAGCTAACTATGAATACTTGTCTAAAACGATTGCTGAAACAAAAAGATTATTTAAAAAGAAAAAATTTGACAGTTGGAAAAGTTTCTGTAGTTCTATTTCTCCTAACACACATCCTACTCTTGTTTGGCAAAACATAAAAAGATTTAAATCTTCATATAATATATCTTCTGGAATTACTATTCCCACCGAAATAACTATTGATTTCATGGACAAATTGGCCCCTTCATGGGTTCCCATGCTCAACACCACACAACCTTCGCAGTCGTCTTATAATCAATCTGGTTTAAATAGCCTCTTTTCTCTTCGTGAACTGAAAAGTGCAATATATCATGTTAAAGATTCTGCTCCGGGGGAAGATGGAATCCCATATTCATTCTTTGCTAATGTAAGTGACAATATCCTTTTTTATTATCTACAACTTATCAACACTATCATGTTGACAGGAAACATACCTCTGTCATGGAAGTCACAAGTAGTGTTGCCCATCCTCAAACCAAATAAACCACCATCTGAGGCCAGCTCATATCGACCGATAGTTTTATCTTCTGTGCTGTTAAAATTAGCTGAAATTTTAATTAAAAACCGTTTGGAATGGTTTGTAGAAAGTCAAGGTATACTATCGAGAACGCAATATGGATTTAGAAAAGGGAAAAGTACAATGGATAATATAAGTATTTTCACAACTGACATACGTATAGGTTTTACAAACAACGAATCTATAGTGGCTGCTTTTTTGGACATCAATTCTGCTTATGATAATGTGTTAGTGTCAGTATTAAAAAATAAATTAGAATCGCTAAACATCCCGTCAATGTTAACTAATTTTATTATGAACATATTAGAAGAACGTAATTTGATTGTTAGTTTATCTTGTTATTCAGAAATAAAAAGGACTGTATGGAAAGGGTTACCCCAAGGGTCAGTCCTTAGCCCTTTGCTATACAATATCTATACACATGATTTGGATTCTTGCTTCGATAATCATATAAAGCTTTTACAATATGCGGATGATTTGTTATTATATTCAACAAACCGATCAGTTGAGATAGCTGCGTCACATATTGAGTTGGCCTTGATTTCATTACACTCCTGGATGCTTACCAATGGCTTAGATTTATCTGCATCCAAAAGTACAATCGTAGTTTTTTCAAGAATGAGGAATCCCCCTTTAATTAGAGTTCATTATAATAACTTGCCTATACCAGTTGAATCACAAGCTAAGTTTTTAGGTGTGATATTAGATTCCAAGCTCTCCGGTCGCTCCCATATAGATTACATTATCAAGAAAACTGAACGACTATTGAATCTTCTTCGATGTCTCTCCGGTGTCTGGTGGGGGGCTCACCCTCAATCGCTCAAATTGGTTTATAACGCGCTAATTCGAAGTGTATTGGATTATGGTACTTTCCTTTTAGAACCTGCCAGCTTAATTTCGTTAAAAAAATTAGACGGTATTCAATCAAAAGCACTTAGAATTATAACTGGTGCTATGAGCTCAAGCCCAATCAATGCTTTACAAATCGAAACTTGTGAACCCCCACTCAGTATTAGACGACAATTTCTTTCAGATCGATTTTTGTTCCGATCTCTTCAATTCTCCGACCATCCTCTTTTCCACCTACTTAACTCTCTGAACAATGAAATAACTACAGCTAGCTATTGGTCTCATAAACAACTGCCCTGTTTAATAGTAAGCTATCAAAAATACTTGAGCCTCCATTCACCTATACATCGGTCAAATCGTCTTCCAGTGTTTAATATAGATTATGACGCCTTGCTAATTTCACCATCTGTAAGGTACGATCTGATAGATAAACATAACGCTAAAACCTTTAAATCAATTATAGATTCCGAATACGAAAATTACCATCATATATACAGTGATGCTTCTAAGTCTTCCTCTTCTGAATGTACGGGCATAGGAGTCTACCACTCTCAGTTTTCCATTGTGCAGAAAAGTAAACTTCCTCCGGAGACATCTGTATTTACGGGGGAATGCCTTGGCTTACTAAAAGCTGTCGAGTATGTCGTTCTCATGAAACTAAATAAATCAATAATATTTTCTGATTCAAGGAGTGCTTTACAAGCTATTGATAATTTTCCATTCCGTACAAGATTATATAACCCACTTGTGTTTGATATAAGAAATAATCTTTATAAATGTGTTAAAAAAGGGTATCTGGTAGAATTTGTGTGGCTTCCAAGTCACGTGGGAATTCAAGGTAATGAGAAGTCTGATCAATTAGCAAAAGAGGCAGTACATTGTGGAGACATGTTTCCTTTTAAAAATTATACCCATGACTTGTTGTTGCTGCCGTTGTGTCATTTGCATAAGGAGTGGCAAACTTACTGGACAAATAGTGGACAAGTAAAGGGAAAACATTATTATCAAATACAACCTAAAATTATGATGAAACCGTGGTTCCGTAAAATTAAGATCAGTAAGACTGCTACTAGTATTTTAATACGCTCGAGAATTGGTCATGTTAGTACACCAGCACATCTTACCAAGCTGGGAATTGTTAGTGATGCTTCCTGTAGGTGTGGGTCAGACTACTGTGATCTTAACCACATATTGTTTTCTTGTACACTGTACGATCGATCCGAATTCCTTAAAGATCTCATTTCCTTACGTGTTTCCTTTCCCACATCCATAGTTTCTTTGCTCTCGTCTAATAACATATCAGTATATCAATGCATAGCGTCTTTTATAATGTCAAATAATATTAAAGTCTAAATATCGTTATTACTTTTTATGTATGTTATATAACGTATATATTCTATATATATTAATATTTTCGTTTCCTGATCCTATTGCTAAAAACCTGTCGCAAATCCTATCCTTTTTCCTACCATCGTTTCCCTACCTTTGACACTGGCAAATACACAAACCGTGTGACGCCAAAAGGAAAAAAAAAAAAAAAAAAAAATTCGAGTTCTTTTTCTTTTTTTTTTTAATAATGCATATTACAGAGGTTTCTTCGTTTTGGCTTTAGCTAGTGCTACCGCCCTCCCTATATCCCTAAAACTATTGAAATGCAGTGATACATATTAAAAGAGTTTTGACATATTATTTATATAGGTAATCAAGAAAATAAAAAATAAGTAACATATTCACACATCACATAGTGACAGTTGTACAAACGTCCATTAAGGTTTAATGATGCCTTTAAGCTCTAACGAATGTCAAAAATTGTTCGGTAATGTCGCTTTAAACTCTTGACACTTTTAATGAACGTTTGTGCAACTCGCTGTTAGATTAATAAATTAGAGTAGCGAAGTAACATCTAGTGGTAAGAGACTTAACTCGAGTGCATTTTTCGCTTGAGTTTGAAAGTTCATTTGAGTGACTCAGGAAAAAACAAGACTCGAGTCGCATCCTTACTCGCATCACTCCAGCCCAAAGAACAAAAGTATATGGTCTGTGCAAATAACCTGTCAAAAATCGAAGACGCGGAAACCGGGGACGTGCTTTTGTGCAATTTTCAGTGGTTGCGTTCATTATAAATTATTAGCAAAATGAGTAAGTAATCACTAATGGTTTTCAACCGTCTTGCAACATTTTTATTGTTTATTAGTTACTTTTAAATTGCATTTTTTAATCTTATTAAAACATAACCTTTAATGTTGCAGCTTTGGATATTCGTCCCAACCACACTATTTACATCAATAATCTCAATGAAAAAATAAAGAAAGAAGAGCTCAAGAAATCTCTTTATGCAATATTTTCCCAATTCGGACAGATTTTGGACATAGTGGCGTTGAAAACGCTGAAGATGCGTGGGCAAGCTTTTGTCATTTTTAAGGAAATTTCAAGTGCCACTGTTGCTTTGAGAAGTATGCAAGGTTTCCCCTTTTATGATAAACCGATGGTAAGTCTATTGTAATTGCTACTATTGCTTAACTTTTTAAGTGTATCCATGTCACTATGTGATGTATTCTGTTTACAGAGAATCCAGTATTCCAAAACAGACAGTGATGTTATTGCTAAAATCAAGGGTACATTTCAAGAAAGACCAAAACGCCCTAAGATGCCTAAAGGATTGGATGATGCAAAGAAAAAGAAGAGTAAAGAGGCTGGTCGTCTTGCTGGGCATGGTGGTGGTCAGCAGAGCTTACTCAATAATGTCAATGTGGAACAACCACCAAACCAGATTCTTTTCCTTACAAATCTGCCAGATGAAACATCAGAGATGATGTTATCCATGCTTTTCAACCAGTATGTATATTTGATTTATGAATTCAAAGCCTTATAATACATATATATTAACTACTATACAAGTAGTTCAGAATTGAATTTGGAGAATAGCCATTAACAGCATGGCAATATTTATAAAACATCTATGGCTATGTATGCTTTTAGGAAAGTTTTAGGATGTTAAGAGTATTAATAATAAATATTCACATTTATATAAACAATATGCATATTAGTTAGAAGATTGACTGTTGTACTGTCTATGTGCCATGTAGATAAGCAACTGGACTATAGTGAGCCGGTTTTTTTTTAATATGGCACAGGTTGTTTAGTATTATAATAGAACACCATGAATAAATTGTGGTAAAATATTTTTCTTAATGATCATTCTCACCAATTAACATTTTACAGATTCCCAGGCTTCAAAGAAGTTCGATTGGTGCCCAACAGGCATGATATTGCATTTGTAGAGTTTGCTAATGAAATGCAGTCAGCAGCAGCAAAAGAAGCATTACAAGGTTTCAAGATTACTCCAACACATGCTATGAAGATAACATTTGCCAAAAAATAACATGTAACTTCATATAATAATGTGAATAAGTTTAAGTTAGCTTAATTTTTTTGTGAATAAAGTCTGAATAATTGAGAACTGATTTAAGCATTGCACTTGGCTTAACAGCTCTCTGGCTGTGATTAGTCATTTAAGAACACATGATTTTTACTTTCCTGTTAATACTATTGATTTTTGGTCTCTAATAGCGATGTGTACTTTTTTTAAATATTTTATATATGATATGATCGAGTAGCTTGGTGGTGAAGCGCCGCGGCATGCGATCGTTGTTAAGTAACACTAGGGTCGGCCATGGGATGGGGGTCAGAAGTGTTATCTCGAGCTACTCTGTGCTTCAGAAGCCACGTCAAGCCGTTGGTCTCAGTTGAAGGGTAATAAGTAATAAGGGATTGCATTTGCAATCGTTATTACCCTTCAATCCGGCCAGGGTGAAGGGTCATGCATGGCCCATCCATCCTCCTTATCCATCTACAAGGAGCCTTCCTTGTAGATGGGCCCTTGCAGTGCGGACGTAAAAGAGCTGATGCTGATGATAAATATGAAATAATATCTAAAAAAATATTTTAGAGAAATATTATTCATATAACAAGTTAAAATATAAATTTCATTTTCAAAATTTACCGCGCAAATCTATTTCTGTTTTGGCGTCCCTATGACGTCACGACCCTCTGAAACTAATATCATTAACTTGCGTTCTAGGTTATGCATAAATTTTAAGTTCTGATTAATCTTCTAAGTTCTGATACAAGTAGTATCATGTAGAATTATGCAACACTACCAGAAAAAAGGAAATTTGTATTTATTTTCGTTCATATTGCCATAATGTTCCATGATCCCCAGTTATTTTAGATACGTAGTTTCGGAACGAGTAGCACTGCCGTACTGTTTATATCACGCCAATAAGGGCAGCAATGCTAGAAATACAACATTGCATGTATTTATTTTGAGAATTTATCAATATTTCATCACGGGCAGATAAATTAGGAAATTATATTTTAGATTAATTATGGTTGGTATATAGTCCCTTAAATGATACTACTCTGATTGTAGTCTTTGAGCATTTTTTTAATATTAGGAATTTAGAAAATAAATAATATGTTGCAGTATAATAAGCCCATGATTGTAAAAGAAATTTTAAACAACCAATCGGTGAAACAAACTATCAGAAATTAGTGCTTTTTTTAAGTATATAGAAAATATTCCTGAACGAAGCGAATGGATTGCCATTACAAAATTTGTCATCGGCACTATGCAATGCAACTGGAAAGGCAACAAGATAGACAAAGATGAGAGGATTCAAAATGACATGTTAAATAAAGATAGAAAGTCCATTTTGATACCAGTAAAAAAAAGGTATTTTTCATTTAGCCGAATAATATTTATTTTCGGGAGATTGCGAAATTGACAATTTGTACCATGTCAAGATAATGATTTCGATTTCAGTCTGGTTCTATTTGTTTGTATTTTTTGTTTAAATAAGAATCTTTTCACATTATTATTTAGATAGGTCGACACTTGACGATACAAAAAACTGCTTTTATAATTGTTTTTAAGTTTTGTCTGAATTATGGAAGATATATTTCAGTGGTGTAGAGAAGGAAATGCGCTACAAGTTCGTGTTTGGCTTGATGATACTGAACATGACATGAATCAAGGGTAAGTTTCTGTTGCGTTCTATTTGTAATCAAAAATAGTTTTAAAATCCTGTCCTCATTGTAGGTACTCCAAAGGATACGCCCACTGTGATTCAGAATGTTTAGTGTGCTTTCATTCAAGGACTCTTGATGAGGTCAGCTTCTGTATAACTTGTAAACCAAGAAAATCTTATTATTGACTTCTTTTTAACAGGAAACTAGTCTTCCCCCAATGTTCATAACTTTACTCAAACATTAAATGCTACATAACATAAAATATTATAAATTTTACCTTTTTATTGTTAAAATTTTACCAGAACAAAATCAAAAAGCACAATATTTGTAACATAAACAGAGTGAACCTTTAACAAACAAATTGTGTGTAACATAGTGCATCAATATAAGCAGCTTGTGAAAGCAACTGTATACAATATACATGGTGTGGGTGAATCAATAGGCCTCAGAAGTTAGTACTTCGACATATTGAAATATCAACCAAAAATCACAAGCTTTCTGTATAATTCAAGTTAATATGATTAATCTAATCATTAGACAATTTGTTGCAACTATGTTATAAATCAACTTCAAGTAAAACAGTTGTGCTTACATATGTTTTTAGAGATGATCATGGATTCAGTCCTCTACACTGGGCATGCAAAGAGGGACACATTAAAATAGTGGAGATGTTAATAAGAAGGGGCGCTCGAATCAATGTTACGAATATGGGAGACGACACCCCATTGCATTTAGCAGCGGCACATGGACACAGGCCCATCGTACAATTGGTATTTATGAAACCTTATCATGATAAGACAACTTGAAAATGCCACTATTCATTTAATAATGATAAAGAAACCACTATGATTCTTATTTGAAATGAAATGTATGACTGAGAATGCTGTGGCATTCTTTTAGTGGGAAAGTTACTTGTACAAGTCAATGTCATACACACTCAGTTTAGTATTATGGCACTTATATGTGGTACAGTACTTTTTTATTACATCATGTTACATTGTACAGTAAGGTCTTCGTTTTAAATATATAAATCTATTTGCCTTATGACCAATATCAATTAATTTTTTGTAGTTGCTGCAAAATCGAGTTGATGTAAACTTCACTAACGAGCATGGTAATTCACCATTGCATTATGCCTGCTTCTGGGGATATGGTGCAATCGCAGAAGATTTAGTTATGGCTGGTGCATTGGTGTCACTGGCAAATCAGTATGGTGACACACCTCTTGATAAAACAAGGGGACAACTAGTTCAGAGGTAGGATTTTTTTCATAAATACATTCAGATTCTAATATTAATAAATTATTAGTAGTGGGAAACTCAGTCTATTAGCTAGATTAGCTTTTACTTTGGAGATAGACACAAGTGGTATAATTTACATGAATATACTTTACAATTTTCACTATATCAAATTTTAGAATATTTGTGAGTTACGTTTACATTAATATTATTATAAACAATGATTGCTTTCTATGTGTTAATCTGTCTGTAATCTATCAATAAGGCTGCAAACTGCACGGCTTGTGGTGGTGGTGATGCAACGTGACTTACGTAATTTAATAGATATGCTTAAGTTAGGGCTGCAGTCACCACCATCACCGCACCCGCGGCTTTCCAGTATGAGGCCTTAGGATGCCTCCATTTCAGATAACGATATTTTCGCTTGTTTTTACTTATTATTGTAATATTAATATTTTGATGGTCAAGTAAAACTATTGTTTAATTCAATAATTATTTCACTCATATATATACTTTGTGTATTTCCTAAGATTGCACGAAATGGCCATCCAGCAAGGGCAGGATTTGAAGAAGATCCAATTCAAGGATCAATCATGGCTAGGTCTTAAAACGAGAAGCAGGGATGCGACTCTCTCCCGCCACCGCGGTATTAACATCAATGAACTCGCACTGCACACCAGAATTGCGTCTACACCTTCAGGTGCAGGGATCATTAATTTTTTTTTTATTCTAATACTTTAAATAAATATGTCTTACGCTTTTCTAATGGTCAGTTGCACAAACGTCCATTAAGGGTTAATGACTCCTTTAAGCTCTAATTAATGTAAAACTTGTATCGGTAATGTCGCTTTAAACTAATGTCTCTTTTAATTGATGTATGTGCACTGGCTGAAAGTCTGCTATTATACTGGTTTAAAGTTTAACGAAGTGACGTCATTTATGTCCCTGATATATTACATATATATTTTTATGTTGGATACAGGCGAAACATGGCGCGGTAGGTGGCAAAAGAATGATATCGTGGCGAAGTTCATAGCTGTCAGGGAGTGTACGCCGCGAGTGCAGCGTGACTTTAACGAAGAGTTCCCTAAATTAAGGATCTTCTCGCATCCCAATATTCTACCGGTGGTAAGTTATAGTATTGAACTTCAGCATCCATTTAAAAATTTATTTCAATATATATTTTTTCTTTCTTTGGACGGGCGAGCGAGACTATCGCAAAATGATAATTGTTATCTTCAATTTCTTTTTCTAGACACCGATAAAAATAATTAGGTAGCTACCAAGGTTCTGTTTTTAATTTCAATGACTAAAAGCACAGGCTAGAACGTGCAGTCTCGACATTGATAGTGATCGCCGAGCACTCGGAGCGAGACTAAAAAAGACCATACATTACTCGGAGAGACTCGCGATAATCGTTGAAATAGGTTAGCGACTGAATTCGATTAAATTACGATCGAAAACTGATCGAGTGAGTTGGAGGAGTGATAAGTGATTGGTACGATCGCACTCGTAGGTGGGTTGCTGCGTGTCTCCGCCGTCGCTGGTGGTGATCTCGCAGTACATGTCGTGGGGGTCGCTGCACGCGCTGCTGCACGGCGGCGCGGGCGGCCGCGTGGTCGTGGACGCGGCGGCCGCGCTGCGCCTCGCGCACGACGTGGCCAGCGGCATGCGCTACCTGCACGCCCTCCCGCGCGACCACGTGCTGCCCGCCTACCACCTCAACAGCGACCACATCATGGTATGTGCCCGCGCGACCACGTGCTGCCCGCCTACCACCTCAACAGCGACCACATCATGGTATGTGCCCGCGCGACCACGTGCTGCCCGCCTACCACCTCAACAGCGACCACATCATGGTATGTGCCCGCGCGACCACGTGCTGCCCGCCTACCACCTCAACAGCGACCACATCATGGTATGTGCCCGCGCGACCACGTGCTGCCCGCCTACCACCTCAACAGCGACCACATCATGGTATGTGCCCGCGCGACCACGTGCTGCCCGCCTACCACCTCAACAGCGACCACATCATGGTATGTGCCCGCGCGACCACGTGCTGCCCGCCTACCACCTCAACAGCGACCACATCATGGTATGTGCCCGCGCGACCACGTGCTGCCCGCCTACCACCTCAACAGCGACCACATCATGGTATGTGCCCGCGCGACCACGTGCTGCCCGCCTACCACCTCAACAGCGACCACATCATGGTATGTGCCCGCGCGACCACGTGCTGCCCGCCTACCACCTCAACAGCGACCACATCATGGTATGTGCCCGCGCGACCACGTGCTGCCCGCCTACCACCTCAACAGCGACCACATCATGGTATGTGCCCGCGCGACCACGTGCTGCCCGCCTACCACCTCAACAGCGACCACATCATGGTATGTGCCCGCGCGACCACGTGCTGCCCGCCTACCACCTCAACAGCGACCACATCATGGTATGTGCCCGCGCGACCACGTGCTGCCCGCCTACCACCTCAACAGCGACCACATCATGGTATGTGCCCGCGCGACCACGTGCTGCCCGCCTACCACCTCAACAGCGACCACATCATGGTATGTGCCCGCGCGACCACGTGCTGCCCGCCTACCACCTCAACAGCGACCACATCATGGTATGTGCCCGCGCGACCACGTGCTGCCCGCCTACCACCTCAACAGCGACCACATCATGGTATGTGACCGCGCCCCGTAGCTGCACAGCCCCGCCCGGCCCACATGGACTTTACCCTGTATCGGCTCGTGTGCTTCGAGAAGTATGACCGAGCAGCTAATAATCAGGATGGCCTACCTTCGGCGCCCTAGCTCCATCTATTGCCATTGTACGTCACTATAAACGACTAAATATATCTTGCACCGCATCTCGATTCACGATATTTATCGTTACTGGCACTTGTAAGTTACTTGAGAATAATAGAAAAAAGTAGTCAGTAGTAATGATTATAACTGTGAACGTATGCAGGGTCATTTGTAAAATACCAGCAAACTCACTGGATAGCTAACATCATTTGATTTTACGCACTTTTTCTCGCTAATTCACGGGCGCTCTGTGAAGTGCCTACATAGTAGATATTAAATGAACTCCCTAGTTTATAATATTCGCGCGAGCCAAAAATTGAATTAAAAATTATCTTACGATGTTAACTAACTAGTGCATATTTTACAGCTAACCCTGTATATGTGGATTTTTTTAAACGTTTTTACAGGTATTATTTTTTGAGCTTTTCTTGAGAGAAAAGAAATCCTAATTTAACGTCATACATATACTGAAACAATTTTTTTCTTCATGCTCATCATAAAGATCGATGAAGATCTGACGGCGCGTATAAACATGGCGGACGCGAAGTTCTCTTTCCAAGAGAAGGGTCGTATCTACCAACCAGCGTGGATGGCGCCCGAGGCTTTACTCAAACCGGCCGCCAAGAGGAACTGGGAGGCCGCCGACATGTGGAGCTTCGCTATACTGCTCTGGGAACTCGCCACTAGAGAAGTCAGTATACATCTATTCTAATTCTAATTCTCTCTATTACAAATCCACTTCAGTTTAAACCTTAAAGCATTGTAGGTAAAGTTCAAAATAAATTGTGGTAATTATTATACATATCGTTTTATGAAATTGTGTTGCTATACATTTTTACATGGAAGTATTTAATTGATATAATTTATATTGGACAACTTTTCAATGTTTTACAATTTCAGATTCCATTCGCTGACTTATCGCCGATGGAGTGTGGAATGAAGATAGCTTTAGAAGGACTTCGTATTACAATCCCACCTGGTATCTCCCCTCATATATCGAAGCTAATAAAGATCTGTATGAACGAGGATCCTGGCAAGCGACCATCTTTTGAAATGATACTTCCGATACTGGAAAAAATGAAGCGTTAACAAATCAACAAGCAATTTGCAATTTCTTTTAGATATTGTGGTATGTGTTTCAGTTTTTAAATAATGATATAAAGAGTAATATATTCAGGACAGAAAGGTAACAATTTACTAAAATCATTATTTAATCAAATATTTGAACGGGTTCTAGAGCGCGTTAATTTTACGTTTAAAAATATACCCATCTAAGAATTTCACATAACTTTAATTAAACTTTATGACACGGGAATATTTTAATTAGTGTGCAAATATTTTTCATGTAATGTAGCATATTTATTAGAATAAATATGTTCTTGATATTTAGTAAACAAACTATATATCGACAAATATCAGTCATTTACCTTCAGATATAGTAAGATGAAGATGAGTAACCAAACATGTATTTTTCTTCATCTATATTAGTAGGTAAAAAAAGAGGAAAAACGTGTAGACAATGAATATAAAATTTGTGCACTAGTTACAATTTTTCTGGTATAATAATGAAAAAAAAAAATGAAAATTTAACTGCCAGTATTTTTATTGTTGTTTAGTACTTAGGTTGTGTTTTGACTGTATTTTAATTTATGTTCTTTTTTGGAAATAATCAATTCTTTATATTTAACATAGTATTTGGACATGATAATGGTGCTTGAGTAGATGTAATTGGAATGTAGTATTAGAAGGAAATTCATATCTAATGTAAATTGTAAAATACCTAACCAGAATAACCCAAAGACTAAATGCTCAGTTGTCTTGTTAGAGAACAAATCTATGAATCTCTATATTTAAAAAATAGTAATATTTTACGTAGGATACCGTACTTTACTTTACACAAACTTAATTGAGCATGGTAAAAACCAAATTTAATACATACAAACCCTGGAGGAAGTTGTGTGCTAATTTTGTCAACGTCGGCGTAGGTGATATAATAGTAACAAGCTTTATACTTGGAATCACGTTTAACGAACGTATGCAAACGAAAATAGTCTTTATTGTCTTAACTTACAATAACTATTCAACCCATTTCTCGTGTGCAGTGAAATTATTTGATGGATCCCTCATTATTTAAGATTCAGAATGCTGGAGAGTATGGGTTATATATATCAAACAGCACACCACATTATACAAAACTTTTTTGCAAATTATTTTAATCAAAAGTATTCCTTATTCAAGTTATAAACAAAGTCGAAAATTCAATGAGGAAATTCGACTTTTTGTAGTAAATTATCTAGAGTTGTGTACTTCATATATAAAAAAGTGTAGTTAATGTTAAACTCCTTTTATTGAAATGTAAAAGTATATTTTTATTTATACCTTCCGACAAATGTGCCATGGTGTAGAAGATCCGCAAATGTAGAGATTAGTAAAAAATAATAATCATGTACAAAATAGTTCAGTACAGTTTGTGGTCAAACGCTATTATTACGATAATATAGCATTTTATCACATTTATTTAGGAAATACGTAAATAATAATTTGATTATCCATAGAGAATAGTATTTATGAAATATATGATGTGCCTTGTATCTAATTGAATTCAGAGTGAAAACTGCAATTCGTTCGACTGCTTAAATGAAAAATGCATACAACATTGTTATATTCATATTTAATAATATTTTTGATGATAAAGTTACGACTTTCATAAAGTTGCGTAATATATACTAACATAATATCTACTTTGTGTAATAAAATAATTAAACAACTAATTAAATGGCTTATTATTTAAATTCCCCAATTTTATAAGAAAGTTAATGTGATGATACAATAATATCTTAAAAGTCTCTGGGCTCTGTAATTTCTGAATACATAACTCACCGCCCCTTCCTTTCCTGTGGGTGTCGTAAGAGGCGACTAAAGGAATTCGAGCTCAGATCTGCTCGCAACTGGTGGTAGGGTTTAATCCCGCCTGGTTAGTTACCACCGTACACACATGGTGAAAAACCCGTGAAGTGCTCGCTCGTAGAGCGCGTTTCGGGATCAGCCAACGTACAACCAGAGCTCGGGACGACATTGCCGCGATTGTTTCGGTCCGGTGGGTGCCTCCGTCGAACCAGTGCCAGGAGGACTGCATCGACCCGCCAGCCAGGGAGACCCGTAGAAACGGCTGACCGCTGGCCGCCCGTGGTACAGTACAGGGGCCCATGCGTGCCTAACCAGCTCGTGAGGCTGCCCTATCATGCCACGCATAATCTTGGGGTGGACCGTCGTGCCGGTTGGTGACCGGAGCGTGGGTCCCGGCGGCCACTCCCGGGGGGGTACGGGGGCCCTTCCGTCTGGCGGATCGGTGCTACTCCTCTGTGGGCAACACCTGGGGAAACAGGCGCCCATATTTTTGACTGGAGCAGTCGCGACAATGCCCTCCCGCTTCACGTCTCCTCACCCCTTATCCTTATGGCAGCCACAGCAACACGTTCCGGTCGTACAGCGGTGCACAACCCTACGCCTTCGCTGTTTGAGGTTGAGTTCTCTAATATACGGGGACTCCATGCCAACCTCAATGCTGTCCACCAACACCTAGAGACAGCACGGCCTGCAATGTTGTTTCTGACGGAGACGCAAATTCTCCGCCCGGCCGATACAAGCTACCTTCACTATCCCGGCTACGCACTTGAAGAGTCCTTCAAAGCGAAAGCCGGTGTATGCTTGTTTGTCCGGGCGGATGTTTGCTGTCACCGATTGCGCTGCCTAGAAGACCCTTCCTTTTCCCTCCTGGCGGTGCATATAGACTTAGGTCATCAGACTCGAGTCTATGTGTGCCTCTACAGATCCCACACTGGCGATGCGGAGACAACTCGACTTTATGACCACCTCAGTCGGGCTGCAGATTACGCGCAGGAGCAGTATCCTAACGCAGAACTGGTTTTCTTGGGGGACTTCAACGCTCACCACGAATCGTGGTTAAGTTCCTCCAAGACGGACCATGCGGGGAGGTCAGCCCACGCATTCGCTCTCACGCATGACTTGACTCAAATGGTCGATCAGCCCACCAGGATCCCAGACATAGTCGGTCAAACGCCTTCCTTACTGGACCTTCTGCTTACGAGCCATCCCGTCGGTTATCAGGTTGATGTTCGTGCCCCACTGGGCAATTCCGACCACTGCTTGATATCCACCAAAGTGCCGCGAATCGAGCCCCCTCAACCTCCGAGGACTCGACGACGCGTATGGCACTATGGCTCAGCGGATTGGGACGGCATGCGCGAGTACCTTGCATCCGTTCCTTGGAAGCAGCGCTGCTTTAGTGAGAAGGATCCGACAACGAGCGCCGTTGCTATTACTGAGGAGATCGGTATTGCTATGGAATACTACATTCCGCACTCCGATCTGATCAGTATGGGCAAACACAACCGCTGGTTCAATCGCGATTGTGCTAACGCTGTTGCATCTAAACAGCTGGCATATCGAGCTTGGATCAGGGGTCGTGCTCGGAGGGATCCCGATATCGACTCAATAAAAGCAGCCTACAATCAGGCTTCCAAGTCCTGTAAGAAGGCTTACATCAGAGCGGATGCCCAGCGCGTCGCACGTATTGGCCATGAGCTAGTTACGCACCCTACGGGCTCCCGTAGCTACTGGCGCCTCGCCAAGGCCGTGCAAAACAATTTCTGCCAGCCCTCGCTGCCACCGCTTCGATGTCCAGATGGAACATTAGCTCACAAGCCGCAGGAGAAAGCCGACCTCTTGGCTAGCCTCTTCGCGGCTAATTCCCAAATCAATGACTGTAATGCACTGCCACCAACGTTACCTTCTAGTGGCTTCACTATGCCTGATATTCATATCAGGCAGCGTGATGTGCGTGCGGAACTACAGTCACTCGATGTCCGGAAAGCTAGTGGTCCTGATGGCATTCCTGCGGTTGTTCTAAAAATGTGTGCAGCGGAGTTGACTCCTGTACTTACGCGCCTATACCAGCTATCTCTTTCTTCGGGTCGTGTACCTGAGGCTTGGAGAGAGGCCATTGTGCAGCCAGTGCCCAAAAAAGGAGATCGGTCAGACCCTGCAAACTACCGCCCTATAGCTATCACCTCTGTGCTGTGTAAAGTCCTGGAAAGGATTATTAACTCCCAACTGATCCGATACCTAGAAGTTCACTCCCTTGTAAATGATCGTCAGTATGGCTTTAGACCAAAACGATCAACTCGTGATCTTCTAGCGCACGTCATGCACCTCTGGGGTGAAGCTATCGACAAGCGCGGCGAGTCCTTGGCTGTCAGTCTTGACATTGCTAAGGCATTTGACAGGGTTTGGCACAAGGGACTTCTCTCCAAGCTTCCGGCCTACGGTCTGCCCGTTCAACTCTGCACCTGGATAGCCGACTTCCTGCGTGAGCGTAAAATCCGTGTTCTTTCTGACGGATGCTCTTCACAGCTTATGTCAGTCAACTCCGGTGTGCCTCAGGGCTCCGTTCTATCCCCTACACTTTTTCTGCTGCATATCAATGACATGCTTCCACTTGGAAATATCCATTGCTATGCAGACGATAGCACAGTGCATGTGGGATATCACGGGGCTCCTACAGTCGGACGGGCGGAAATCCTGGAGAAAAGGGAGAATCTTGTCATTGAGCTCAATCACGTTCTGGATCTCATATCGAAATGGGGTGCTGAAAATCTGGTTGAGTTCAATGCCAAGAAAACTCAGGTTTGCGTATTTACCGCCAAGACCCCTCCATTCCCTTCCCTTCCCTCTCTTCAGGGCACAACCTTGCCTCTACAGAGCAGCATCAACATGCTCGGGATGGAAGTGCGCTGTGATCTGAATCCCAAAAACCACATCGAGTCCGTTATTAAAACAGCATCTCGTAAACTCGGTGTCCTGAATAAGGTGCGGCGTTTTTTCACGCCCGAACAACTGTGCCTGCTATACAAAACGCAGGTCCGGTCATGCGTGGAGTATTGCTCGCACCTTTGGGATGGCTCCGCTAGGTACTTACTCGATGCTTTGGATAGATTGCAGCGCCGCGCAGTACGCATTATTGGCAATGGTGAAGTCACCAAGAACCTAGAAAGCCTGCAACTGCGCCGAGACGTTGCTTCGCTCAGCGTCTTCTACCGTCTCTACCATGGTGAATGCTCTGAAGAACTCTTTTCGCTTATCCCTCCATCTCCCTTCCTCCTCAGGACCACACGTGCTGGTTTGCGTTGCCACCAACTAACTGTGGCAGCGATTCCTTCGCGTACAAAGAAATTTGGCGACTCATTTCTTTGTCGTACTACCAAAAAATGGAATTGTCTCCCGGCCCATGTATTCCCTCCTTCCTATGACATGGGGTCCTTCAAGCGGGGCGTGAAGAAGCACCTTGCAGGTCGGCAAGGTGAGGTTGGCTAGTGCAGTACCTACGTACTGTTTTCACTAGCTGTCCTCACGTTTGGACTACGCCTCCGCTTACCATCAGGTGGAGCGCAGTCATTTGCCCTCCTATACATAAAAAAAAAAAAAAAAATTTTTGAATGGGTGTTTTGTACGAAATAATAAAATAGATAAACAGTAATACACTGCGTATTTATAGGTAAGAAATCTATGATAATGTATGTGTTATTTTATAACTAACAGTAAAAAAAATAGAAATAAGTTATAAGGTTATTAAACTATTGTGATATGAACTCTTCGATTTTGAAATGAATTCTTCATATATCTAGTCCTCTATCAATTCGTTGCGAAATAGGGACCAATAGTGAAGTCACGTAGCTTCGCATATAAACGAGTCTTTTTGGTGCTTCTAGACTGACGTCAGTTTGTCAGCATCACAGTTAGAACTCTGTTAAAACAAAATGCTATAGTTTATAAAATACAGCGTGGCGCTGCCAGACTAACAACAGCCCGGCAGTTCCACGTTTATTCTTAATTATCTCCACTATTTCCTAGACTGATAAATAAAGGATTAAAAGATAACCTGGAAAGTTTCTTGAAATTCATTATAAGTAGAGTTCTAGCTGTGACGCTGACGGACTGATGTAGAAAACGTATAAGAAAACGTAGTTTTTCAATTCTCTAGACATCAATCCAGAAGCGCCACATATTTGTTTTATCTCCGAAACTTGTAGCTAGGCTATTTGTCCCTATTTCCTAAACGAGTGACAAATAAGGGACTAGATGGATCAAGAATTCATTTAAAGATGGGTGGCGTTGCCAGGCATATACACACGGGACGACCAAGCCAGCAAAACCGCCTCTGTTTCTATGCCCTAAAAAGACAACACAAAAGCAGACATTACAAACATTATGGAAGGTAGTTTAATAAATAGATAATAAAAGATTTTATAATACAAGATATAATTTTTTGGTCCTAGATTCAACTTGACAAGGACTTGGTCAGCTGATCAGCTGTGCCTACTGTCAGTGTCATTTTGTTGTAGTTGTCAAACTATTTCTTAAATAACATTCTAACCTAAAACTGGGTACCTGTAAAACAAGCTTTTTCTATTATAAACCGAAGAAAATATTTGGATTGGTTTTATTGGCGTGTCAGTGATTAGTAAGTGGTTCTTCATTTATATTACAGTGTTAAAATAACAATGCAACACCTCAAATAAATAGTTCACGACGTTCTATTATTAGTTTTCTATACCATACACTAAAGAAAATATTTTATATATGACAAGTTAATAAAATGATATCTCTTGTTGTACCCAACCTGACTTCATCTACTAAGCAATGAGTTTAAAAGTCTTTGACTCCAACATTTATTAGTTTCTATCAATGCCCAAGCAATGTCGGGAGTTCAAGAAGTTCAATGTTATCACACATAATGACTTAAATTATCAGTATATATATTTATCTCTCGCCTACTACTTTGTTTCATTTATAAGGGCGTTGTAGTTTGTCAATACAATTATAATTTGGCTTAGTGCTTTAAAATATAATTAGGTGAGTAATTGACGGTCAGAATATGGTCCTACATTTCTAAAAGTAATAATTATTTTACAGATTTTATTATTCCTGTTTCAGAGCTGCAATGGCCTTGCAGAGGAGTATATTTCAGACAAGGCAATACTTGTTTAGATGTCCCATTGTCCAAATAAAAGTCTCACAACTATGCAGTAATTCAAGACATAGTTATAGCAGTAAATCAGACCAATCTTCTAGAAAATATACTAACAGACATGAATGGGTTACAGTGGAAAAAGATATAGGTACTATTGGCATCAGCAAATATGCTCAAGATTCACTTGGTGATATAGTTTTTGCACAGCTTCCTGATATAGGAACTAAACTAGAAGCAGGTGATGAATGTGGCGCATTAGAGAGTGTAAAGGCAGCTAGCGAAATATATTCACCAGTCAGTGGTACAGTTACAGAGAAAAATCGCAAAGTAGAAGATAAACCAGGCTTAATAAATACATCCTGTTATGATGACGGATGGCTTTACAAATTAAAACTTACAAAACCTGAAGAAATTAAAGATCTTATGGATGAAACTCAGTATGAACAATTTCTAAAGACTGACTTTGAACAAGAGCATACATGAGAGTACATTTAATATGTTTATTTTATAAGAACTTTTCATTAAATTATTTTGTTTAGTTATGAATTGTTTATTTTAATAAATTATTGAAGGTATAAATAAATATCCCTCTTGAGATTGAAGTACTGTTCATAATTTATCCATTTGATATCTACATAACACATCTCAGGTAGGACTAGGCAGAGATGAGTCATAATTGAATTTCTTTTAAATCTAATCTTCATTCACATAATTACATACTGCACATTTTTATCAGTTTAAAAAAAGAAGCTAGTTTTTATTGTTATGTATATATTTAAGAAACACAATGTGTAAAATTAAAAAGTCCTCATATCAACTGAACTGGCCATTTCAAGTCAAAATATTTTTTTATATACTAATTTTATTTTAAAAACATGGTTTTTCTAAAATCGTTATTTGTTTATTAATTAGTGTTTTTTTTTTCAACGCATTCGAACATTTTTCGTCGTCATGGAAAAGTTAAAAATTCGAGTAATTATGGAGTATGAGTACCGTCGTGACAGCAATTAAGTGGCACGCAACATCAACGACGTTTACGGAGCGAACATTACAAATAAACATCACCACTTCATTGCTTTGCCCGCTTCCGATCTGGAAGTTTTGACCTGAAAAATGAACCTCGTGGTCGTCCGAAAACTTTGGTCGACAATGACGAATTAAAGGCGATCATGGACGCTGATCAAAACTCAATCTATAGCTGAATTAGAAGCAGCTTTCGACGTTAGCATCAAAACAATATTGGTCCGTCTGCGTCAAATTGGCATTTGGTGAAAAAGCTTGACAAATGAGTACCCCATGAACTCGATGATCGCCAGCGCGAAATACGCGTCAAGATATGCTTTGCACTGCTCAACAGGCATACAAATGAAAGAATTCTGATCGACATTGTTACTTGTGACGAGAAATGGATCCTGTTCGACAGTCGTAAGCGTTCCGCAATTTGGTTGGACCCTGGTTCAGCACCCAAACAATGTCCTAAACGAAAACTTACCCCTATAAAAGTGATGGTCACTGTTTGGTGGTAACGCGGGTATAATTCGTCACAGTTTCTTATTAAACGGGACCAGCATTACTGCAGATATGTACTGTGAAGAACTGAACACAATTTTGGAGAAGCTCCCACGTCTCCAACCAGCTTTGGTTAATCGTTCGACTCCACTGCTCTTGCACGACAACGTGCGACCTCGTACTGCACAGCGGACGGTCTCCAAGCTACAAGTGCTGGGGTTGGAAGTTCTCCGTCATCCGCCGTACTCACCAGACCTTGCGCCTACAGACTTCTACTTTTCCAGAATTTGGATAATTTGGCGGGAAAAATTCAATATCCGAGAGGCAGTACAAAATGCCTTTGAAGAATTAGTTGCCTCCCGTCCAGCTCATTTCTTCAAGAAGGACAAAGAAATGAGCTGGACTGAAGAAGCTATCAATGCGTTGGCAAAGATGCATTGATTGTATGAGTTATTACTTTGATTAATAGAATAAAAAAATATGCCTCATTTATTTTATGAAAAACGGCATTTTCATAGGTAAAGGTAATATAATATATGTCAATATAGCATTGTGAATGCAATATATATCAGATATAATAATAATAAGAAATAATCAAAGACAAATCTGTGTTCTATTTAATTTTATTGAAGTGCTTTTTTATAAAAACAATAAAACAAAATCACTGCTACTTTGGCATCAACGTAAAAATTAAAACATCACATTTGTTAACATCTAAAAAATTTATATATTTATCTATTTTAAAAGATATGTCTCAAACTCTCATTTATAAACCCTTCATAGTAAAATTGAAGTGTGTAAAACTTTGTGCTTAATCATGAAATATTATCATATTATTATTTATTTAAAACTGTATTATACGAATACCATCTTGGGAAGTATATAATAGATAATTGAGCATTATTTCATTAAATGCCACATAATTTGATACCTACTTTAAAAACATAACCCTCTTATTGCAGTCAGGTAATGAGAAGATCGATGGATGGCTTTTATATATCTACATCTTATATTAAAATATAATCTTATAAAAATAAATGTAAATTAGTAAGGGCAGTTTTCGTTACTTTCATTAGTATTATAGATTATATTTTGAATTATATCTGATGCAGCCAAAATTACAGATTGTATAACAAGGAAAACTTAATAGACACAAGTAAATCAACATTCAGTGTCCTATACCAGGACCGTTATATACAAGAATATGTATTAAATAGTGTTATTCAGCCGAAAAATAGAGGCTTAAAATTTGCACAGTATGCCGAATACCGATTAACACCTACTCTGTCCAACTCTAACGCTAGCCGTGTCGGTGCTTTACACACTGGATGATACTGTATTCTATACAGACCAAATTTATAAACTGTAAAATTCAACTTATGACTAGACATACACTGACAAATTACTATGACATTAACATTCAATATAAATTTAAGTAATTGGCAATCGTTCACTTCCTCCCAATAATTTAATAATTCACAATAATCAACATTCAACATTTAATCTAATAAATACAGTTCGTGTAGTCTCCGATAATGAGATTGAGTGGTCAATAATATTACAGAATTCATTTTAATTAAAAATGATTTAGAATGGACGTTATTAAATTAACGTAGGTATATATATTTATATATATATATATATATATATATATATATATATATATATATATATATATATGATTTATCTTATAATACAAAAAGGTTTGTGTATTATTATTTTTTATTTAAATATCTAATACAATATAATTCAGACAATATTGAAATCAGATGGTAAAATATATGACCATGACAATTTCTTCCGTCATAATGTCATATTCGATCCCTTATCCTTTCGGCTATACTACGGTCGATCAACACTTGAGTGGCAAAGAAGATAGGCGAAGTCAGACTCCATAATTTCCAAAACCGTACAATAAAAAAAGTGAGATGAGCAGATTTTATTTCACAAAATAACGATTATTAAGGTAGGGAAAACAACATCTAGTGTGAATCCTGCGTCAAGTTTATCGAGGATCGTTTCTGAACAGAACGTTTGTTTTCTGTGTTTTGTTTTTGTACTGCCATTAAAGATGTTTTGTTATCATAGTAAATATTAGAACAAGCATTATGCTTGTGCAGAAAACAAACGTTCTGTTCAGAATCGATCCTCCATAAACTTGAAAATCAAAAGATTGGTATTCGATCAGTTGTGACATTATTAAATGTTCAATAAACATTTTTAGTTGTCATTTACTACACAACATACAACATACTTTTGAAAAATAAAATAAATCATATAATTAGATGTTGCATGTTGCGTAACAAATAAATTCACAGGTAGAATAAACAATTAAGGTGTGACGCCGGGATTCACACTTATTGACGTCACGCGGGTGTACGCAATTTACGAGAATTTGATTTGTATTTATTTTACTTGTAATTATTTAAATGAGTTATCTGGTCTCTGTTTTTATTTATTTTAATGTCAATTTTTAACAATACATAACCTCGTAATATATTTATCTCTATATCTTTTTATTTCCCAACTTTTAAGGGAAACAAACTTCAAGAATTATTTCATTCATGAACAAGGAACGGGTGGGCGAAATCCCGGTCTGGAACTATATAGTACTTCGCCATTCTTCTTTACAATATTCTATTTGACAGAGTTGAACAACCTTTATAAATTGCACCGAATATAAATTGTGTCTGCGTAAATGTTTCAAATCTCTTAAAATATATATTTCAAGGGACTTGATATTCGCATTCCAATGACTTTACCTTGATTTCACCTGTACAAACAACTTTTACAACTTTATATTTTTTAAACAGATGTATAACATAGAAAACAGTTAGTAAACACACAAAATAACTTATTCATGCCACATATTGTTGTAGCGAAACTTACAACAAAGGACAAAATATCCTCGTCATGGCACCAGTAACAATATTTGGTCATAATACCAAAATACATTATCCAGATAAAGAAATAACGGGACTATTTGCATTAACAGATTTATTTTGTTTAGCTTTGTAAAGCCACTGGACTTCAAAAGGCTTATCTAATGCCAAGTTAATATTATATATTTGGAGTACTTTGAATTTCTCCACGTAAGCGAAGTCGCAACGCGGTTTAGTACAGTCAATACCGTCGATTGTGACAGAAACGACAGGCGGTTGATTGAAAACTGTAATGTTATTTATTGAAGGTACACCGTATCCCCACCAAACGACGTTGCTACCGAGTATGTTGCGGTCCAGTTTGAATTCTATGTGGCTGAACTTTTTCTCGTCGTAGCTATCTGTTGAATGAGAGTTATGGATTATGCAGTGTCGGTACTAGGGATTTCGATCTCGATTCGATTTCATTGAAGACCTTTACTATTATTGTCTTTAAAGATTAACAACGGCAATCTTAACATAATTTATGTAATAATTCGATATTACTCTAATAATTTAGACAAATAAGTTTTAACGATATTAGGGAAAAAGATCGATTTTTGATAAGTCAATCTTAACATAATCGATTTTTTTCCGAATCAGACTGAAAGGCTCCCATTAGAATCGATTCACGATATCGATTACTTTGATATAGATCGGAAACCCTAGCTGTTACTGCCTGTGATGTTTACAGTACCCCACCCTCCGGGCGCGGGTGGGGCCAGTGCCGAATTAAGCCAAAGAGGGGCCTGTAGTAAATTTTTTAAACACAAATAACACATCATAATAGGGATGACGACTGGGTTAAAGAAAAAAAAAAATCTATTTAGTCTGTCAGTAAGATAATAGAAAAATATTAGACACGTATTTTTTTTACTTCGATTTCACAAGAAACAGTTTAGATAACAAGCATTAAAGTTGAAGAGTGGGGGCTCGGAACGTCGCAGTTTTGTAGAGAATGTACCAAAGCGTGACGTCATGTGACATTTTAACTCAACATATCAAGCGTGACGTCATTTTAACTCAACATATCACCGTAATTTAATGATTACGCAAAAGAAAAAAAAAATACTACCTGACGAATGAACAAACAAAATTTAATCGTCATCCTTATTAATCTGTGACTCGCAAACTTAAGTCAAGTTAGACTTTCGCCAGTTTATATTTACACTCAAAAATATCACTTTAGTCAGAAGCGCGGCTTATTTCTCGCATTCTGAACCATAGCGGGGCGCCGATCGCGCGGGCCCCGTAGCATTCGCTAAGCGGGCAATCCGGCCCTGTGCACGTACAGTACTGGTACTCACTGAGCGAGTCCCCGTCGTCCCAGTACAGTTCCCCACGGGCGGCGCGGGCGGGCGCGGGCGAGGGCGCGGCGAGCAGCTGCAGCGGCTGGCTGCGCGTGTTGGTGGTGGTCACGGGGCCCGCGCGCGCTGCACGCTGCAGCGGCAGCACGCACCCGCCCTGGCGGCGAGACCGTACTCAACACTCATACTCACACTGACGCCACGGTAGATCAGTCGCCCGTATTGAAAAGGATAGGCTTGAGCGAGGCCGGCCTATGGTAAAGTTGCTGGTGGCCCGGCAAGGAGACCGCCGGGCCCAGTAGGCCAAGGCCGATGGATTATACGGGGTATTTCTAATTGTATTATAATAAAACAGTTCATCATAATCAGCCCTTTATTTCGGCCCCACTGCAGGGGCTCAGGCCTTCCTTATGGATGGTTAAGAAGCATGGGCCATGACCCTCCACGCTGGCCCAATGCGGATTAGCGGATATTATCGAATACAAATGCAGCCGGTTATACAAAACCAACGGTTTAACGTGCCTTCCGAAGCACGGAGTAGCTCGAGATAATAATTTTTTGGTCACCCATCCCGTGACCGACCCTTGCGAAAGATGCTTAACGACTACGATCGCGTGCCACGGCGCATATCCACTACGCCACCGAGCAACTCACAACACAGTTATTATCTTCTAATACTTGCATAAAATTATCGTGACACAGATTTAGTTACCGTCCTCCTTCGGATTCTTTATTTTGATGAAATTTTATTCAGTAGGTTTAACAATAGGTTCACAAATTTTTTTACACCCAAAGTGATAAAGGGCGGTCCATCCCGAATTTATATGGCAAAACGTGAACGTCAAGATAGCAGGCACACCGACGAGTTTGAGGATCTTATGTACGTCAATAAATTGTGAGTATATAGTAACATTTAGTGATACACATACATAGCATATAATTAGTAACACTGTATATCAAGAGACATTGGTAGATCTTAGTAGTGGGCACATAAAAAATACGGTTCGTATTTGTTTGAATTACATGTGAAAAATAGTGTGACTAATTAGTATCTTCTATACCACGAACTTTCACTTTAGTCACTTCAATAGACTTCGAGATATTTCTGATTATTGGTGTGTCTACTAACTTGACGTTTAAAGGAACGACAGTTACAAACCAACGGGTAGGAATTTGAAGCTAACAAATACACAAAACAATTGTGAATCAATCTGTGATTCTCGTGATACATGTAAACCCAAAGATGTTTTCTTTATTATTGTTTAAAACTAAAAAATTACTTCTCCATACTAGATATTTGTCCGAGAATGGTGATTATGTAGTCTGTTTTTTAATCACAGAGACTAAATTGATATTTACTGTATTGCCAAGTTTTTGCAATTCTTAAATAGTGATGTGCCTTAACCGAACTTTAAACGAAAAAGTATTTTAGATACCGTTTTTTATAAAAATATCGACTTTTGGTAGATTATCCGAATATCCTTTTACAAAACCGTATTCCGTCACTATGTTAATTCAGTAAGAATAATATCCAAATTAACTTATAACATATACACTTAAAATATTAAATGCAAACAACTTTACAAATCAAATTTTATCCATTTAAACATAAACATTCCGCAAATTGAAAAAAGCGGTGAAAATTTACAACGCTGTTACTTTGGAAATCCTTGCCCGATTTCGATGAAACAAAAACTATTATTACTTGCAGGAGTACGCGTATTTAATGGAGTAACTTAACGTGCTTAGTGTGACTCGTTGTATTTTACTGTAATAAAATAGTGAACTAATTATACCTTGATGGTGACAATCTGGTCTTCATAGAGATCAGTCCTCTGTCCTGAGGGTATACTAGCCCCGGTGTGTATATGGTACCAGAGGTGTGGCGCTGGGAACAACGCGGATGTGGTGGTGACGCCTTGTTGTAGTATGGGCGCCACCATCACGTGCGGGCCCACCATGAACTGGTCGTCGATGCCGTACAGGCTCACGTTCTTCGGATCACTGCGGACAGTTCACAGTTTAAACACAAATCCACGATGTTACACGAAGACGAAATCAGCCTTCATGTCATGTCAAAGTATGAATCAGTTTAAACAATGCATCCCACCTCCAAGCTAGGGGCATTTCATAAATCAAATCATTATTTTCTGAATACATATATTATGTATGTCGCATCATCTTTACGAAGATCGTTTGAATTAGTTTCTTTTATTTTAATTGCTAGTTACTCGATTACTTAATTACTCGATTGTAGAGAGAGCGTGATTATCGATACTTTTAATTTTATTAGAATGGTGACACTGACTTTGACAGTTCGTTAACAAAAGCAAGTTGCCGCCATTTTAGCACACATTCTGTTTCCGATCGCCGAGGAGTAAAGACATCTGACGACATCACGCTCATCTCGTTATATTTTCATGTGAAAAGTGATAAAATGGAATAAATCCACGTTGGTATACACGCTTGCAATGTTATTTTAAAGATAGTCCCCTGATATGGACGATCTTTATGGGCGTCGTAATAGCCCATTCGGACTACCTGCCGACATGTAGTATTTTCATTTTCCTAGCTGGTTAATGGCTGACCCAGTGGCGTAACTATACCGTTGCAGACCGGTGACAAATTCATTGTATATATACATATATTTACTAATTGCGTTATAATAAATGTCAGGAGTAACGAGTCTCCTCTGCTGGGGCCTCTTGGCATTTTGCTGACTTGCCACCCCGGTAGTTACGCCACTGGGCTGACTCTATCTATGATTCCATCACACGCCATTGCTATATTTCTATGTACCTAATACTTTTTAAATCTCGGAAACGGCTCCAACGGTGTACATGAAATTTGTTTCGGGGTGCTAAATCGATCTTACTAAGGGTCATTTACCGAAAATAAAATACAAGTCACTTAGTTATTATTAATAGACTTTGTATTTTGTGAATTTATGCATAGAATTGACACCAAAACCGCCTATTTGTTTTTTATGGTATGGAAAGTACTGTATACTGTTCCAGATAAGGATAAGGGGTCAACCACAAATTTTAATAAATGGAAAGAACGAAATGTGACAAAAGATCCTTTTATGATTTCACATTTCATACGGAGAAGACGAAGTATAACAAATGGTGGGAGGAAATCCATAACTTTTGTCACATTTCAAATCTAACATAAATATGTTAGATTATAATTATATGCAATCGGGTCTTGTTCGTGCATTTTTTAAAACAATTAATTTACCTCGACGTTTCGGCTACGTTACAGCAGCCGTGGTCACGAGGAGACTGGAGAACTGGCGGGTGTCGTCTTCTGATTTTAGTTGAGGGTAATCCGGTAATAATGTTTTTAACTGATTTTCAGATGTACCCTCCACTTGATTTTATTATACGTAAAGGTGGCGACACACTGCACTTACGGTATCCGAGAATATTGTTCGTGGTTGTTTGCGATCGCGACACTTATACATTTTTATAACCGGATTCCACGTTGGTGAGAGTTTATATCCACTTTCCCGGTTGAAATTGTTGTGTTTTTTGATTTCAACCGCTTCACGAACAATCCTTGGATAGTAATGTCGTTCAGTGGAAAGGACATGAGGTTTATGTAACTCGATCCAGTGGTTTGATCCAGATGATAATAAGTGCTCTGCAATCGCGGACTTCTCCACTTGACGATTTTTGACCGCTGCTATGTGTTCTCTTACACGTTCGGCGATAGTCCGCTTCGTTTGTCCGATATATGAACTACCGCAGCTGCAGTCAATTTTATAAACGCCAGGTTTTTGGTAAGGAATACTATCCTTTGGTGATCGCAATTGGTGTGACATTTTTGATAAAGGAGTAAAAATGGTGTCTATAGAAAAATTTTTCCTCAAAATGGAACCAATTTTGTCCGTTACCCCCCTTAACATAGCCTAAAAATGCCCGTTGCCTGGGAACCTTAGGTAGTCTTTCCTTACACCTTCGGATAGGGTATGACCTCCTTGCGCTGTATCCATTTTTCCTTAGCACGTCCTGTACATGGGACAACTCATCTGCTAAGAAGTCAGTATTACATAATGCGTTAGCCCTGTTAATAAGAGTTGTCTCCACAGAACGTAGGTGTTGAGGATGATGATGAGATGAAGCGTGGAGGTACTTGTCTGTGTGTGTTGGTTTCCTTCAAATTGATGGTGTCGCCATGGGTAGCCCCGTAGCGCCACTTTTGGCCAATATATGGATGGAACATGTCGAGTCATTGATAGATTACCAGTCACATGGGATCCGTATGTGGAAACGGTATGTAGACGATGTGTTCTGTATCCTGAAGGGCGACAAACCGGAGATTGAGCAGTTCCTTACACACGTCAATAATATCCATCCAAATCTCAAGTTCACCTATGAGTTAGAGAGTGACAAAACCTTACCCTTTCTGGACGTTAAAGTCATGGCGCAAGCTGATGGGTCCCTGAAACACACTGTCTACAGGAAACCAACACACACAGACAAGTACCTCCACGCTTCATCTCATCATCATCCTCAACACCTACGTTCTGTGGAGACAACTCTTATTAACAGGGCTAACGCATTATGTAATACTGACTTCTTAGCAGATGAGTTGTCCCATGTACAGGACGTGCTAAGGAAAAATGGATACAGCGCAAGGAGGTCATACCCTATCCGAAGGTGTAAGGAAAGACTACCTAAGGTTCCCAGGCAACGGGCATTTTTAGGCTATGTTAAGGGGGTAACGGACAAAATTGGTTCCATTTTGAGGAAAAATTTTTCTATAGACACCATTTTTACTCCTTTATCAAAAATGTCACACCAATTGCGATCACCAAAGGATAGTATTCCTTACCAAAAACCTGGCGTTTATAAAATTGACTGCAGCTGCGGTAGTTCATATATCGGACAAACGAAGCGGACTATCGCCGAACGTGTAAGAGAACACATAGCAGCGGTCAAAAATCGTCAAGTGGAGAAGTCCGCGATTGCAGAGCACTTATTATCATCTGGATCAAACCACTGGATCGAGTTACATAAACCTCATGTCCTTTCCACTGAACGACATTACTATCCAAGGATTGTTCGTGAAGCGGTTGAAATCAAAAAACACAACAATTTCAACCGGGAAAGTGGATATAAACTCTCACCAACGTGGAATCCGGTTATAAAAATGTATAAGTGTCGCGATCGCAAACAACCACGAACAATATTCTCGGATACCGTAAGTGCAGTGTGTCGCCACCTTTACGTATAATAAAATCAAGTGGAGGGTACATCTGAAAATCAGTTAAAAACATTATTACCGGATTACCCTCAACTAAAATCAGAAGACGACACCCGCCAGTTCTCCAGTCTCCTCGTGACCACGGCTGCTGTAACGTAGCCGAAACGTCGAGGTAAATTAATTGTTTTAAAAAATGCACGAACAAGACCCGATTGCATATAATTATAATGTATACAAATCGTGTGAGTTTAAAAATATTAATATGTTAGATTCCGGCTAACTAAAAGCTACTTTATAAGTACATACAATTTGTACCATTTGATTAACTAAATTAGTATAGTTATAAACTCACTCATAGAATAACGGCATAATAACTGGCTCGCCGAACAGATGTGCTCGGTAAAATAAAGTATAGTAGTAAGGCAGCAATCTGTAACGAAGTCTTAGCGCCGCTCGACTAGCGGATACCACTTCAGGACCCAAGCTCACCGGGTCTTGAGGCTGTTTGAGAAAATCAATTAAATCCCATTTTTATGTTAACGAATTCGTGTAGCAAACATTTATTTATAAAACATGCATGTATGATATAAATGTTACTATGTATGTTTCATTTATTCCATTCAAAAAAATTTAAATAATTACTATGTAGTACAAAACTTAATGGCTTGGAAAACTATATTGGAGTAGATAGATTGAGTCGGATTCATTGATTCCTGGACAAATGTCTTATCCATGTTATTCTTACTCATACTCTGCTACTAAGATGGACAATAAAAAAATATAAAAATAACTGTCACATGGACACAGATGCAAAAATATGTAAATGATTTGTGTAAATAAATATTATTCCTATTTAAAATACTAAATTAATGTTATAAAAACTGGATGGAACATCAGCTCAAATGAAGTCTGTGATGAATAAATAATAATATTTGAACCATATAATCTTTGGTTTAACTGGTCTTCAGATAACAAATTCAGTAACTGGTTTTAAATTTAACTAACTACTTGATTTTAAACAGTTTAATTCTATAGCATTGTGATTCTATTTCACCGTAGGTAAATACACTTTCTTTATGACAAGATTCAGAATAAGTTTCTTACGGCAGAAGAATCCGAGTTATGGTTCCTGGAGAACGGATAGAATGCACCTAGCTGCATCCATCGCTTACACAACTCTACAGTAGTGTCGCCACGGAACCCGCATATGTCCGCACCCATCATCGGTATCCCGAACAAGTTGAAGTTCAGCAACTCTAAAAAAACATCATCACCATCATTGTTTCTCAGATCTTAAGATCATAGTGGTACAGTGAATTCCAACTAATATGGCGCATCGATATTAACTTCAACAGACTTTATCACGCACAACAAAAAGAAATCAGTTCAGCCGTTCTCGACTTTGCGCTTAGACACACATTTAGCGATTTATTTATGTTTATATTGATAAATTCAGTTAAGAAAAGTGCTACGCTGAAAAGTTTTACAGTTTTAGATTAGTATGAAAAAAATTGGTACTATCGATTACACAGCAAAGCAGCCAATTCTTTGCTAGACGAAAAAAGCAGTGACACACTTTTGACGTTTAAAAGTTAATGGATTTATTTGATGCGGACAAAAATTGCCATTTTGAAAAGGCGTATAGTTGTAATGCCGTCAGTATATTATTGACATTATGTGCATATATGTTAAGTTTAATCTCACCTGGTATGGTCATTCGCATATCATGCCACGAGCTCTCGATGTCTCCACTCCAGTGGCCGGTGTATTTACCCGAGCCCACGAACGTGGATCGCGATATTATAAACGGACGCTTGCCCCTTATATCGCTTAACGCACTGTTAGACAGTTTACATAATTATTCACCGATCTAAGTAAATCTATATTTAACTCTCGAAGGTTATATAATACCTACTTTATACTACTACTTCGAGGTAAACATTTACTATGGGGCTGTCCAGTAATCACGTGAGGCTCGAAAGGGGGGGAGGGGTCCATAAAAAAGTCACGAAATATCACAAGGGGGGAGGGGGGGGGGGTGAAGTAACATATCACGTGTATTTATTTTTTCGACAAACGCGCGATACTCAACCGAAAAGCGGCGTAAATAAGTGTAATAAAATTATTTTTTCGTCAAACGTTCATTAAATAATAATATTCATAAAGTTTTTCGCATTCCTTTCATTATTTTTGTCAATCAAAAACAACCTGCAAGTCGTGTAATCTTTCTGTCTACCTCTAGACATTATTGTACTCTTGAATTGTCTATAATACAATTACAAAATTAAGATTCATTGTAAGTACTAAAAATACACGTGATATATGGGGAGGGGGGGGGGGGTAGTCTTAAACCTCACCATGTATCACTATGGGGGAGGGGAGGTTAAAAAATGCCAAAAAGAACATCACGTGATTAATGGACGGCCCCTATGATAAAAATAAATATGAAGTCTAATTCATTGGCTTCATAAAGAAATACAAATAATAAGGGACCATCCACAGAACACGATCAGATCACGTAACACGATTTAATTTTTTTTTACGGACGGGAGATAGAACGCATAGGACGACCACCACGCTTTGTCTACAAACAAATGTCACTTCTCGGGAGCATACAATCTATCTATCTCACTCTCAGTCTCTAGAGTTCATAATGTATTTTGCATACGGCTAATATATATCAAAGAAAAAATAAATGAAGCAATAACATTAATTAAATCGACTCACAAGTTAGTCGCGACGGCTTCGTACAGTCCGTACAGGTTATGCAAGTCGTAATGAGTGCCGGCATAGTGCCGGGCGTCCATACACAGAGTGTGTTCTCTTAACAGATCGTCACCGGTCTGCGGCATATACGGGTACCGCTCGTCGGCACACGAACCCTCCACTATACCACCGATGTTGGAGGGCTCGTTCATGTCCTAATGTGGATTAAAACTATCATCACTCAGAGTGTACGGGCGGACCTAGACCTTAAAAATAGGTTTTGGTCATAGACACTTAAAAATACGGCAAGTAGGAACACTGCTCACAATATAGTGCATTCCTGCGAAAGAGACGTTTAGCAAAATATATGATTTGTAAAATTTGTAATTTTACGTAGGCAACATTAGACCATCAAAATGTGACGTCACAACTCTATTAGGGTTGTGTCTTGAAGTACAGGAAATTGTTTAACAGTACACAAAGGTAATGGGGCGGGAGCGCGAACTTTTATTTTTAAATCTTCGATCGTGATAGTCATAGACAACGCTACAGACGTAAATATATATTTTTTATAAATAAGAAAACACTCAATTTTTAATAAAAAACCTTTTAGCTATAAGGTACTTTATATTTAAATAATTAAGTAGTTTACTCACAATCCAAGCGCCATCATACTTGATTTTCTTATGGAAATCAGTCATCATATCGAGCCAGTACTGCGTCGCATTCGGGTGAGTGAAGTCAGGAAACACGGTGGTCTCTTTGTTCCATACCTATGGGTATACAAGCATCAACAGATCTCTGATAATACCACTCGTGTGTCTGATTTTCCGAACCTACTGGACCCATTGAGTTCATATTTGGTACACATATATAACATAGTGACTCAAAGACGGCCAGGTTATGTAACTGAATTTAATTTAAACATGAGCTCTGAATTTTGAGGGCAAATAAAAACTGTTTCATAATTATTACCGACCGTTGGCATAACAGTCTAAATTAATAGAAAAAGTGTAAAGAATAATCTTATTTTCACACAGTTAAGACAAAATTTGCACAGGATTAGCGAGCAATAGAAATCTTTGCTTAAAAGAGTATATTAAAAGCTTCATACCTTCCCTACGAACGGTTGGTCAGTGGAATTTCTAACAAATACGTTCATCTCTAAGCCGCGATCGTACGGCGGGTAACTGCCAGGCTTCTCTGAGGCACTCACTCCTGGATCTATCAATTGCAATATTAAAAAAAAAACTCTTGTATAAGTAATGCAGTAATATAGTTTTAGCTTGATTACACAGGCGTAAGCGTTTGCGGGGGGGAAATGTCCCGTTGGGGACCGTTACCGCGCGTCGTTCCGCCGCAGTGAGGGACATCGCTGAGTTATAGTGGGTAGGCCCTTTTTGACCAGCGCCCACTCTGGGGGTTCGTCCGTAGGGGACTCCCATATAACCCTTGGGTGATGCGGGTATGCGCAACGCATTTCTCAGCGTCAAAAAAAAAAGTGTGCGAGATGTAAAACATAACACCATATACACACCAATGATGATCATGTAGTGCATCCCCTCTCTGTGTAATTCATTCACGAACGCCGGTAGACCGGCGAAGTTTTCCTCGTCGTAAGTGAAGTCATTTCTATTCTTCATGTAGTCTATATCGTTCCATTGCACGTCCTAGACGCAGTCATTGATAATAATTAGGTGTATTGTTACCAATAAATACGGATAAATCTATATAAATAACTGCTAGAACAAATATGCATTTTGATTATTTGCAAATAACGAACGTTTAGTTTCGATTAAACAATGACAGAAATATTAAAAGTATATTAGTAGAAATGACGGAGGCTATAAAACTACAAAATTTATATTCGAAAAGTCAGTATTGACTTGTCTATTGAATTCAAACAATGTCGTTCTAACTTATTATAAATTAATGAACTCACAAAAGGTATTCCAGCATCTCTATTCTTTTTCCAAACTTCACGAGTTACATTCAGTGATTTATAATCGAATCTGTAAACAAATTAGGGATTAAAGGTGAACATCCACTGTGTCCGCGCAACATATGTACGAATTTGCCGATGTCATACGTCCATCGTATCCGGATTTTAATAGAAGTACCATTTAACAGTTTTGACATACCGCAGCTAAGTAATGTATAAGATTTATGTGCAAGTAATCCATATGACGTCATTGGCACTATATGAGTGCTATACGAATGCATACGACGCTATGGACCCACGTGCGTGCTCACAGGGGACGTTCACTTGTAAATTTGGATGAATTATAAAGTTTTCATTTATGGAAAAGTGATAACGAAATGTGCAAGTGTATAGAAACTTGAAATATTTATAAAGTCAAACTTTTGAGATTATTTGTAGATTAAAGAAAAAGAGACGTAATACTTAAAATGGTCTGTATAATTTGTACATATGAATCTCAAATATATGTAAGTAATATGTCGCGTCGAGCGATCTAATCTAACTTGCGTACGTCATCAGTGCGTCAGAGGTAGCCGCTCTCGCTAGTGTCGTAGCCGGAGTCGCAGACACATAATAAATAGAGATGTGCCAAATATTCGTTTGGTATTCGGCATTTTTTTAAATAGTTGTATTCGGTCGCATTATTCTGTTTTAGTGTCAAATATATTCGGTTCGATTGTTTCTCTTTTCTTAATTCATGTCCGTTGCACGAAGAATGTGTTCAATGAAGCTAATAAAACAAAAACCGAATAACTCGGCCGAATATTCGGTTCGGTAAATTTCAAACCGAATAGTATTCGGCGCATTTTATATCTCCGACCAAAAAAAACACGCCTACGATTTACAACAGCGTAAGCAATATGAAAGTTGTCGTGTGGTACAACAGACTGACTTGCAGAGATGGAACCCTAGCGCCCAGTAGGGCGGCACGAACGGGCGGCCCACCAGCGCGGCGTAGTGCGCGGCGACGGCGCGCGGCCCCCCGCCCACCAGCACGAGCAGTCGCAGCACGCCGCCCGTCGCGCGGTACGTCACGCCCCCGCCCGGCTGCACCGCCACGTCTACGTGCACGGATACACCGCCCCAAACGGGCACGGAATTACGTTACACCACACATCTCATCGTATTAATGATACAGATGCATTTGCGACCAGTGTTGGCTCGTTTAATACATCAATCACAAACAAACTGAACAATATCAGCATTGCGCATATCACTTGGTATGAGTACATAGTTTTTATATACTATTCATTTGTTTATCTCTCAACTTCTAAAGTCTACCCGTGGTTGACGGTGTTGGTATCACAATTAATTATTTCTAAAATGTAAAATTATGAGTAATTATGAGTAGCTCGGTGGCGTAGTGGATAAGCGCCGCGGCCCGCGATCGTAGTCGTTAAGCAACTTTCGCAAGGGTCGGTCACGGGATGGGTGACCAAAAAATTATTATCTCGAGCTACTCCGTGCTTCAGAGGGCACGTTAAGCCGTTGGTCCCGGCTGCATTTGCAGTCGTTAATACCCTCCAATCCGCATTGGGCCAGCGTGGAGGGTCATGGCCCATGCTCCTTAACCATCCATAAGGAAGGCCTGAGCCCCTGCAGTGGGGACGTAAAAGGGCTGGTGGTGGTGATTATTAATCAAAGTTTACAGCTTAAAATTTATACGAATACTCGAAAATAATTACTTACCCATGGCATTGGAGTTGAGTAGGAGTACGCCAAAACTTTCACCCTGCGGTTCTACACCCAGAAAAAATGGATGCGTACCGTACAAGTTTAACTAGAACAAAACAATTTTTAATAGCTCCAATTGTTTAACTCCAACAGATAGAGGAAAAGAAACAATTTCCAATTGTTTCTTTTCCTCTATCTTTTTCTGACATTAACTTTTTTTTGTCATTTATTTTTGTTGTCTGGATAATATCCGTGTCGCTCAGTCTAGACCAGAAAAACTAGGCCTATAATCAGATCTCAATAGTCTCCAACTACTTGAAGAGTTAAATTTGTGATTGCTTGTTGAGGTTTGATATGGGTTCGAGCGTAGCAAGTAACACATTGTTTTGTTTAGGAGTTTTTCGCGGCAACCGATAACATATTTCCAGTGACCGTATACCTATAGCACAAAGTGTTGCAAAAGTGAAAAAATATTTATTTCAATATAATAATGCGGTGAATCATAAACAAGACTACTGTTCCATGAATTTTGCGCGAAAACGAGAACGGGTTATCTCTTTGAATGCCGTTCGCGTTCCCATGACTTTGTATTTCTCTGCATTCCTACATCTTTTGGTTGACTCAAAAACTTCAAAGTCGTATTAAAACGTTTAAAACACCGACGTTTAGTGAATAAAGTAAGCGTCCACTGCGTGAAATCAAAGCTCTTCGTAGCAGATTAGGTCCGTTTAGAGGCTATTCGGCTCGTGGCTGATTATAATATATACATAGTTATTACAATATAGATATTCGAATCGTTCACTATGCACGCCAAATTGTTATAAAGTGCTTTGGGGTAATAATGAAAATAGGCAAATGCAGAAAAAGACGAATTATCACCAAATCGGCATTTTTTTATAAACTGTTGATAAAGTTGACAAATAAACAGACTATTACTGCTTAAAAATCTATTAATTAGATAAAACTATATAAATAATGTTTGTTTAATTTCATTATCGGAATTTCCCCGCTTTCGTGATTATTACCCTACCGCGAATGCTATGCTGAGGACAAAGATACCTTTGCCTTTAATTTACAGTTTTTTTTATTTTTTTTGTGTGTTTTATGGCTCTGCAATAAAGTTACGAGGTCAACTATGCCAATCTTTTTTAAATTAATTCTCTGAAACGGGGGACATTTCAGACCTGAAACTTTGACGAAAGATTGAATATTGGGTGCTAGGTGCTATGGTAATTCTCTTTGTAGTGGTTAGATTTTTCATTTTGTCAATACTTACATGTTCAATAGGCGCCCGGTCCCTGTTGAATAATGCGAATGTCTGCCAGTTCATATCCACCATAAATTTGGCGCGTCTCTCGCCCAAACCGAATATGTACTCGGTTGAAAGAACAGCTGACAGCTGAAGGAATTTGTCCGATAATATCAATCCGCCAACGTCTTGAGTGTCGAAGCTGGTGGACATACCAATTTTACAATCGCAATGTTACATAGACATTAAACATACAAATACTTTTATACATAAATAAAACGGTCTTCATAAAATCATAAATAATAATTCAATTAAAAACAATATTTATTTATTGTACTAAATAAGTCTCTAATTTTTAATCAACTTCTAAACAATTCTTTTCTTCACAACCTCTTTGAACAAACCACATTAGCTCTTTGCAATAAACCAAAGAGTAAATATAAAAAAACCGAATTGAGTTGGGTGAATATTATCGTGAGTGACAAACAGGTCTAAGTGGATAACTGATCAAAGCTAATCGCGTATGGCTTTGTCGTAGTTTCTGCCTTCGTATAGCATATATTATAAGCACAAAGAAGAAAACAGGCAATCATTTTTATCATGTATCATTAGAGTCAAGCACACCCTTAAGTGTTACTACTCTAGCTAATACTTCTTAAAACTAAGAGATGACGTTGAAGAAACTGTTTTACCAGCTAAGAGTCGAGACCGATAGTTTCTTTCTTTTCGTGTTTTTATCTCTTTTGGGATGCAGCTACGTCAGCGCCATTTTGACAATGCGTTTCTCATCGCGTTTATTTTTTTTAAACGCCAATCTGAACGGAATTATGCATAAATAATTAATTTTCATAAAACATTATTAATCTATTTTTGAAGTAAGTGTAATAAGCAAATTACGAAGTTATAAACTTTCAAAATGAGAGTAGTATACGAAAATAATCTTGAATTTGTTAATCGCCCTTTTTTAAAGTTGAATCATATAGAAAATTTATGTAAAATTCTACACAATATCCCGTTCAGTTTTCAACTTAGGTAACAATGGTTATCTTTACTTACATGGTAACATTGTTACTGTTCCTAATGACTTTGAATCCTATAGCGGAAGCATTAATCTCTACTCGATACTTCATGTCGGTGAGTGGCTTCGAGAGTGTAGCGATTTCAGGTAGAGGTGGCTCGAATCTCTTGTTGTTAGCATCATATATCTGGTTCAAATGATAAAATAATAAACGAAAAAGAAACCGAGGACACAAAGCTCTGTAAAATATTTTCGCACCTATACAGGGTCATCTGATAGGTAACTCGATTGCTCGCATGATTCATGAAAATTCAATGTTTGAAAACACTGGAATGATTATTCAACTTTTATACCGTGTCGTATTATGCATATGTCTGTACGTTAACATCCATACGACCTCCGTAGCCGAGTGGTCCGCACGCTAGTTTTAAGATATATCTGAGGTTCAGTCAGATTTTCAGATACTCCAACTAGGCTACGCCAGTCAAAGGGACGGAAATGCGTAGGTCGAAGAATCCGTTAGTGTTCAGCTCAGTCCTACACCTTCACAGCTCCACACAAGCGCGGGCAGGGTGAGCCAGGCCGGTTATCGACGTGCGTAACTCTCCAACCGAGCTCCCGGTGACGCACATACCAAAAAGTATGTACGGCAGTGTAGCTGTGAGTGTGTATGTGTACGCATATAATTATGTATGTGGATGCGTGTCAGTTTTTGTGTCTGATTATGTGCGAGTGTAGTCCGGGACCCCGACAGCGACGCAACCGAGGTGCGATCAGATGTCTTACCTTAATTTGCAGCAGATCATCAGACATATATTTGAAGTCTATTCTGGCAACTTCGAAGTCGCCCGGATATCCCGTGGGACGAGCTCTTTCATAGTACACGGTAACAGAATGCTTATCTTCAGTCATGTTCAGGAATCTATAGGAATCGTACTGAGGTGGATAATAGCAGTACGGAATATTGCCTTTGCCCTCTGGAATGCGCCAGCAACAACCTACAAACGAAAGGGAACGCTGATTTTTCAAGTATTTTTAATTTGCTTCCTGCTGTATTTTAAGCTTTTTAAAGTTTTAATGTGGTGTTCATTTATATAAAGAGTGATTCAAGAGAAAGGTTTTATTTACCTCTTTTGATGCAATCATCTTCATTAGAACCAACCTGTGGAAAACAATCGAAACGCATGTTGTCCTCCACTTTAGCACATATGTCTTTCAGCACCTCGATGGGACGTTCTATAAAACTCTTCTTATTTAAATTCCCATTCTTCCTTGTAAATTCTGTACTGTTGCTTTTATTCTTAGTACTCAGGTTATTGTGATCATGATACCGGTACTCTGGTAATATCTGTTGGTTATTTTTTCCTATTTAATAAAAAATTTGCACAAACTCAAATACAAATCAAATTATTTATTTGCAAAAAACATCTTAAATACCTTTTCATAAGTCAATGGAGTTGGTGGTTTCTTAGTGTTGTCAGGATGAGCTCTTTCCCACAATTTTCTGAAAAAACAAGGGTATCATAAGTGATACTATACATACAGTTCTAACAGTCTGCCAATAAAAGCGTCTAGAGAGAGCAAAGGAGTATGAGGGGTGAAAGGGGTACACCGGGTGGGTGACAGCGATGCAATGAGTTCGCTTGGAATATGCCTGCCTATATTTTATCAAGCATATATTGTATTTTATTATAGTTATTATAGTGTAGTGAGAGACCTATATTTATTTTTATGTTTATGTATTATACAAACCTCCTTAAAAAATATGTATTTAATAATTGCATTGCAAAGTTAGGGCGAGGCACCAATAGTGCCTTGTGTTGCTTCATCACAACAGAACAACGAATTGTATGCCATACATGCGTCGCTTTGACGCCACAACTAGCAGCAGTGAAACCCGGCTTCGTCTCTGATCCGTTGATCCAATAAAACATCGCGCGAGACAATGCAAGGGTCTAATGGAGCATGTTATAAAAAATTAATGGAAAATGACGCAGGGATGACGCTATGCACTAATGGTCTTAATCATAGTTCCTAATTGTCAGACCTGTAATGTTCTTCGCCCCAAGCACCACCTAGGGCTCCACTTGCGGCCCACCAGGCTCCTACACATAGCGCGCAGACTAGTGCTACGCCCAGCATGCCTGGTCCAGCAGTCGCAACCAACTCCCAAGAGCGCAGTAGCCAGTTACGCTGCTCAGAGAAACGCTGGTATCTGTATCAAAAACATGGAGAATAATTATAATATTTGTAGTAAATTTTTGTATGAATAGACTGTACTAAACACTTTTTCTTATAGGAAATGGTAGCAAAATTAATATGAAAAATCACATTGTTGAGATGTAAATTTCAACATATTACATTACATTCATATTACAATATATTACACGACATTCAGATGAAAATAAAAGATAAATAATATAAAATGACTACTGCCCAAAAGGCATATGCTAAACCTGAATTCCTTTTAAATCATGTTGCATATGAATTAAGTAATACTTGACTTTTTAGATTCATGACACTATTTTGCTACATTTTTTAAACTCTGCATATCTTTTAATAATATGATAATATGAACTTTTGGTATTTCACATTATAATAGGAAAAAATAAAAGTAATACAACATATAAAGGGGTGTAGTAGTAATGATTCAAAAATAGAGCTTCTTATATGATTAATTTGTAAACAGAGTTATTTAGTTATTAACATATCAATGTTTAAGGTTTTAAAGTTAACATACCGATGTTCTCTAGAAACCGACTCTCCTTCATTCCTCGACTTCGGTATAACTCCACTGAATAAAGGAGCTTTGGTAGTCTTGACGTTTGATCTTCCAAATGGAGTAAATGAATTGGAGAGCTTTCTTTTGAAGGTAACATTTTTAGAATCATTAAGCGAGGTTTCTGTGTGGTTTTCAGAGTCCACATTCGAAGATTCACCGTATTTGTCAGCAAAATTCGGGGACTTATCATTTTCGTAACAAAGACGGTAGTTTATATTGTCATTCAAAGTTAATAAGTCAGTTTTAGAACTCGAGTTTTTGTCGCAGAAATCTTCAAAGGAAACGATTTCATAGTCTTCATCTTCTTCCTGCGATTTTTCTACTTTGTAAGGTATTTTTGGCATTTTTATGGAATTTCCTCTAACGCTTACACATTATAAAATTAATATGAGCCTTGAATTAGGAGTTTCACTATCACTGTTTGTTTTTATATACACTTAGGTGAAACTGCATTAACAATTACCAGAACATAAATATGTTTAGAAAGAATCGCAACATAAAATTGTTTTTATTCAAAATGTTCACATTCACTAAAACAACAATTTGATGTTATTTAAATGAATGAGTGAATGATATAAATAATGAGACCATTCATGAGTGAATAGTTTATTTTAAGTCCATAATAGTTATCGATATGATATGAGTACTCAATTGAAAATCGAAATCTACGTCTGTGCTTGACTTAAAAACCCATATATTTAATATGTGTTAATATTGTAATGGAAAGTGACTTCATATTTTAATGAAGTCATTTTTCAATCTTGACGCGCTGTATAAAACAGGGAGAAAAAAGCAGCCCTTACCGAGTTTCTTGTCGGTTCTTCTCGGTACAATGTCTACCGCCGTAGATTTACCAACCGATGGCGTAGCTCTTGTAATAGCCTAGACTGAATAAATAATTTTGATTTGATTTGATTTGTTAATACTTAAGTAAATTACCAGGAAAATGGTATAATGTAGGGACAAGCGTAGAACTAATAAATTTTCTGTAGCTTACTGCCCGCTACACAAACTTTCAATAAACTTGTCATTAGTTTAACCACTAAAACATTCATGGTTGACAATTCGTGATTTGGACGTTCAAGTGGATAAAGCGACATCACCGATACAAATTTACAAATGTAGAATATTAACTTAAAGTCGTCTTTGAACTTTAATGAACGTGTGTGCACCTGGGTATATATCAATAACAAGCGTTAGACATATGTGCAGACCCAGATCTAGGGAGGTGCAAGTGGGGGCACATGCTCCTGGCGCCAGTGAAAGGGGAGCGCCAAAATCATCATAATATAATATAGTTTAAAAAATTTAAAGGCTACGATGAAAGGCAATCTGAGAAAATAAAAATACATAGATATTACACTATATTTGGAGAAAACGTCGAACGGAAAACTAGTGTAATCGAATTATCAAATCGGAATTTCTATTGTATGTGGCAGCCCTATAACGTCAATATTAAAATTACTTGGTGCATCCCATCCTTTAAGCAGAACCTAAAGATTTTAATTATGTGAGGGTAGTACTAAAAATTTATTTGTAGGGTAAATAAAAATTAAGGGTTTTTATGATGCGTGGACAACATGGTGGACTGAAGTGTAATACAACTATAATTTATTAATTTGTGTTTAATAAACATAAAAAACATCAAGTAATTATGGATTGGAAAAGTGCTAAGATTTTGCTAGCGTCTACAGCAACTGCGGTAGTGGCATCTCAAGTAGCCAAAAAACTATATAAGTATTTTTTTTCGAAGACGTCTCAACCTATTGATGCTACTAAAGATACCTGTGACGCTCTAACAATTAAGAATCGTGAAATCAATGATGTGATATTGTTTTCTGACGATATCGTTCGGCATACGATAAGAGTTTCACCCAGTAAAGATATAACTATTTGTGAAAGTAGAGAGTTGAATTGCTTTAAATTAATAAAGTATATCAAGTCAGCACGTGAAACATTAGATGTGTGCATGTATCTAATAACCAGCAGTGAGATAGCAGAGCACATAATAAGATTAGGACAAAAACACGTCTTGGTGAGAATAGTTGTTGATAGCGACATGGCGTTTACACCGCAGTCACAAATTAATAAGCTAAAAGAATATAGTGAGTTTCTTCGTGATTTTAATTATGTTAAGTTTATTACTTATACATTTATTCTGATAAAGATATGATTTATTCATAATTTTAAATTTTAAATTACAGGTTTCATCCAAGTGCAGACAAATAAAAAATCAATACTCATGCATCACAAATTCTGCATCATTGATGGTCCAAAAGCAATGAAGCGAAAAAGCATTCTGAAGTCATATGCTGAAAAACTCAATGTGCATGCACAGTATACAAATTATAATTGCAAGCAAACGAACAAAAACAAACAACTGAAGCCTTTTGTTATGTCTGGCTCATTAAACTGGTCCACTCAGGCAATGGTCTCAAACCATGAGAGCGTCATTGTTACATCACATCCCAACATCGTCAATAAGTTTGAGAAGGAGTTTGAGAGTCTTTGGGTGGAGAATGAGCCGGTAAGATAAAGTTTATGAAACAATCTACATATTTATTTGTATGTTTATTAGTTGGTTTATTAGATTTCTATACCTTTTATTAACAACACGTATGAAGCTTTTAATTATTTTCAAACTATGTTTTTTTGTTCCCTTTTTAAAAAAAAACGAAAGTACTAAAAGCACCTCCACTAGATGGTGACTTTAGCAAAAGTTGATTTTTGTAGGAAACGAATGGACCAAAGACAGTAATGTCCGTTCCTTTTAACTAACATATTAAAAAACTGAAATTTGAAAAGTTCGAAACTTAAATATCAATACAAATACGAAAAAGTACAAATAGAATATAAGTTGTTTATTGAGTTTGAAAGCTCATTTACTTTTGAACTTGAAAGAAAACCGGAAAGGTTCTCATGGAGAAATCAAGAATGTACGAATAGCGATATCTAGTTTTTAGTTGTAGTAATTTTGGGAAATTATGATTTTTTTAAATACTTCCTCATTAACTTTGAAATGGCAAGGCAAATGCATACTTATAGCTAAGACAAAAGTATATATATCATACAGCTGAGACAAAAGTGGATTCTTTTTTCAATATAATGTTATATCCAAACTTTGATTGCCAAAATTGCAAAAGTTGCATGATGGGGCGGAGAACATGCGCATTTTATGCAAGTGCTCATGAAATTGTCCGTGTACTCTTTATCTCTTTTTAATTTATGTATTTGTGTTTGTTACAGGCTCTGATGTCAAGTTTGTAACTTTATTTTTTGTTCCCGTAAAAAACAGTGGAAGACCAAGACAGGTAAGTTTTCTATATACATACATACAATAATACTTCCTCATTCACTCTGCATGGGCCTGTTCATGTCATAGACAATTCACACTATAAATATTTTCCAGTCTATGCTACAGATTCGCTCTTGTTTCGTCCCGATGACAGTCAAAGGCGACCATAGACTAGTCCATGTGCAATGAAATTCTTTGCAATCAATAATAATCTTAATTTATAAATATATTTGTTTTCTATATACATTCTATTTGTATTATCTTTAACAATGTAATCAGATAGACGCGCTCAGAGCTATTTTTTTTATTTTATTTAAATTCAAAATTTTACATATTTTATTATTGTTTCTATACGTGTAAAGACCACAAACGTGACATTGGCGGAATTGTGTAAATGCAAATAGGCCATGAATTAAAAAAGAAGAAGAAGAAGTGCAATGAAATGTTCGATCGATCATATGTTTTCTTTGTGTAGTTTTTCGGCCGCTGTTATTCGAATTGGTTAGGAAGTTCACGTGTAAATATTTCTTAAATACTCATTATTACTCATTAGTGATCTCAAGTTCGTATTAAACTATTATTTTAACGTAAAAATCCAACTAATATTCAAGTAGTGCGTACAACCGTATTTGAATGTGCACGTGTTTGCAATTTTCAGGCTATTATTTTAATTTTCCAGTAGTTTGATGGTCTGAAAAGTGTTCCTAACATTAATTTACCTTTCTACATACATTTTATTGTTTAATGACTAAGTAAGTTGTCACACAAGTACAGTTTAAAAGTTTACAATCAGGTGGAATTCTAAACTCTAGTAGAACAGGTTAACACGATGGATTTTCTCCCATGGATTAGAGTCTCGTGGGATAAAGTGTTTGTGGTATGTATTTAATCTAATAATGTATTTCCCTAATAAAAAAAATACCGCACACAAATTAAGTTAACATTTTGCAGGTTAAACTTCATATTTCATACTTCATAGTCATTTACGAAAATAATGTTTGTATTATATACAGATATCGGTTGAAATAATTAGTATCCAATGTTGAGTTTCTTAAAGAATATATTATTATAAATCTTTCTATAAAAGTCTTGTAGATAATGTTGTGTTGACATGTGGTTTTGAGGTGTATGCAAGTCCACATTGTAAGGATAAAAAATCCTTATAGGAATTCCCTTTATCATTTAAGCATGGACTTTCAACATAAGTAATTAAAAGTAATTACCTGCTTAATATAACCATGCTAATTATGTTTTATTGTACAAAAGATAAATTTGAAAATTACCATATTTTTTTTTATAATATGAAGTACATATTTTGCTTTACAATTTAGGTAATAACAGTTGTAATTATAAGTTTATTTGTTTTTCCAGTTTCATGAGCATCTATTATTTAGGACCCCAAATCATAATCTAGGTTTAAGTGTAAAGGGCCACATGGTATAAAGTCGTGATTGAATTATGTTTATTTTTTGTTTCAGATAAGTGCACCAATGAGCCTCATCAGAAAGTGCAGTTATGTGTTTTGTGCCACAGATTTAGTGAAACGATTTGGCATACAATGTGATTTTATAAAAAGAAAAACGTGATATAAATTGTGTTGTTGACAAATGTTTTTTTTACGCAAGTTCTCTGGATGCAGTGCTTTCCGCTAGATGGCATTGTTGGAATGGTTGCTATTAAGCGATGTATTAGTTCTGCTGCTGCCCGCTAGATGGCACGGTAAGTCTACTTTATTTTTTTTCTGCTGTCAAGGCAGTGACATCTAGTGTTGAGTAGTTGTTTCTTTAGTTCTTCCGTCGTTGTTAGATGGCGATAGGTGTACAACTGTATCATCTTATCCGGACTTGCAAATTGCGTAATTTTGAACTGTTTAACTATTCTAACTACTTATCGATCATTGACAACGTTGATGGGTTTTAAAAATTAACATGATTGATAACGTTTTAATCATAATTTAAATGGTTATATTAAATTATTGCCATGTTGCACAACATTTCAAAATAATATATTACAGTATATTGCACAACATGATTTGTAAACAAAAAAATATTCTAATTTAGTTTCAAATAATAGATAAAAACTGAATCACCTGGGAGTCACGGTGATTCACGTTCTCTTTGGGCTATTAACTATAAAATTAGATAGGATTAGGGCATATATTTACCTATTCATATTTATTATATAGTTTTGTCGTTCTGACAATATGCAGGGCATAGGTATATTGAAAGTAGCTGGGATAGGTAGTTAACTAAATAGTCAATGGAGGCTGTAAAGTAAAAAAAGAACATACTATCCAAAAAATACTAAATTCTTAAATAAAAATAAATACAAAAGTAGATATTATTGACAATTAATAGAAGCCATGAATCTCAACTGAGTATCTCCTAGGTAGATCACGAGTTGTAAGACCACGTGGTCATGCCCCTTTAAAACTTTTATCTAACAAACTCTTAGTGAAATGCGTGAAGAAACCAATGTTTATTAGGTATTTTATGAAAGGGTGGATTAAGATCCCCTAATTTTCTTAAAGTCAAATAACACTCACAAAATTCATGATAAATTTTATGAGACAACATCACCTATTTCCAAAATGAAGTAGCTTTTAGCACATGCATATGAAACGAAACGAAGGTCAGACTCGAGACAATATAGAGAAGTCCATTTTCTATATCCGCCCGACCGGGACCCGAACCCGGGACGTTCAAGATAGCGGCCTCTAACGTCCCGGGTTGGAGTCCCGGCCCTTGAAAGCGACAAAAGGGATGGCGACTAATTTTTTTTTTGTTTGTCCGTCAGGTATTGAGGAATATTAAACAGGTTTATTTTTTTTTTGCGTAATCAATAAATTAAGGTGATACATTGAGTTCAAATGACGTCACGCTTTTGTTCATTTTCTACAGAACTGTGACGTAGCGAGTCCCTTCTCCTCAATTTTAACGCCTAATATCTAAACCATTTCGTGTTTAAATTGAAGCAAAAAAATACGTATCTAATATTTTTCAATTATCTAACTGACGGACTTAACAGAATTATATTTTTTACCCAGTCGTCATACGTAAATTATAGCCCATTTTACCCGCGTATGATGTAGTTTCCCGTAGGTGTATGAATTATCATGACCGGATCAGTATTTCTGACGATTTCCCACTACAAACAAACACACAAAGTTACAATCTCCGTCTTTATAATATCAGACGAGATAATTGGTTTACTTTGTTATATTAATAGTTTCCATATTTAATTTATTTTAAAAAATGTCTTTAGTTTTAACAATAAAACCAAAGTCGGTTACAGAGTAATTGTATTCAACGAGACTTTATTCTAGTTCGAATGTTTCGGGAAACTTATTAGAATGCGGTCGTGTCGTTTCTTGTAAGTTGTAACGAACGCGCAGGTATGTGTTTCGCTGTTCCAATGGAATGAATGAATTCTTATGAGTGAGACCGTGTCCCAAACTACGCGCGAATCGGAATAGTTTCTTTATAATATTGATGGCACTAAAAATTTGTGTTATAAATATATTTATATACATGAACGTTTGCTAATTCGCCTCAAGACAAATATGTAGTGATTGCCATACTTTCAATAGTACTTCTCGCCTCTCGTACATTCATCTCTATTCTTGTTTTTTTATTTATTTGTCCACATTCATTCTATTACGGTTGGGAAGACCGCCAATTGCTTTTCTGGCTCATTATAGAAAAACGTCTTGTTATCCGTTTTAGTGATTATTGTTTAGTAATTTTTTATAAAAGACTGCATATCTATTTTCGAGCATTTAATATGTATATGCGTATTTCACTCACATATTTGCGAAATATTAACCGAGTAACACATTTGTACGCTGTGTATGTCGTCAGCTACTTTAATTTTTGGCCTCTACAGAACTTTGGCTCTTAAATTGTTAGATAATTCTGACGTCAGTACGGGTCGGAAGTTTATCGACTTTACGATCGTATCATGAATTAAAACATAAGAAGCTCGTGTTGTTTTGTGACACAATAAACCGGTCAAGTGTGAGTCGGACCCGCGCACGAACAGTTGCGTATCGGAAAGGAGCGGAAGCATCACGTTTTTTGTATGGGAGCCCCTTAAATAATTATTTTATTCAGGTTTTTAGTATTTGTTTGTTACAGCGGCAACGAATATACATTATCTGTGAAGATTTTCAACTGTCTAACTGTCACGGTTCACGAGATACAGCCTGGTGATAGACAGACTGAGAGCAAGGTCTTAGTAATAGGGTTCCAGTTTTACCCTTTGAGTACGTAACCTTAAAAATGCAAATTATTGTCCTAATTTTTGTTTAAATATTATTTTATATAATAAATATTATTCTGTGGTAAATGAATTTGTTTACTGGAGCAAAGGTTTCTATTTGAAGTAATATGTATCAGAGTCAATAGAGTATCTGTATTTACGTTGATTAGTTTATTGGTCTTGTAAATAATAAACATTATTTAGGAATTTAATGAATTTTAGTGTAGTAAATTTTTGATAAGCAATCTATTAATTTCTTATTTATATATTTGTTTGCGTGCAATAGAACAAACCCTGACCTATGGTCTACTATCAATAAACTATTTAGGTTACTTTTAGTCATATTTAAAAATAAACATTTTAAATTAATTATACTATTAGGCTTTAAATGGTAGAATACAATATGCGTAATTATAAAATGTTTTGGTTTAAAAATTGGGTTTTATAACAAATTGAAATTGAGATGTAAAGATTTCTTCGATAAGTTTCATGTATATGAACGTGAATACTCAAGAAACAAGAGCTTTTCCCTTAAATATGGGAACATACTTTATAAAATCTGTTTGGGAATGATTAGTGTAATCGGTGAAAACTCGATACTAAGTAGAAACTAGAAATTTATCTTATCGGAATTTGGTTGATATATGACCAATAAGCACTTTGATATTGCTCACCAAGTCTAGTTTTAATTAAAGATTTTTTGAACACTGTACATCGGTGGGTAGCTACGTGGTTTTGAAATATGAATACATTATACTGTTTTAGTACACTTCATAGTGAACGAGCACCGGGCAATTATCACGAGAGAATTCAAATTGATCCACGCCACCACTTCCTGTGGGTATAAATTTTAATGGGATTAATGTATAAAGTAGTGTAGTGAGTCTTATAAGAATAAATTAATAAGATCTTATAACACACAAGCGGTCATTGTTGCATTATAATAGATAATAAATATTCATGACTTTCACACTGATCGTTAATTTTAAGTTATGATAAGAACTTGTAATTCTTTTCAGAGTTTACATATAGTGACAGCAAAATGTGTTGCACAAACTAGATTAAACTTGGGTTTATTAAAATTATAAATTTTATGAAGATGAAACGCTTATAGACAGGTTACAGCTATGTAGCTATCTTCAGCTAATTTAAAATATAAAATAGCTGCATTTAAGCGACGTCGCCCGCCTATTTATAGCCTATTGCAATCGCTATTTATGTTGATTTCCATAGGTGAAAGAATTTTCACGATCTGATATTAGCCCCTACAAGCGACCAAACAAAATTAGGAATTTCCTTTGGCTTTTTGAAATTTCTGAATTAGCTAGACGAAATAGTGGAAACTAGGAGTAACATCTAATTACTAACAAATAACGCAGTTGATGGGATATAAAATGCAATAAATCTTTTGGTTGGTCTGGTGATATCTATCGGTCGAATGAAGCAGAAGGATGCGACGAAACTTTTTTGTTACATCCTTCTTCACTCTCAACCTTAGCTATAAAAATTTTTAGCTTAAAAAATGTTATATTAGTTTTTTCATTTAAATTTCGAATGTCATTGAATAAAAAGAAAATAATTGACCCCATTGAGCGAATCAAAAGGTGAAAACACAATTTAACCCTAAATCGGTCGTGTGACTCACGTAGAGACGTGGCGTTTAACATATTAAACGTTTTTTCATATTTACAAACAAAGCACTATGGGGTTAACAACACCGGATGTTGTGTCCAGAAACGGATAATGCATGAAGGAAGTGGAAATAAAGGCCCCGATTCTATATGCAATCGATATTTAAATTCTAAGTGCTTGCATCTTATTGTGTTTAATCTGTATTAATTAAAAGACAAGACTTAATACAGGCTGCTTACTGGGGAAAATGTAATAAACGCAATGTATTGGATTTTAATTGTATTTTAAAATAGATAAGTCTTACAATCGAATCAGAATAATGTTGGATATTATACACTTTGAAGGTAGATATTAATTTGTTACATCATTTACGTAAAATAGTATATGAAAATGTAATTTACTGACAGAAGAACACGCATTTTCAATGATGAAATTATAAAATATTTAATAAGTATAAATAAGAAATATTAATGTTTTCCTTCAAATTAATAATTTAAAGTGTTATTCAAACATTTAATTAAATCGGGTACATTTATTGCAAAACTATTAATTAATAGTTTTGCAATAAATGTATTTCATGTCATTTTGTAATCATGTGTATGTTCGGCCGGAAATCGAGTTATATTGGAGCTAAAATGTGTTGGATTTGCTTATATATTTTTACGCATCATCAAGTATTGTTTAATTATATTCA